TTAAAAAAAAACGCTTGTCCGTTTAGGTGTGACAGAACAAAATTGAAGAAATTTCTAAAAGCTATAAATATTTATAATCTTTAATAGTTTTTAATTACACGTACATCAGTTAAACGTAATTGAAAGAAACTACAATCATTTATCAAATTGGATATTAAAGCTACTATAAATTCCAATTTTAAAACACCGAATATCATGCATTCATTTAAAATTATTACAATCTATGTAAATAAATCATAAATAAATAATGTTTACGTTTACAAAAAATAGTTGATTACTTAAGCATCTCTCTTATAATGATCAACAATTTAAGGAACACAAGAATTGGAAAGTTCAAACAATGGGCGAATTTATTTCTGACATTTTTTCGCAAATCAGGCGGAAAGAAAGTTTTCTTTATTTCGTTTCTAAATTTGTGTTTCTGATAGATTCTATCGTTACACCTACAACAATTTTTTAATCGAAACTCACGTAATTCCAGTTAAAAAAAACAATGTGCTATTAGGCACTACAACAGATAATCTAAATCACATGCATTCATCTGAAATTTATATCTGCGCATAATAACAGAAGATTATACTAACCGCAAACTAGGCTAGTATCATCTAATTACTATATTGTGATAGAAATTGTAAAAGTAATGAACATTATAATACCAATAAGAGAAGAAAAAAAAATCAAATAATCGGTTAACTGATAGGTTTTTAAATTACACCAAGAAAATAGAGAACGACATTAACCTAATTCGGGGATATAGACGATTTCTTTGCGGCTCTTTTGCATTTTACTTCCAAAGTAAATTATCTCTGAACCTAGCATTTTCCTTTCGGTGTTTCATTAAAATAGTGGTCGCCTTAGTTTTGCGAACGGATCGTGATTACATTTAAATTGCATATTTACAAGGCAAATAATTTCACGCTCTTTAACTGTTACACTTTGAGCATTTACATAGCGCCTGTATTGATTCATTTTGTAAAAAATAGTTATCTCCTTTTTTGTCTTTTATTGGCATAGAATCTACTGAAGCGATCGAATAATCAATCATTTCAAAAAATCATCAGAAACTTTTAGCAAAAGGAATGCGTTTTTGAGTTTAAAAATTCGAAAAATATTCGCCATTTGGCGAGTGATTTTATTAAAATTTTACGTTTTCTGTTTACCATAAATCTCTGAAATAAATATCAGGTTTTCCTGGTATTTGCGGTAAAAGCATAAAGATAGCGTTTGAAAGCTGCTTGATAAGCGCACCGTACCTAACAGTAAAATCGTTTGAAATTCTGAAAGGTGTTTACGATCATTAGTTACTTGAATATAACACATAAAAGGATGAATGTAACTTAAAGGTAGTTTACAAGAAATTCGCAAACATAATTACTAAATTTATGGCTTTTTGGAAGGAATATCTGATAAAAGATAAAGTTGTTGAGGAAAGAAAACTATGAGGATGCATCAGATTGTATTAAAATTGAAAATTCTTGTATTAAGTAGCATCGTAATTAAGTGCTGCTAAATAATTCAAAATACCTAATAATATAGTTAAAAAATTATAACGTGACATTCGAACAGATGTTCGATAGAAAAATTATTAAACACAGAAGGTCACCGGAACGATTTGCATAAGAAAATAACCAATATATCCTAAAAACTACAATATTTTGCATATATTTTAATAAACCCGGTTATATTTGCTTACGGTTCGCCCGCTTTCATGTTTACCCACTTCGCGACCGGGCGTTTGTTTATTTTTTTCAATATTTGATCGAGGTACACAATACAAGCCCGAGGTAAACTCACCGTCATTCCATTAGGAGGAATTTCCTCCTTTCAAGCCCGACTAATGAAAGGTCCACTCTTATTTTCACAAAAAAAAACATTCCTTCGCCGCGCTTCTGAAGTTGTACAGTAAATATTACACCAGGCGGGTTCTACTGTTGATTCTTTCATTAAATATGGATCTTGTTCGTAGAAGATATCGTTTTCACAGAAGAATTTGTCATGAAAAATTAGAGAGAAAGAGTATTGAAAATTATGTATGTTTTCTTAGAAGTAATTTGAGTACAATATATTAATTAATCATAAATAAAATTAGCATTAAATCCATCGTGTATGTATTGACTTCGAAATGATTATTATATGTTCAAAAAAAAAACATCAAGTATATGGAAAAAAGAAAAGATACTAAAGCAACATTGATGTTTTTTTCAAAAACTCTACAACTCGACCGCTTCCTCCGCTAATAACGATCATTAGCAATTTCGATTTCCTCCTTTCCGACTCGCCTTAATCGCGAAAAACAGCGAAACGAACGTCCCGAAAAAAAAAAAACTACACACGACCAGACCTCCATCCGTCGCGTCTCCGACGCCCCGAGACGAAAAACCCATCCGAACGAAATAAAACCAAAACCGAGCCGAAGACTCGAAAGCCCGCTCGACCGAAGACCATCATCAGCGTAATCGCCCATCCTCCGCGGAAGAAGCGACCGCCGGTCTCTCGCTCGCCTCAGTCGGTTTCTTGCCCTTCGAGACCGCAGTGCTTGGTTCTCGATGTGCTCTCGCTCGAAAGAAATTCGCGTTTAAAGTGAACTTGGTGGGCTCTAAAGTGCCGTTTGTTGGTTATATTTTTGGTATAATTAGAGATTTTTATAATTTATTTGCCGCAATTATCGTGATGAACGTGTCGGGTATTTTAATTTAATGAATTGGTAAAATTTGGGTATTTAAATTGGATCGCAACGGGGAAAGTACCGAGGAATTCGAGCCCGTTTTCGGGGAAACGGTTCATTACGTCCTCATCTGCATTATCCTGTTGTGGGCCCTGACGCGTGGGTTCAGGTGTCGCAACCCATTCGCGTAGAAACGAGAAAAAAATAGACGAAAAATTTGCATGACCGTCCAAACAGTAGGCGACGCGAAAAAATGCAAATGGCGTACCGAAAATAACGCGGCCGTGTTACTGACCCACATCGGAATTGATATGTGGAAGATTTCCATGTGAAAATCCACGCGAGTTAAGTAGACCGCGGCGAATCGAGCTGGAGCGCAAGAAAGTAAATCCGCGGTTAATTATGTGCATCTGAATCGAGCATGTCTTCCGTCAAAGTTCAAAAGATCAATGCCAAGGGCGCGTCGACGCCTTTCATCAGGAAACTCTGCGAATCGCCGAAGAGATGGCTGACCGGCGACCGGGCCAAAGCCAAACGAGACATCGTCATCGTTCACAAACAACCCGATCACATCTACGAGAACATCAACTATCTCGACGACGGGGCGGCCAAAAAACGGGACGAAAACGTTACGGTCGTCAACGTGTCGTACGATAAGAACCAATCGCACAAACTCCGATTGATCATCGACAACTTCGACAGGATACTCGACGAGTACGGCAGAATCGACGACAAACCCGGCGCGACTTCCACTCCGTTGAAAAGCCTGCCGCCCGTTTCGAAAGCGCCCGACACGAAAATCCCCAAGCTCGTAAAGGCCAAAACTTGCAGCATAATCGAGTCGAAATGCATCCTGAAAAAATCCGCTGCGAACACACGAAACGATCAGCTCAAACAAAAAACCAAAAGTATGAGCAACATCGAGCACATGGATCGAAATTTGAGCGCATTTAACCCGCAATTACCGGCTGTAATAATTAAAGAGAAGCCCAAGGAAATGCAAATTCAAACCGGCGAAAAACCCAACACGACCAACGTCAAGGAAATCGTCAAGAGATTAAACAGCTTAACGGACTCGAAAGAGGACGTTTCCAAGGAAACGCCTGCTAAATCAGTTTCTAAAGCGAAAAGTACTCTGGACCTAACCAGCAACAAGCTCACGACGGCCAGTCGGATACCGGTGAATACGACGTTGAGGAAAGCCTACCCGAGCATTCCCTGTGATCTAAACTCGTTAGATTCTAACAGATGTAATGCTAAAAAGCCGCTGCCGTTGAACGGGAAATTCGCCAAGAGCAGCCACAATTTGAACGTCGGAAAGCTAACAACGCTGCAACGAAGCAATAAAAGCGTTTTGAATTTAACCAGTCAAGCTAAAACGGCCGCGAGCAATGGGAAATTATTAGCCAAGAGCGTGCAAAACTTGACGAAATTATCTTACACCGCTCCTCTAACGAAAGCGCCGAATACAAGGAGTGTGCAGAATTTGGTGCCGAAACCGCAGGTTAATAGAGTCGTCAATGTAAAAATAACGAAACAAATCAATAAAACCGCCGACGAAAAAACGAAATGTATTAAACCGACTGTTAAGCAACCGTTAAGTAAAGCATCTAGCGGTATTTCGGTGACAAAATCCATAGAAAAACTCGCGCTGATCGGCAAAAACGACGACATCTCTCCGACCGACACTTTCGTGGTTTTGAAAGCGCCCAAAGAGAAGGTAAAACACGTCATAAAAAAATTAGAGGAAAAGAAAATCGCACCGAAAGTACTCAAAACGGACACTTTCAAAATCTCCAAACCGTCCGCAAACAACCCACAAAAACCTCCGAATCCCATCGCCGCGAAGAAACCCACTCCGACCGTCAAACTCAACCCGAAAACCACCCAAAAATTCTTGGAAAAACTCAAAACCGAACGCGACGAAACGCTCGAATACGAAATCGACGCCCAACCGGCCGCTACGCCCAAAAAGGACCTGGGCTACAACTCGGACAACTCCGACGACTCCGGCAACGTTTCCAACGAAATCGAACTCGACACCGAAGACTCCAACTCATCATCATCGATCAAAACCTCCAACGTTTCCCTCGAAGACCAAGACAGCGGCATCGAATTGCTCAGAAAACACACACCAGCGTCTAAGGTAAATTTGGCGCAGACTCCTCGTGGACCATTCTCCTTCCTTGTGGTATTCCAAACTTGTTTAGTATACATGGTTCAGCATCTATTCAATTGCCTTCATTTACACATCTAGGTTATACCTTGATTCAAATCGATTCCACCTCCTCGTTGCCTTCTTGCAACCTCTACCTTTATTCTTGGATCTTTCCAGATCTTCTTCAGGAACGGCGTCGTGTCGCAGCTGGAGACGCAGCGCGACGAGCGGCTGGCCGGCGTGGTGGTGCGCCTGCAGGCCCACTGTCGCGGCTACCTGGCCCGGCGGCGGCTGGCGCAGAAGAAGCTCCAGGACCTGGCGGTGCGCTGCATCCAGAGGAACGTCAGGAAGTTCATAGCGGTGCGCGACTGGCCGTGGTGGAGGCTGCTGGTGAGGGTGACGCCGCTGTTGAACGTCTACAGGACCGAGGAGGAATTGAAATCGAAAACGGTGAGTCGAGATAATTGCGAAACGACTGGTATCGTTTTTAATTTACATCGCTCGCGAATTCCTTCTCTAATTGAAGAATCTTGTTGGTTTATCTTCGTTTGCCTTTCTTGCTGTGAATGTTGCATGAAGGTGTTTCTCACTTGGGTGATTCGTCGATAGGTGGGAGATTATTGGATGATTTATCAATTTTCTATCTGTTTAAAAAAGTACAATGAATGGATTTGATAGGAGCCCTCGGGTAGTTTCGCGTTGAATTTATGAGGATGTTAATGATAAATTTAAACTAAGAATGGGCAGACTGTAAAATGGGAGAAGGTATGTTTAATTGCGAATACCGAACACGTAAATGCATTAACAGTTTTATTATGGCCTGCATCTAAGTTGTAAATTTCATCAATCGGCGTTTATTTAACGATGCAGGTGCTAAAGTCGCTATTTAATAGACTTGTATTGGAACTTTATATTAAAATGATCGGTTAAGGAACGCATAGATTTATAAAAAAAAATTAATGTTTGATGAAAATTTCGTTGCAGAAAAAATCATATCTCCATTTATTTTGAGATAAAGTACGATAGTAATTTTATAATTCATTCTTCATGTTTGGTAACAATCGATGCAAATACTCATCAACGCATATTTATCTCTGTTAGCGACTTACACACCTCAGGATATGAATAAAATTGTTACTGTTTGAATCACGAATTATAATTGCAATAAGAAGATATTTTTAACGAATCGCCTACGGATAAGAGAATAACGATGTATACAATGAAACGTATAAAACAGCGTAAATAGGAGTTGATAACAAAAAAAACTCAAAATACAGCTAGCATTATTAAATGCACAGTGCGTTAGAAATAGAATGTAATGTTTTGCATTATGTAAAACTTGCGCAAGTGGCGTCTTTAGCTATTTCTGTCGCACTGTAGCACTTGTAATTTGTTGGTGCTTCTTAAACATTTCCTAGCTACTATACATACGATTTCAATGATTTTATGGCCGAACAAAGCGGTGGCTATTAATTTTATTTCAACATACTTTGGCTTCGTAAATAATTTTCTAGTGTCTTTCCGTATGCATTTCAAAGAAAACGTTCTCGAGGCATGCATATTTACCTGATTTACGGAACAGTTAGAATGTGCCATAGAAAATGCTCAAGTCTATCCGATGTGTGTATTTTATTCTTTTGTGGTAATTAAATAGTTTCAAAGCATCGCTTTATTAAATTAACTCGCTTAGCAATTAAAGTTTGCATAGGTGGTATTTATGCGATTTACATAAGTAGATGGCATATGTTAGGTAAATTTATGTATGTATTTATTAGAGAGATATAAATGAGGAATATCGGTTTTACTATTTTTAAGGAATTTATCATTAAGTAAAATTTAACTTTGCCTAATTAACAGTATATGGGTATTTACAATTCAGCCACTTTCATGTGTTGCGAATGCAAACTTTCCCTTTTTTTAATCGCATTATCGAATCTTTGCATCTTTACACTCGGTATTTTTATTCCTATTATACAGACTTATCTGGGAACGAAGATAAAATCGTTCACAACGTTATTTGGAATTTTTTAGCTTTTTATTTCGTGACTTATTCCATCTATTGTATCGGATTCCGCGTTTATAGACAACGATTCGATTTATGAACAACGATGACTCGCCACTACACACAATTCTTTTCATATTAATTTTCTCTTGTAAATTAACCGGTTGGTAACTATTGTACGTCGTTTTTACGATAACTTTGTATCGATGTCTTCTGTAATCATATTTCGAATTGAAAACGAGATTCTATCGGGATAAGAAATAATGACTTGAAAATATTTAGCGGTTTTTTTTCAACGAGCCGCGGTTTTATTGTCGCTATCGATACATAACAACAGACTAATTTCATATTTAATGCAAGTAACGTTTAAAATAGACATTCAAATCAGCCAGTGGAGCAAATGCGGGTACGTTCCGGATTTATAGGTCACATCAATCGAGTTTTAGTGCGATGTCGAAACGCCATAAAGCCGAATATTTTTACATACAGGGTGTCTTAAAATTTGACCGGTTAGTTTATTCAGTAAACGCCGAATTTTCGAATTGAAATTATCCGATACATTTCGAGTTGAATGTTGACAAGGACATGTCTCACCTGCTTCGAGCATTTCTCGCTCGACCAACGCCGTACTTTCTCCTGCACTTGACGAATTGATTCCTGCAATGTAAATGTTCCGTTCGTCCGTTGAACTTGGGCTTCGAAAACAGTGTCGTACTTTTCGTAAAATCATTAACTCTACACGTTCTGTTACTTGTAATAAATGACGTTAAATGAAAATTTTGTTAGAATTACAAACTAGAATGTATAAAGTTCAATTTCAATCGGAAAACCACGATGATTTTTTTTATGAATTTTAGAGTAGAAATGAGGAAAATTTAATTCAATGCAACAGGTAAAACATACTTCCCTGCAGGATTCTTGATTCTTTGTAACCAAGACAAAAAAATTTATCTCATTATTCTTTTTTGTACTATAAACAACCTCGTTAATTCAGATGAGCTTTCAAAATAAATAAATAGAAATCTCAGTCTAGACTCAAAAGTTAAGAAATAGGTACAACGTTTTTAGTGCTTCTTCATCTAGATAACTTTTCAGTATTCTAAAGAAGTAACAAATACCACCCTAACTCATCAAAGTTTTGTCCAAGTTTTGACCCCAAAAATAATACAGAACTATCTAAGCGATAGGTTAATCTTGTTAATAATCTTTTAACCCTCTTAATTTAACCCAGTCCATTCATCGACTATTTAAGCTCGCAATCGAGCCAATTACATTCGCCGACCCGAACCATTAACTTTCCCAATTGAACCTGAACCTGATCTCGTTTACGTGGCGTTGTAAAAGTCGAAGCTGCACCTTAGCCGGCTCTCCGAACGGGTTAGACGCGAAAGAAAATAAACGAAGAAAATAAAAAATAACGGCGTTACTTTCGTTCGAGCGGGAAAAATGCAAGTGCAAAGGTCAATGACGAAAATTGCACGCAACCGAACGGTGCAATTGACCTAGTCTAGAAAGCTTTCGCGTTGTGAAATTGTACGCATCTGCCGTTTCGTAATTTACGGCGGGTTTTTGCGTTCGAGAAAACGACCATTTTACTGCTGAATTTAATTATAGATATGCAATGTTTTTGTTTCTACATCGTTTAATGGGAAAATATGACGCGGAAAATGAATAATTTTTCACTTGTGTGGGTACTTGTTTCATCAAATTTGCGGTAGTGGAAATTTTGATATCAATAATAAACATTCCAGTGAACTTTAATGAACTCGATTTTTGTATGTTGAACATTACACTATAACGATATTATGTTTATTTTCAGAACGAATTGGAAGCGATCAAACAAAAATTGGAGAAACTCGAAAGCGAAAGAACGAAATTGAAACACGAAAATGACAAACTGGAAGCGAAAGTAAGTACGAAAAATCCATATACTTTTCGTTGCAACGAAAGTTCCAAAAAGTCCGTTACGTATTACGGTAAATATTTTGAAATAGTATCTAATTATAAACGTGGCAATTGATCGATCGGAATCGTTAAAGTTTGTCGACGTCCAGTCGAGCAATTTAGGAGATTTGCCAGTTCCTTGGGGCAGGACGCCCGAAAGTTCGCTCTTTGGCGCCGCGAAATTCTACGATTTTCATCTAGCGAGATACTCGCGCGAATATTCGGAGGCCAAAAAAGTTGTTTAAATGAATGAAAAATCTATTTACTCGACGAATTTGTATTTCAAAAGTAAACCACAATAGTCACAATCGATGCCAAAAACGCCGAGGAATGCGCTTTATTGCGTTAATTGAAATAATTATTCACTGTTGTTACGAGGGTCGTTCGATAATTAACTCGATCTATTCGATCTTTACAAGGTGTTGAAAAATAAACAACATCTACCCCTGTACACGACATACAATAATGGACCCACTTTCTTGCTATTCATTAACATTACGAATAAAACTAACCCGAATTTACTGGTTACATGACCGCGCATATTTGGAGTACGCACTAAAACAATAATTATTGTACGAAGCACGTTTTGACGCGTGAATAATTACACGTGCCGAATGAGCCTTACGCTATTTTATAACGGGCTTCGTTTTTTTTAATAATACAGTAACGTATTTGTGTGATTGATTCGAAAGCAACCTGTTCCGAAGAACCAAATAGGTATAAAGAGGCAATTAACAATAAGATCTGGCACATGCGAGGTGCTAATTATGATTATGTTAATTAATTTATTGCGGGAATACTACTATACGTGTTTTTTTCGGTCGGATTCTATCCGTTATATAATGGGGTATTATGAAATGGCTGCATGTAAAAAATAAAAAAAATAACATTGGCAATGTTCCACATTGAAGGCAGTTTTAAATCTGTTCGGATTCTAATTGCAGACTTAAGTTTGTTTTATAGGTTGAATAAGTATGAAATGTTTCTACACGGTATTATTTGTTTAGGTACCGTATTTTTACGATTTTTGGACACTCCTAGGTGCACTGATTGAACAAGTAATTGAGAAAATTAACCGAAAATAAGCGCGCGTTAATTTTTTGTATAAAGATGAAACGGGTCGATTTTGTCGTTAATTTGTATACAAATTTCTAACGTTTTACGTTTCCAAAAACGAATTGGTTCTGTTTATAACGAACACGAATGTTTGTTTGGTAAATTGAAAATAACAATGACGAATTATTCACATTTAACGGAAACGCGGATTCTAGTGGGCGTTTAATCCACGAAAATAGCACGGCAGGTTTTCCGAAAACTTGCTCAATCGGATCGTTTATCGAAATTCCACCAATAAATAGGGTATATTAAACCGCATTTCAGGATATTATAATAGACGTAAATTTTATTCTCCTGCGTAGTGCCAATATTGGTAAGAGGCCGGTGCCAAATCTTCGTTGTCGAACATTTCGGTAACTGGCCAGTTGGTGTTCGCTCGCCTAGCCGGAAAACATTACAAAAAAAAAGCGATGCATTTCATTCGATCTGTTGTATTGCCAACTACAAATTTCATAATGAATTGGAACTAATTTTGGAAAAACCACGGGCGCACCAAATACAACAATTTTCATCACTTTTACTGCATTATACGTTGAAAATTACCAATTTAAGATTTTTCAAAGTTTATCAAAATTGCATTATAAAAGGCAACACTAATAGTATTTAAGTGTATTAATAAATTCTCGTGGTATAAGATTAGCATATGTAAAACGAGTCGGGTGTTTTGATTAAAATTTCCTTTGATTTTCCTCAAATAGACCGAATAATTAGCTTCGCGTGTAATCGAAAGGAGCGTAAATCCTGTTCGAATTACGCCACTGAAAAATTGTGGGTATCTTTAGCTACATGTTGCTCTCTGCCGACGTTCGTGGAAAATAAATTAACACCTATTCCTGTAGTGGTTGCCTAGCACTGATCGACGCCGGGTTAGCAGCCGGTCAATTTTTTTTTTCGATTTTTTTTAATTTAGTTTTTTTTGGTTTTTCTTTTCACTTCGTGCACTAACATCAATAGAACCAGCCATTTGTCGCGTATCTGCAGTCGCGAGTGGTAAAGAGTGCGGATATTCATGTGCTGTTTCCATCAAGTTTAAAACTTTGTGTATCAACAACTAATTTTGTAAACTAGTTGATGTTTCTATTGCTCTATTTTTTGTTTATTGAACGTTCAATTAACACCAATTAGCGCGTCTGTTACTCGACCATTACGTGGAATTTCGAATGCGTTGTAAACACCAAAGTAAATGTTATATCTCCACACTCGGATCATAACGAGTCCGGTCAATTCGATTCCGGAAATGCAACAGCGAAGAAGTCGATAAATATTGCAGTACGCGAAAACTAACAGCAATTTTTAGTGCGAAAATGCCAGTCCAACCATCTTTCATACAATCGCTTTCATCGAGAAAATTGGGCTCGTTCACCGAACCCTATCCATCATCGTCGCTGCTAAACGGCTACGCGCTATCCGCTAGCAGCTCGGCTTCGAGCCTAAACTCCATGAGCTCCCATCGAGGTCTACCGCCGGTACCATCGAGGAAATACACCAACATCAGACGACCCTACTCGACCGGATTCGACGTCCCCAGCGAACGTAAACCCGTCATGTTCCAAACCAGACCGCTGAGGAGCCTCACCGTCCTCTCCGACTCCCCGTCGAGGGACGCCAGCCCGACGCCCAGCAACTACAGCCTGAGGTCCACGAGGTCCAGCAGCGCGTGCCCGCCCCGGCGGGTCTACCCGCAAACGTACGACCCGGGCGCCCGGCTCGACCTCGACGACAAAGAGGACGGGCCGGTGGTGTTCGACGCGAACCTGACCTTCGTGCTCGGCTGCAAGGGGAAGCTGAAGCAGCACGTGCGGCCGGTGCCGGCGCACGCGGAGGCGCGCACCGCCTCCAGCGCGTTGACCGACAAGATTTCGGATTTTTTGTCGCGCACCGATCACGTCATGGACGAGTGGAAGGGCCTGGGGCGCAAGGAGGACGAGCTGCACAGCTCGAGGATGAGGAGGAGCCGGTCGAGGAACCTCGACCGGTCCCGCAGCGCTACCAACATCATGATCAAGGGGTTCCAGTATTTCAGCAGGGCTAGTAGCTGCAGTAGATCGTCGGTTGCTAGGGATGTCGAGGAATCGACCGAGGCTGAAATTGATGAGGTACACTTGGTTGAGTTGCCGCTGGGAAAGTGTTGATGAGGGCGCTTTAAATTTTAGATAAAAGAGTGAAATAGATTTGAAAGATAATTAATATGCTATCATAAATTGAGAAAATGGTTCAAAATGTTGCAATAATACATGGGACAGTCGGTAAAATTTGGCTTGAAGTAAATAACAAAAACTATAAAATAATTAACTGCTCCTTTGTAAGATAGCGCTATTTACTTAACTACTTTTTCTAAAAGTCTCATTAAACGGGCGTATCGAAAGTGGGTATTTTTATTTCTAGTCGTTTAATTTCGTTACTGGTGCTGTGTTTACTTTGGCCATTAATGTTTCTCTGTCGGGTAACTTCGAAAAGTGAAACTGTCTAAATTGGCGTCCAGTGATTGGATTTATTTAATATTTTTAAATAGCCGGTTTTTTTTTATAAATAGTCTGTTTTTGTTGTTCGATAACGCGGCGATGTGTAGGTATTTCCTTGAAAATAGGTCAGCGTTATTGCATTTTTAGATTTATTTCATTGTGGTATAAAATGTGAATTTTACTCGAATTTCTCCAATCGGTTACTCAAAAATATTATCATAAATTTTATCGATATCAAAATGCTAATGAACTTATATTTTTAATCGTCGAATTAATCATTTTTAAAATATGCATAAGTAAAATAGTTATTTCCCTATACAATTTTTTTGTACTATTCACACATTTATTTTAGAGTTAGGTTTATTTCTGTATATATTTTATACTAAACATCTACTGAATAGTTTAAAAATTAATTAGTACCCATTACCCAGTTAATGAGCTCGAGTCGCTCGCTATAAAGACTCCCAGGAAACGCACGATTACCTTAATTTAAACATAATGTAACTCGTCTAAGAAAGCCAACGTTTGCTTTAAATTATTTATTTTATCGCCTCGGATTTATTGTTTACAATCTCCATCAAAAATATTAATAAACTTTATCAACAATAATCGCGCTAGTTTATTACAAGATGTTGCCGCATACATGATGAGCGTAATGTATGCCAGTGTGATAAGTGTTTCGGTGAGTCCAGAACAAATCTTTTACAATTTCTCTATTACGTTTATTTATAGAGATAAGAGTTTCTTTGTTTCGGAGGAATATTTACAAGCGTTTCGGAGCTTTCATAATTTTCAACATTCATCGTTATTAAAAATCCTAATTAATGGTTTTTCCAGTTATCCGAGATGACCGCCGATCTGGCCGAGGAGCACTCGACGGCCACCTTGGCGGCCGAACGGCTCGACTCGGAGACCTCGGAGCGCCTCAAGCTCGAAAAGGAGCTGAACGACGTGCAGTCCAAGAACAAGGAGCTCCAACAGTCGTCGGAGCGGCTCGAGCTGGAGCTCCTCTACGCCCGCTCCGACCTCAACGGCATCTCCGAGGAGGACGAGGACGCCGACGGCGACGGCGTCTACAAGCAACGCTACGAACGGGCCCTCAAAGAGCTGGAGTTCACCAAGCGGCGGCTGCAGCAGCAGCACGAGGACGATCTCGAACAGCTGGTCGGTTTGAAGAAGCAATTGGAGAAAAAGGTAAGTCCAATTGTACAACGCCATCCAGCGATGTGTTTAACGAGTATTTTGTAGTTAGCGGACGCTTACGAAGAAGTGGAGGAACAGCGACAGGTCGTGGGCCAGTGGAAGAGGAAGGTGCAAAAATTGAACGGCGAAATGAACGATCTGAAGCTGTTGCTCGAAGAGCAAAGCGGCCGGAACAATTTGCTCGAGAAGAAGCAGAGGAAATTCGATTCCGAAACGCAAATGCTGCACGACGAGCTGAAGAAGGAGAGGCAGACCAAAGACAGGCTGTCCAGAGAAAAGGAGGTTTGCATAGCGGAAAAATACGCCGTCGAAAGCTCGTTAGCGGTAAGTCCAACAACTCAATCCTAATCATCGAAAATTTATACATTTTTTAATGCATTTCCAGGACACGAGGCTCGAGTTGGAACTGAAAGAAGAGAAGCTCATCGCGCTGCAGAGGGAATTCGACGAGGTCACTTGCGGCGGTAAAACCGAAGAGGAGGTGACCGTGCTGAGGAAGCAGAAGATCGACTGCGAGAGGCGATTGCAAGACCAAGAAGAAGAACTCGACGAGCTCGCCGGTCAAGTGCAGCTGCTCGAGCAAGCCAAACTCCGATTGGAAATGTCGCTGGAGTCCATGCGCAAGGAGGCCAAAAAGGAGGCTCAATTGCGCGACGAGGAGCTGGAGGAAGTGCGATGTAACGCGCAGAAGAAAATTAAAAGTAAGTAAATACATTGATGATGTTTCTGTTAGTAGTAACCTTGTTTGTTTTCGAAGCTTTCGAACAACAATTGGAAAACGAACACGAAGAGAGAACGCTGCTCCTGCGGGAGAAGCACGAATTGGAAAGGCGCTTGCAGGCGGCCGCCGAAATGGAACGACACGATCGAGCGGGAGACGAAGCTCTCCTGCAACGGCTGAAGAGAGACCTGAAGCGAACGAAAGCCCTGCTCAGGGACACCCAAACGCAGCTCGAGCGCCAGAAATCCGAAGCACCCGGCAAGGCGGCCATGCGGCAGATGAGAAACCAACTGGAAGATCTGGAATGCGCCCGTGCCATGGCCGTCAAAGCCAAACAGAGCCTGGAAGGGGAGCTGCTCGAGACGCAGGCGCAGCTCGACGAGGCGCACAAACAGAAGCAGGACGCCGAGGAGCGGGCGAATTTCCTGCTGCGCGAAAAGAGCGATCTGCAGACGCAGCTGGAGGAGAACGAAGAGGAGCTGGCGGAGGTGCTGAAGAAATTCAAGGGGACCGTGCAGCAGATGTCGCTGGATCAGATGGCGTTGCAGGAGCAGGTGTCGTTGGTGTCCGAATTGGAAATCGAACGGAACCATTTGAAGGAGCAATTGGCCGAGCTCACGACGAAATTGGAGTCGGTGGAAAGCATGGGGGAGTCGTCGTCGAATTTGCTAGTCAAACGGTACGTTATTTTAACTATTTTTTTTAATTAAACCAGTGATAACTTGCGTTTCTTTAGGTCCGAACTGAAAGTGAAGGAGCTTGAATCAAAATTAGAATTAGAACAAACCACTAGGTCGAGATTAGAAGTACAAATTAGTAGATTAAAGGAAACGGTCGAGAAACTTCAAAGCGACTTGGGCAACGCCAGACTGAAGGAGCAACAATGTCAGGATCAAATTAAGAAACTGCAACGACAAATACGGTATGTTGTTTACGCTAATTTTAATCGCCCTGCTCGATTAACTATTATTTTCGTCTACAGAGAAGTCAAGGAGGAATTGAACGTGAGTTTAGCCAAAGAATCGGAGGTGATTATTAAAAAGAAAGAACTGGAGAAACGGTGCGAATCTCTCGAAGCCGAAGCCGCTACGTCCAGGACAGACTTGAGGTTGGCTTTGAAGAGAATTGAAGATTTACAGTCCGCTATACAAGGGGATCTGGAAGACACGATATCAGACAACTCAGATAGGTAAAATATTACAATTATTGATCGTAACCGAAAAACTTATGCGTCTTTTTCAGCGAACAAGACACTTACAGTTCTGATGATTCTGTGAACAAATACCTATCGAATCACAAGACTTTAAAACACGATAAAGCGTCAATAGGAAATGATTCTAAAAGGTAAATAAACTAAGATTTTGAATTCACTTATTCAAATGTGTAAATATTACTAAATATTTTTTTAATTTTCCAGATTAGCGAACGTTAGTCGTTCCAGTACATCTAGCAACATAGGCAAAGATCTATCATATACCTGAGTGGCAGTGAACATCTGCAGAACTTTATCCATGACCTTCTGCAGGCAAGAAGAAAGCGGTGATATAGATAACGCTGTAATGGAATATGTCTGAATTAGTAGGATTATTGTTTAAAATTGAGGGCCTTACAGTGTTTTGTAGGAATCCTATTTTTTTTGTTGTTTTAAATATGAAAAACACACTGTGACAGTTGTAGGGTTTGTTATAAGACTGAAGGCGACACTTACATCCTATCATCACTTATATCTTTTAATTGCAAAATCCACTTTATTTTTAGAGCGCAATCGAACAAAGTAAAAAGTTCCCGTTAGTTTAGGGAGCTTTATCGTTAGTGTAATTAAAATAATGAATCGTATTTATGATTAAAATGCACGTAATAATAAAAAAGTGGATTAGTTTATCATTAAAGACAATTTAGATTTAGTCATTAGAACAGTCGAACATGTTTACTAAGACTTCTAAAAAATGATATGTATATAAATAAGTAGATTTAAAATTTTATAGAAAAATGTCTTCTTTTATCGATTTTTTTTTGAAATTTATTTATATTAGTTACTTTTATATGTTCACTTGGTTCGATCAAAGAACTGGGAACGTCGCATCAATTTTCCTGCTAGAGAACTTATAAACATTTGTTATGAAAATTTTTGTTTAAATTTTATATTGTTATTCTCCCTAAAATCGACCTGTAAATATGCTTAAATAATTACTTGATGTAACATAGTCCCGTTTCACCTGTATTTACCTTTTATAATCAAATGTAACTAGAATTCTACCATATTCGTGTAAGATATAAATGTTGTGAAAATAAACTGTTTCTATATACGTATTTGTTTTTCATTTTAAGAAAAAAACGGATCTATACCTAAGGGTAACATGGGGTTTGGCAAAAAACTTTTCTAAAAGAATTAAAATAAAATAAAATAAAAATTAGAAAAGCTAATTACCAATTTTCTGTTTAAATTATTTTATTAGGTACATTACAATATAACATATATGTTGCTATAGTATTCATATACACCATGTACGCATGTAAATCATTAACAATAAAAAAATGACAATACTAGACTACGTTTTGAAAAAACTGCACAATCACCTATCAAGTAGATAATTCCAGTTTTAGATGTATATCCATATAATGCAGACAAATGAAAAATACACGCCATATTTTTTAATAAGTATTTAGAATAAAATTTGTGCCTTTATGGGCGATTGCTGCTTTTTCGTATTTTATAGAAACCGCAGCAACGGCAGAGAAATCTAGACAGCTTGAGGTAAATAAAAAACGCTACATCAACGCTTAAAATTGTGCCCTGAAAATTTAAATCATAGAGGCAATGATTTAACAGATTTTTCAATTACAATATTTTTCTTATATTTCCTTATTAATATAAAAACATTCGATCTCGACCCGGAGCCGTTCCGACTAGGGAATTTCATTAATAAAAATAAAGAAATTCCGAGTTAGAGGGTTTCAAAAATGATATAGAGAAAAAGAAGAGCCGAATCACAGACCACTGTGCGGCGCGCTCTCGGAATTTGCTTAAGAAATATATTATAAAAAAGTGTTTTTTTTGGTTGGAAAGCGGGCGACACAGTGCCTTTCATGCTGTTGCTAACAATTTTGAGCCCTTATAATCGGATAGTTGTACTTCCATTTTTTGATCAACTTAGAATTAGATAAATTGTCGACAACAGAATAAGATGTCTGTGATTGCGGGGCTCCTCTCGACGAAAACCCCTCAAACTCCGAGTCTGACGCATTCACGCCGCTATTTTTTTTTTGTTCGCACGCATTCACTCGCACTCGAATAAATAATTTAAAATTATACACTTAAGTTTAATGGCAATATGACCCGTGATATAGTATGAAAGTTTATAAAAAGACGTTGAAAATATCACGGGAGATATACCGCATTATGCTCGTGCAATCGAAAACAAACGGAAAATGAAGTGAAATTTAGCATCTTAAAAAATGTTCATACCACTTACATTCAAGCGAAAGCTATATAGTCGTGTGGGGATGATGGTAATAAAACCTTAGAGACTTTTCTAAAAAACAAGACGAAAACGTTATTAGAGGAACACATATGTACAGAACTGCAATGGTTTCGGTAAATAAAAAAAGTGTTTAGCAAAAAATGGAACACTGTTCTTTCCAAATTAAAACGAAAATATATGTTTTTAGGCAGTATCTCGAATAACTTGATTCATAATCTGCCTGTTGTTCGATCAAAGGAACCACGCCACAATCCACACTTCCATTGGTCTTTTATTGTGGCGCTTCGATAAGATTATGGCACACTTTCAACGTTCGGATCAAATCTCTGAAAAGACTAGTTTTGTCGAGTCTTGTTTTGTTCAAGAAGCAGATTCTTTGTTCTTCGCCGAAACGGAGTTTTGTTTAATTTTTTTGTTTTGTTTTGTTTTATTTTCACAGTCAGCCCAACTGTAAGAGAGTGATTTGAGAGAACAGGCTTAACTGGTCAAAAACAGTTCAGGATAATGTACGGTACTTTTTTTTACTAGCTTGGTCATATGTTTGTACTTGGAACTAACCAAAATTAAAAACTGTACGCTGGGTTCTTCTCACCTACATCACCGATCAGGAAAAATACTGACTTATATCAACTTAATTAAATCATAAATACTATACACAACATACATGAGGCTGGGCGCCTTAAATTTCGGAAATGTCACAAAAAATAACAACTTATCGACTAACAAAAAAAAATAGATCACAAAGCTAAACACTTACAGTACGCTACATAGTAATAAAAAAAGCAAGATATATTGAAAAAATAGAACTATCTTTTATATGGTACATTTAAATTAAAAAAAAAATCAGCTCGAATAAATGCAAATGCAGTGATGCAGGTGAGAATGTCGACGTTTTTTTTGGCATCACCGACTTAATTCCAAATGCGCAGGAAACTATCCCAAGACCCTGTCCCCACCGCCATACCGTTATCCGTTACTCCTAAACAACTAACGCGGTTATCGTGCCCGGCCAGAATACCTGCAAAACAAACAAACGCAAAATTTTACCATCTCATCAAACCGTTCGCCAACAAAAAAAAAACACTCACCTGCTCTCTCCGTCTTCATCGAATCCCAAACGTTACAATTGAAATCGTCGTAGCCGGCCAACAGCAATCTGCCGGACTTGCTGAACGCCACGCTGGTGATGCCGCAAATGATGTTATCGTGGCTGTACATGGCCAGCTCTTGGTCCGCCCTGATGTCGAACAGCCTGCAGGTGGCGTCGTCGCTGCCGGTGGCGAAGGCGAAGCCGTTGGGGAAGAACGTCACCGCGTTGATGTCCGACTCGTGACCGGGGAACGTCTGTTTGCACAGGCCCTCTCGGATGTCCCACAGCTTCGCCGAAGCGTCGCAAGCTCCTGCAACACGCAAAACACACCGTATTGTATTCTATATCTTTGTACAGGGTGGTCCTCTAAGAATGGCTCTCGGCGATATCTCGCGAACTAATTTGTCGTAGAGACTTGCGGTAAAGAATCTTATCACTAAATCGGCCAAAAGAAAACGCTGGAAATAATTTTTAAGTCTCTAAAATGGCCGCTAGGGGGAGTATCCGCCATCTTGATTCTTAAAAGTAATTTTTTTCAATAATTTCCTAATTAAAGGTAGCAAAAATGCGTTTTATTTTGATAGTTGAGATAAATTCGATTATTTTTTGTTATACATTTTTGATTCTACCTAAAATAAAGTGGCGGAGGAGGTTTGAATATTTTGACAAATTTTCTTAAAAAATATAAATGTAACGATATTTTTTTTTAAAATAGTCTAATTTACAAACAAGCCTGTGAAAACCGCATCTCGATATCCCCTTCCTAACCTAAAATATATCTAAAAAAAGGAAAACAATCAAGAAATTAAACATATTTTTGAAACAACGTCATCCTATTCATCGGAGTTTTATTCTTTTTTCTTCTTTTCCAGAGAGGTACATAGGAAGATGGATTAAATAATCCGCTGAATACGAATATGACCATTATTTACCCCGCTAAATTCGTTTCGGCTCGCAATGGCGATTTAAAAATGCTAATCGTCCGCCATTTTGGAAATTATCCAAGTTGACGTATTGTTGACATTTTTCGTTCTTTTGCGTGGATCCGAATTGTTCCGAACTTGCACTCGGCGAACGCATCTCTTGCGGCCTTTTACTGCGTCAGTATCCAATACCTACCGCCTACCTCCCTTGTCTTTATGCCGTTTAGTGAGTAATATAAATAATATAACTAATATACTAAAAGCGCCATCCTATTCATTGGCGAGTTTTATTCTTTTTTAATCATTTGGGGCCAGAGAGGTGCATAGGAAGATGGAAACGGATCCGCTGATTACGAATATGACCATCATTTTTCCAGCTAAAATCATTTCGGCTCGCAATCGCGATTTAAAAATCCTAATCGTCCGCCATTTTGGAACTTATCCAAGTTGACCTACTGTTTTGTCATTTTTCGTGGATCCGAATTGTTCCGAACTTGCACTCAGCGAACGCATCTCTTGCGGCCTTTTACTACGTCAGCGTCCAATACGAACGTTTAGCTAATTGTATAACTAACCTTCATCCAGGTATCTGAGTATCTGTTGCTTTATTGTATAAAGAGAAATGTATAGAGAGTGTTTGCGTGTGTTTACCTGAGACGAATGTGCGCATGTCAGGCGACAGAGAAAGGGACATGACGTCTCCGGTGTGTCCTAAGAACGAGGTGACTTGTTGGCCGGTTTCGATGTCCCATAAAGCGCAAGACATGTCGCCGGAACTGGTGACGATCTGGTTGTCGTCCAAGAAGCGGCAGCACGAGAGGTAGCCGGTGTGGCCGGGCAGTTCTCTGCTGACTCGCACGTTGCCTTCTCTAGTTTTTAGGCTATAAATAGAGCATATATTATCTAAACCGCCGCAGGCTACGAAGTTGCCGGAGGGTGCGTAAGCGCAAGTCATCACCCATGATGATCGCAAAGGGATCGCATGGACCTGAAATCACAACGAGAATAGATCAGTTTTTTTTTTCGGAGTGCGTAATGGTTTTTGGGGAATTTTAGGTAATTCCATTACTCGCAGGTAAACAGTTTACAATCATCGGAAACGAATGATGTAAATATTATCAGTGTTTATTAGTAACTCGATTACAATTCGAATGCATGCATACAGAGGTTGTTTGTGTATTTGACCTGAATTCCGGATTTTTAAATGACTAGCGAACGTACAAAGAAACCGCGACTATAAATATCGAAAAGAATTGATCGACTTTTTCTAATTTTTGCAGGTACAATTTTAAAATAAAACGCTCAAAACCACGCACTACGAATAGTTTCAAAATCTAATGTAACCCAGATGTATTTTCGGACGTGGAAATAGAAAAAAGCAAATACATTCAATGAAAAATAAGATTCAATACTAATGTTGAATAAATAAAATGACTGTTCTTGCTTAACGGTGTGTAACTAGACACACACAAATCTAAAATTAAAATAAAGTGCTAAATACTATCCATCTAAAAATCGAAAATATTTATTTCAAAATCCCCATATACCAATATACAAGGTGTCCGAAGCACGTCTCCAACCAAACTAGAGTTTTAGAAGTAGAAAAATTTGCTGTAACAATCGGAATGGCTCACCTTATTTGTTGTATGGCTGTCCCAGACGATGAGTTTACCATCCTGTGAAGCTGAGACAAGGTTTCGCGAATCGGAGCCCCAATGCATGGCGTATATCTTGGCCAAGTGGCCCCGAAGGGTGCGTCTGGTTCGCATTTGCACTCGTCCGATCGGATCGAGGCTGGCAGTAGCTTGCACCAAAGACGTGTCGCATGCCGCTTTTCTGGCATCCTAAAACAAACAGAATTTATGAAGAAAATTTGTGATTGTTGCAGTTTCATAGAGCTGTTTCCATTTTATAGGCGAGGTTTGGAAACAAGGTTAATTGTGCTGTAAAATTCTCATCTACGAAAGATCGTATTTTGAATTGTTTGGATCAATTTAAAAGTTTAGTGTAGTTGATTCGATGCAATTTTCAGTGGTATCAATTTAAACTGGTTCATTACGAGTGTTAGGAAGGGAAACAATCTGTGTCATGTTCCGTTAATCAAGCAATTAATACCGCAGTAAAAAATGGCACAATCGAAAAAGCTTGATAAATAACGCAGAAAATAAAACGGTGAAACATAGAAATTGCATTACGTTAGTATGCAAACGATTTGAATAAAAGTCTCGATAGAAATTAGAGTACTGCATATCTAATATATGAAAAATGTAATTATCCAATTATACCGATAATTTCATATACGCACGTGTTAAATAACGCATATTTCTTTAATTATACCTCTGCATTTTAATGGCACTAATTTAAGCATTATTCCAATAAATATTAGCAATTTTATTGCTCGTTTTATTGTCAATGACCTTATTTTTCTGCAAAAATCAATCACTCAGAAAATTCTAGTCACATCCTTTCGTGAATCACAAGATATGCAGCGCATTCTTTATTAAATGTCAAATAGCATTTTAATTAATGTCAAATTCTCTCTACTATAATAGTATTAATTTTGCAAGCATCATTAAAAACAATCAATCTACGAAAATATTAAATATTTCTTTCCAAGTAAATAAAACAATTCAAACTGCTAAGCACATATTTGTAATATATCTCGCATTAAGCGTTTCTTATCATTGTGATAATTCCTCATTCACAACCGCAGAATATTACTAATGTACCATGTGAGGTAAACGAAATTTTTTTATCTCATTTAATAACAACATGGAACAAAGATCGCAACAATTAAAATTTATAATTATCGCGTAGGTAATTGTTGTTTTAATTTAAAATTTATTCGTACACATAAAACGTATTAAAATTTAATTAGAATTCAGAAATAGTCTAGCATACATATTCGTTTATATAAAAATAAGTCGATTTCGTTTCATAGAAAATTGTGTTTATTTAACGGAATCTGCTCTTATTTTTATCTGTGTCTTGTCAAAATTAAGTATATGAAATACGCACAAAAACTAGTAAAATAGCATCAATTTCACAATCAACTATAATGGGATTAATTAATTGGATACTCACTCTAATGGCATTTTTGAGGGTTTCAGCTTCTTGCCTAAGATTTTCCAGTTCGTTCATACTGTTTGAAGCAAAACGAATTTATTCCTCCTGAAAAACAAAATAGGTATCAATCGAGTCAAACAAACCTGCACTGTATAAGATAAAAGAAATGCTCGGTGAATTCTTTTTTGGCTTTCTCATACAACAAATCGGTAGCGTTTATCACGGTAATAAAATGTACTATAACTTCAACATGATCAATTAATGAGGGTTTCTTTATATGTGTTATGGATGAAGCTAGAAACCCGGGTAAATTGCGATATACCCAAGAAACGTGGGTAGGGAATCTAGGGTAGGGTAGATTTTTTGGGTTTCTTGGGTTCCCGTTCTGCTATGAAAAACCCACCTTACCCTACCCTACCAGCATTTCAGTAGTTTATCTTACTTTACCCTCAACATATGCATGAGAAAGAAATTGTTATAATAATTGGATAAAGATGTAAAATTGGAAAATCATCAGGAAAAGTGTTTGTGACAAAACAGGGAAAATTTTGGATATTTATATATTAATTGTTAATAATAAAATAGTTGTTTTATATAAATTTTGTCAAAATAATTGATTTTTTTGCCAGTGGCGTAGTAGTTTATGTAATTTTTGTAAAATAGCATAATTTGTACCCTTTTTTAAGTTAATTCTTTCATAATACAAACCATGCATTAAAATTTTTCAAAATTTAACAATAGATATTCAATATCTAATGAAATAAGCTAAAACAATTCGAATACTTATTCAACAGTGCTGCATTCCCCTCTGGAATAAGGATTAATTGTAATGTAATAAACTTAGCCCAGTTAAATTGGGTTAAATACTGTGTAATACACACCCTATAGTAAGTAAAAAACGGTAATAATAACCATTAAAGTAGATGAATTTAGGAAACTCGGCAACTGGTTTTCAACAAGTCGAAAAATCCATAAATTGGTTTCTTAGCACTCTAGCAACCTACAGAAAATGTCGATATAAATCGTATTAGAAATACTCGCGGATTAAAATTTATTAGCTACGCAAACGCCGCATGGGCGCGTACGAAAATCCACCGGAAAACTTGCATTGAGGCGGTGGAAAAAGTTAATTTCGAAAGTTAATTTTGAACTTCCCGCCACTGATACGGGAAGAAATGCTGGACACACCTACAATTTAATCGAAACTCATAAACAAGAAGTAATGTAATTAGCGCATTTTACGGAATGATGCAATTCGGCAGGACGGCGATTGCGGGTCGCGGCAACAAACCAACGGCTACTAAACCAAGAAAAACAGGGTTTTAAATAATAATTTGACAGCCGCCATGACAGTCCCTGCACCTGCTAGTCCGACATCGTTTAATGTCAATTTCGCAGCCTACTCGAAAAAATTACGCGTCGATATTCGTGCAATAAAAGCCGGCTAGATGCAAAGAGGATAATCGACTTACTTTCCAAAGCTTCGCGGCCGTCCTAAACCAATCACCTATAAAACTATCCAATGGTGCTCGGAAAATCACAACCACATCGGTTCACATACATGAAAAATAGATTGTCCGCTCCTAATATGCATGTAGAATTTGTTTGTACAAGTCTCACAGTTGGAGAATCATTACTCGCACACTCTACGCACCGAATTTTCCAATTTTCACAGGGTTTTTCGCCACTATCGTTCCTTGGGCGCGGTGAATACGACCGGTACCGTCCCTTCCCGTCTATCGTAACGATTATGGACCCGATTCGTGACGTCAGAGCTTCCATTTTGCATTTTACTTGCCATCTGTTCGTCAACAAATCAATCTAGTACGCCGCGACTTTACAGGAACCTGTAATTTAATTAACAAAACAACGAATCGATATATTCGCAGCGTTGCCAAGTATGCGACAATTTTTATATTTTTAGGGAAAACTCGAAAACAAACGAATTTGTAGTGCAAAGAAAAAAAGTTTATTACACTGATTACATATCAATATACATTTCTACTAATACGAGAAATACTAACCGATCACATGAGGTCCGATACGGACGTATAATATATCTACAAAACATTAATTTAACGGTAAATCAAAATCATTGACTACAGAAAAATTCGCAAGGATCAAATGTATTATATAAAACGCTACCCTACATTGTCAGACAACTGTTTGGACGTTAAGTTTCGGTTTGTACATTCGGTATTATTAAATAATCAATTAAAAAATAATTAAATTCTAAACTTCAATTTGTAGAAACAAGACAAACAGCCGGGTAATTACAGACTAAATTTTAATAACGATTTGGAGACTAATCTATCTAAAAACGCATTTAACGGTTTAGCAAGATAAAAAATAATTTAAATGAATTTTATACATCTTCAATAATACGAAGTACGTTTAACATGTGATATAAATAATCGAAAAAACCTGATTTTAATTGACCGAAAAGGCATTACCTACGGAGAAAAACTTGATGGAAATCAAATAAAATCACTACGTAAAAATAATATATTAAAAAAATTCACCAATATAATTTCAATGACTAAAAATATCACATTGGTTTTACATTACTTGAACTGCAGGGCCAATTACACTAGGCCAATTACGATGCGCCGAGAGAGTCGCGCTCCTAAAAATTTCTGATAATGGCCTTAATATTTCATCAGCTTAACGTATTTCCGATAAGATATTAATTAACAAAATTCAATACTTTCATTGAGATCAATAATTTTCCAACTTCCGAACAGATAAGTCAGTTTGCCTCGCTGGTTTCCATAACGATATCAAAAGAGAAAAACGATACTAACACTATCTAAAACTACAAAAATTTAAGATCAATATAAAACTGAAAACTCGAAATAAATTAATGCCAAGTTTTTTAGACGTGATGCGGTTTTTAACGAACGCTAAGATCGGGAAAATTTTCAAACTCAATATGTACAAATTGTATCACTACGTGGTAGAAATATAGGGTGTTTCTTATCAGTACTACTCGAGTCTTACCAGTCATTAACAACTACATCAAATCTAAAATAACAGTTATTGTTACAGTCACAAAAGTACTTTAAAATACATACATATTGTTTACATCAATGTACACTTAATGTGATTTTAGGTAGTAACATGTACTAGGCCTTACAGTGTTCAGGCATTCGATTTTCGAAAGAAAAAATAATTTTTAGAAAAGCTGGTTACAGTGTTAGTTATATGAATGCTAGAAATTAAAAATGTTTATTCACAATGGGCCTTTGACCAGTACACAAATTGGTAAATCGCAAATTGGTCGAATGCCGATCGAGAACAGTTTATAATATTTAATTGTTTTGCTTACTTTTTGTATTAATAAACCCTTATATTTATGCATTTTAAAAAGAACTACAAATATTAGAATTAGTTATAAAAAAATTCAAGAAAATAAATACGTTTCAGATAAAAAATAATGTCAAATAACGTCGACTACAGTGTAGGTAGAAACACTTAAAAAATCCTATACTTTTGGCCTACTATCATATGTACAAATTAGATTATTTAACAAATCGCTCGCAACAACAAGAACAGATCCAACAAAAAAAAATACAAAATCAACGCCAAGTACGAAACCAACTCAAATCAACAAAACAACAATGTCAAATAATCCGATTCATGCAGATCCGCGCCTCTATCACATCCTAAACCTGCGAATTCGAGATTTTCCTTTCCAACGTGCTCGCCGATTCGATGCCGCTATCCTCATCCCCGCTATCCAGCAAACTAGCCTCGCCTCTCACCACCTCGATCTTCAACTTACACCGCCCGTCGTCCCCGTCCTCCTTCACCAAACTCCTCTCCAACTCATCGATCCCCGCCGGCTCCCGCGGATGGTAGGGCAACGCCTCGAAGGAAACGTTCTCGTCGGGCGGCGTCTCCACGTGCTGCACCATAAACCGGCCCTTTCCGAACGTCGTAAACGCCGGCTTCTCTCTGACGACGTGCTCCACCGGGCTGGGCGGCAGGTCGAGCTTCAGCCGGTTCCTGGTGTGCCGCAGGCCGCCCAGCGCCTCGCCGTTCCGCAGCGCGCGCTGCTTGCGCCTGGCCACCGCCTCGGCGGCCAGCTGGCGCAGCTCGGGCACCGGCGGCGGGCGGTAGTCGCCCGCGCTGGGCGTCACGTCCTCGACGCCGCTGTCGGGCGTCGCGCTCTCGAACGCCCAGCCGCCGCCCGGGAAGAACTGCGAGTGGGATTGGAACGGCTGCGACGAGCCGGTGACGAAGAAGTCGCCGTCCGCGTTCGGGGCGCTGTAGGCGTCTGGAAATCGAGATTATTATTTTTTTTTACGTATTCCGCGACACGGTGAATTTTGTTAATCGATGCGAGAGACAATTGTTTTGTATTAATCACTAACTCCAATAACTAAAAGCCAATTCAACATTGATGCGTTTCCAAAATTTATGCAACGTCGATATGGACGATTAGGCTAATTGTGTGGTATCTAACCTGAATTGAGATCCGAAATACATGTTAATTGGTATAGATTTTCGTGGCTTTTAATATCGTTTGTTCTGTTAGTGATATTTGTCGTTTCGTCGTTCGCTTGCGAGATATCGAATACTTCACCATCAAATTCCCAATCTATAAAGGAAATTTTCGGCATTAATCGGTATACAAACGCGTAAAACGTTCGTTATAATTAATTTTATCGCATGTATATATACCAAAAATAATCGTTCGAAAGCATTCATTGTACACTGTTAAGTAATCAATTAAAATTGTTACAATTCCTATAAGAACTATTAATTACTGTTTTTATACCAACCAGCAAATGAGTTGAACTCCGATTGTTTCCACAAATCTTGAGGGGGTATTATTGGGCTTTCTGGTTCTTTGGGATACTCGTATATGCAATGGTATTTCTGCTTTTTAAACCACACACCTTTCGACTTCCTCTAAAAATACACAAGACAAATTTATATCTACCCATTAACAATAAGTACAGTTCGACAGGAATAGCAAGAGACTCGATATTTAATGAAGTCTACTCGGCTATACATGTCGATCTGTAGATAAGAAATACCTCTTCGGGTTTGTTTAAGGTTTTCTCTGGAGATCTCAAAGCTGATTTGCTGGGCATGGCGAATTTGTCCCAAGCCGACGGTACGAATTCCGGGGTTTCCTCGTCGTCCGAAAAACTGCTGCTCACGTCGCTTTCTTCGTAAGCATCTTCGGCGATTCCTTCCATGGGTTTAACGGTATCCAACTAAAATTAAACGGTAATCAATAAATGAAGCTATGTGGTATGAAAAGTAAGCGAAAACTTAATGTGTTCGCATCAAGAAGTTCCGCTTAAATGATAATATTATAGAAGACCTTCTAGAGTATCTTATAATATTCATTTTGTACTCACCGCATCTTGGATGGCGGCTCTTAAGGTCTTTATCGATTCTTCGTGTTCTCCTTCCTAATCGTTACAAACACAATGTACATTTATTTACAATGGGATAGGTATAATCGCAAAATTCAATTCATATTCCCTTTATTACAACAATTATAGGTATTAGAGAGTTGAATAAAATAATTTTCGGATGAATTTTGCCATTATTTATGCAGTGATTACTTATGGATAGAAGCTCGTACTATAACACAGAACAAGTAATTTTTCCAGCAAAAGAAGAGTATAGGTGTGTGTATGTGTGGAAACTAAGAATACTGTGAATTGAGTAAACAATATTTGAAACTTATAGGAATATTATCATTTTTATAATTGAGTCGCTCAGCGTTAGAGTACCTCAACTGCGAATTCCATTAGCTGGTATCAATCAGGAAAAAGTGCATATTTTCCAAATTTTAAGTCTACATGGGCCCAAGTATGCACGCTATATCTTTTAGTGACCTAGAAAAGCACATTTGGGCCAATGTGGACTTGAAGTTTAGAAAATATGCAGCACTTTTCCTGATTGATACCAGCTAATGCAATTTCGCAGTTGGGCGCGATTGAATTATACATTCCTATACATTTATTGGTGGTTAAATTGTGCAAAATTAGGTAGGGTATATGTCCAGAGTACGATATTCTAGTTTATACACAGTTCTGCGAGTGATTACCAATAAGAGCATGCTTTCACAGGTAAGTTGTACGAGTACACATGAATACAAAATGGATCAAAATCGAGTCATACCTTCCAAATAAACTCCCCGCTTGAACTGGACCTCGAATCCGACCCGCTCTCCCACTCCTGCTCTTCGCTGAACGACGTCGACATCATCTGATTATCCGCCGGTCCGGTGAACCTGATATCCGTCAAAATCCCGTAAATATTATCATCATCATCGCTCCTATCGTCGTCGTCGTGCCCGTAGATGTCTATGTAACTGCTCTTGTCCACCGAATTCCTGTCGTTCTCCATGTTCACGATATTAACGTAGTCTCGATAAGGATCGACGTCCTCCTTACCGGCGTTTTCGTACAAATCCTCCGGCCCGGCTTGATCCTCCGCTACGTTAACGTACGGGCTCTCCTCGAGCTTGGCGCGATTCTCGACCGTCGGGGAATTCTCGTAGGCCGGCTCGACGTTCTCCTTGTCCGAACTTTCCAGATTCCCTTCGGCGGAGTCGCCGCGCCGCTGCAACACCTCCGGTTCATCCTTGGTGTAGGTCAAATGGTCCTCGCTGGTTTCGGTGTCCGTATCGGAATCCTCGCCGTGGGAATTCAACGGGTCCGCTTGTGCGTTGCAATTACTACCTACATTCAAATCGTTCGGTTTAGTACAATCGCAAGCGGTTCGTTCGTTCGCCAGGAATTGTTGTATGTACGTTTTGTTCGATTCGCTCGAATCGGTCGATTTCTCGCACAGTTCGGGTTCTTTATCGGCCTCGGAGGCGGCGCATATCAATTCCTCCAAGTTGAACAGCGTGTCGTTCGAGCAGCAGGAATCCTGGCTGGGCGTGTGCCGGTTGAATTGGCCTCGAACCGGGCTTTCGAGAGCCATCGCCGAGTTGCTTTCGGGCGTCAACGTTTCCGTTTTGCCGGACCAATCCGCCTCTTCCTGCTCTTTCTCCGGTCTGAAATAGAAATAGCTAAGGTTACGGAAAATGTTAGAGGTAGTGGATTCGGTGTTGTTTACTTGGGAGATTCGTCGTATTCCTCCGTGTAGCTTTCTTCGGGAATAGGTGATAGAGGAGTGCACACGTTGTACCTCAGATACACTTCGTTTCTTTCGCAAGTATCCCAGTCTTCTTCTTCTCTAATTCGTTCGGTATTACCGCCCTAATGAAAAATAAATCGATGAATAAGTTACTCGATTAGTTCGTTTATATTATTTGATTGAGTCGATTTGTACATACAGAAATACAATCAGCAGAGGTTGTATTAAGTTTGTTACCTGAGCGTGGGGTAATTTACTCAGCAATTCGTTTCTGATGGCGGACATTACTTCATCGTCGATGCCGAAACCGATGTAGCTTTCGGTATTGCTGGGCGATTGGATTTCGATATTTCCACATAGATCGCTGGTCGGTTGGGGATGCAAGAACCAGCCGCCGCCGTTTTCGAAAGTACCTTCGTTTAAATCTGAAAAAAGTATAAAAAATAACACAAGGTGTTGCATTAATAGTATAATACTTACCACCTTCCAGGTTGAGTGAATCGGGAGTTTGTTTAACGAACGTACAATTTCCACCATTTTCGTTATCATTATCAGGATCTTGTTTAACAAACGTGGAATTTCCTTTTTCCTCCACCACGAAAGTACCCTCGAGCGGCCGATCCGGAGCCTTCCCCGGCACTTCGTAAGTAGTATTCGCGACGTTTATCGCATTATTCGAATCGTTTATTTCATACGTACAATTCACCGGAGCCTCTTTACGCAATGTTCGAGTTCTATCGGCATCTTTGGCCTCATCTACCACCAGCAAACCCCTCGGCTCCGAGTTAAAACTGTCGAAATCGTCGCCGTGATCGTCCATCGTGGTTCCCAAGAAGTTATCCCACGTCTCCAGCGAGTAGTTCAACGGCGCGGCCTCCTCGCCCGCATCCTCCTCGCCCAGCGTAAACGGCACGATGCTGGAGAAGGCGTCGTCGCCGGGCAGGGAAATCTCCCGCTTCCTGTGCGGCGTGCTGGTGAACAGATTCGAGTGCGTGAGCGGATTCGGCATGGCCTCTTTCTGCTCGAGGCTCAGGTCGAATTTCACGGCGGGAGCGCGGGATACCTCTGTATCTACTAGATTTTCGCTTGTTGGTAATTCGTACGAGCATTCCTCGTGAATCTCTACAGCTTCGTTATCTAAGGTAGTACTAGAGTGTTCTTGTTTAGCGTTACATTGTAAAGCTACGATTTTGGCAATAGCGTTTTGTAAGATGTCTCGTACGATTTCCGATATTCTCTCATCGACGGCGCCCTCTATAAACGTTATGTTTTCATTCGAAGGTGCAACTGGAGCAATCTCGCTATCGAAAACGAACGTGTTGGTTGCCGGTACGTCAAAAGTTCGCTCGAGCGCCGCATCATCCTTTAAACTATCACAAAATTCAGATCCATTGGTGGTGGAATTACAGTCTACGTCTCTCGCCGGCGCGCTCAATTCGACGGTGACGTTGTAAACGTTGTACACCCGATTGACCGGCCGGATGTCGTTCAGTTCCCGCATCGGCTTCGCCTCCTTGTCGCCCAAGCTCCTTCGATCGGGCACGAAAGGCATGCTGTCCCTGCGCTCCTCCTGCAACTTCCTCAGCTCCTCCTGGAAGTCGTCCTGCACGCTGAGCAGGTTGCCCTCGCTGCCGAACGTCAGGTTCCCCGCGTCTAAGGTATTGGCCAGCCTGACGTTCTTGTAGTTGATCCTGTAGTCTAAACTAGGCAAGGGGGTTTCGGACTCGGATTCCGAGTAATCCACGTGCGTGAGGACCATCAGATCGGCGACGGATCGGGACTTCTGGCGCACTTTCTCGGTGTAAGCGCCGCGCTCGACTTTGTTCCTCCAGTTCTCGTCTTCGGTCTCGCTGCCGCTGCTCGCGGTCCTTCGGTACAGGTCGGTTTTCAATTCGTTTTCGATGGACACGTTCGCCAGGTTATCCAGCGAGCCGTGCAGGTTGGTCATGCTCGGCGACGGGGACTTGCCCAGATCGATGTGGTCGGTGTTGACGATGCAATTCGGCTTGCACGACTCCCATCGCCGGTCGAATTCGTCGATTGTCGATGACTTGTAGGAGGTGTTGCGGTGGACGCGCAGCAGATCGGCCAGCATCAGGTCGATTTGGGCCGCCGACGGCCGCGACTCCGGGCTCGTCCAGCAGGATTTCATCAAGCCGAAGCTGCAACGAAACAATGACGAATAATAACGCGCAATTGCTGCATGCGGATTATTATTTTTTTTTTGGCGCGGTGAGTCACGGCGGTGGGTGTGAATAGTTTATGCGAAAACTAATATTTATAGAACGGATGTTCCTTTTAATGCAGCGCGGGTTTCTTTCTGGCGGCAGTAGACTGGGTTTTTCGACGAGAAACGTTCGGTTAACGATGAAACTTCTCGTAGTCGCGGTTCTTTGCGCTATTTTCGTAAACGCCGACGCTTGGGTGGCTTTTATAAAAGCTGACCCCGAAACAGGTACGCTATATACCCGCATAAAAATCAACAATTATTCCCTAATAACCAGCAATATGCGACAAAAAAACCAATCTGTAGTCACAGGGAAATTCGCCTAACAAAATATTTAACTGACCGATTTCTAGCGCACTTGGGCGATTGCTACACGACTCACCACAAATTAGGCGCCATGAAAAGTGGCGAGGAAAGGAGAATCGAAGGACAATGCGCTGTCGCAAGGTGCAGCACAGGAGGCGACATACAATTAGTAGGGTAAGCACAGGCTTCGCGTCCCCACAGTTTGTCAAATTGAAGCTTTAAGTGCATAGGCGAGCGCTGAATGCGTTTCTGTTGTGTTCCAGATGCGGTAAAGTGATGGCAATGCCGCCGCTGCGAGTGGACCCGGGCGATTTGTCGCTGCCGTACCCGCAATGTTGCCCGCACATTGCCAAACCCGAAGTTACAATCGGCAGCTTCAATCCCGCGTTGGAAAAACAAGGCTCGGCTACGTTGTGACGAGTATCCGTTTAACGGAGACGATCTATATGTACTAAGAGGCTTCAATGTTGATTGTATACGTGTAAAATATTATTTTTGATAAATTTAAGTTTAAATTAATACTTGTAAGTAGCTTAGTAACTAATGAGAGAGCGATATAACAGAAGATATATTCTAATCTAAAGTTTATCAATCATGGCCGTTTATTGTACAACATTTTTGTTATTAAATATATGCAGGACGAAAATAAAATTTTTAAATTAAAACGTAATTAGAGTCCTAACGAGGAACGTCGAAATCGCGATGAGAACCTTGGTTTTAATGCTACTTTTATTTATTGTCCGTGCTTACGGAACGCTGATGTTTGTTCCGAATGAAATGGAGAAAGGTAAATATAAAAAAAATTATAAGAGATGTTTGATGTACTGGTATGTTTTTCATGGACAATCATCTAAAAATGAGAAAATTGTGGGTTTTACAGTCATTTGAATTGACTATAATAATTCGAAATTTTCGAGTCATATTGAAAATTTTATGAGTAATCCAAAAATGTAATAATGCGTTGATCGGCACTTTGAAATATCTAGGAACATAAAAAATCTTAAAAATAACTAAATAATAACTCATTTAATAGTGTAGCTGGCTGCAGAAAAAAATATTTTGATCTACTCTATTTACTAATAAGAATATAAAAATTTTGCAGCACCGCCCGGAGGATGCTTTACAAGTGAACGAAATATCGGAGCTATGGAAAAAGGTGAACAGAGAAGACTAGTAGGTGAATGCACCGTTGCAGACTGCGATGGCGGTGAATACATATCATTTATGGGGTAATATTTAAAAAAGACGAAGCGACACAATCTATAATAAAATTTTTAATAAAAAAATATACCGATTTGCAAAAATCGCTATTTTTTCTAGTATTGAAAATTCACTATTTTGAAAAAAAAAATTAAAATAGATGTCTCGCCTCGTCGACTCGCACTGTATTAATTATGACTATTCTTTGACTTTGTATATTTTAGTTGTGGTTTAGTTTCTATCACGTGCAGAAACGGTAAGCCTGCCAAAAAATTATCGGGTGATCTACTGTTGGAGTATCCAAGATGTTGCCCAGAATTACTGTGCCCGGAATATGTTTAATGAAGAAATAATGCAAGAAAAATGCAAATAAAGTTACGGAAATGTTTATGCCATTTTAACATACGCATAAAATACTCGTGTTGATCAATTTTAAAATAATTAAATATAAATAAACATTTGTCAGTAAGTGAAAAACTTTACAAAGAGAAATATTATCATCTCGAAAGAAACGATAATATTTAATGATTAATTAATCTAAAGTTTATCAATCACATGGACGTTCATACTGTACAACACTTTTGTAATTAAATATTCAGTGCGAAAATATAATTTTTATTTATGTAAATATAATTATACTCGTAATGAATAAAGTCGAATTCGCGATGAGCAACTTAGTTCTGGTGCTACTTTTATTTATTGTTCCCGCATACGGAGAGACATGGGGGATTAAGAGCGAAATCGAAAAAGGTAAATATAAAAAATATCATCATTATCAAGTCATAATAAAAATTGTTTGAAGAATCCAAAATTGTAAAAATATACAGGATATTCCAAAGTTCTAGGTAAAATCTACTACTAAAAAAAAATCCTAATCTACTTGATCTACTAATAAGAATATAAAAATATTCCAGCACCTCCGGGGGGATGCTATAGTTCATATGGAAATCTTGGCGCTTTGGAAAAGGGCGAGAGCAGAAGATTGGTGGGTCAATGCGCCCTTGCATTCTGCAGTAACCGTGAATTCATTGGTGTAATAGGGTAAATTTTACTAACAAGACGAAGCGACACAATCTATAGTCAAATTTTTACCTAAAAATGTATTCCGATTATCAAAAAAACCGGTATGACTGTTCCGCTTCGTCCACTCACACTATATTAGTTGTGAATATTCTTCTCTTTTGTGAATTTTAGTTGTGGTTTATCAAAAGAAAGCTGCAGAAACGGCAAACCTGCCAAAAAATTACCGGGTGATCTACTGTTGGAGTATCCAAGATGTTGCCCAGAATTACTGTGCCCGGAAAATGTTTAATGTAAAAATATTGTGAAAAAATGCAAAATAAAGTTAACAAAACGATTTTTTCATCATTTCATATTGCAATTCACAAATTCTTCAAGGATAAACATATAAAATACCCAAAATACAAGTCGACAATTAATTAAGAGCGATAATTTTTCGTTAATTCGTTTATACTTCGAGGCAAAAAAATGTTGTTTACATTAGCAATAGGTCAGCATGTTATCACTGCAATGTCCCACAAACAAATTCCAAACTCTCAAGCGATAGCACACGCATAAGTTCAACCAGACATCAACGATGAAATCCGCTCTCTTCCTGCTCTTCTGCGCCATTTTAAACGTACACGCTTGGGTGGCATTGATCCCAAACAATCTCAATAAAGGTAAAAATATTAACAAAACAAATTTTAAAAACAAAATCGTTAGTCTCCACTCGTTTACAGCCCCGCCAGGCGGCTGTTACGCCGACAATAATAACATCGGCTACATGGACAAAAACGAAGTCAAACGCATACAGGGAATGTGCGCTATAGCCAAATGCCAAGGCAGTTTCATCGAAATGGAAGGGTACGCATCGACTTCCACCGCAACCACAAAATTTATTGTATTTTGTTTTTATTCCAGGTGCGGTTCCGTGTCCTTCGCGCCGCCCTGCAAGAAGCTACCCGGCGATTTGCGGAAACCCTTCCCGCATTGTTGCTACGAAAAAATCTGTCCCGAAGAACCAGAAACCGATATCGACACCTTCGAAGTCGACAATTTGCTCGGCACGGATTGAACGCGTCACGCTCGACTCCAAGGGATGAATTATTTTAATCTATACGTGTAACTTATAATTATATCGCCTTAAGTATGTTATCTAGCTTTAGTATCCTCTCTAACTTCTGTACCTTCTATAACTTCAGAAGCCTCTCTAACTTTTCTACATTTAATAGTTTCTCTAACTTCTCTACCTTCAGTAGCTTCTATAACTTCAGTACCTTCTCCAACTACAGCATCTTCTCTAACTTCTATACCTTCTCTGACTTCAGTACATTTTTTAACTTCTGTATCTTTTCTAACTTCAGTACCTTCACAAATTTCAGCACCTTTTGAAACTTCTGTACTTTATCAAATTTCTATACCTTATTTACCCTCAACACCTTCTCTAACGTCTGTACCTTCTCTATCTCTACCTTCAGTAGTTTCTCTACTCTCAGTATCTTTTCTAACATCTGTACCTTCTCTACTCTCTCTATCTTCAGTAGCTTCTCTACCCCAAATACCTTCTCTACTTTCAATACCCTGCAGGATCTTTTGTACATACATTCATTCGAATACTCACATATAATCGGTATAAATAGCCGGATAGGTGGGCCTTCCCAGAGTGACGCTGGCCGCGACCAGCACCTGCGAGACGACGTCGTCGTCGCTGAGCGCCTTGTAGGGCTGCTCGCCGCATTCGCATATCTCCCACATGGCGACCGCCAGCGACCAGACGTTCGCCTCCTGGGTGATCGGCTTCGGTTCGATGGTGGTCGACGTGCAGACGAGCGACTCGGGCGCCCGCCATCTGACCGGCACCGACGCCTCGCCGCGATAGTAGTCGGACGGGTAGGCGAACGGACCGAGGCCGTAGTCGCCCAATTTCAGGGCCAGATCGGCCGACAGCTGGCAATTTCTGCTGGCCAAATCGCTGCGAAAAAGATTCGTTCCGATTAACAGGAAGGTTGTAAAGGAAGAGGAACTAAGGAAGTAGTAACGAGCAAGCTAGCCTCAATAATGATTAGCGAGGAAGTTTTTTTACGACTGTTTACTTACTGGTGAACGATGTTCCTTTCGTGAAGATGTTTCAATGCAGAGGTTAATTGACAGCACCACAATAAAGGATATTCCGTGGACAGTAGCTTCTCCGGTTCAGCCTTATTCGATTGCAAATAGCGTTTCAAATCTCCCTGTAATTGATGCGCAACGTTAGATAAAATGCGCTACTATCGATACATTTTTTTTATAATGTCCGAGGAGACTATTATATTCGGAATGTACGGGCGATAAAACGAAATATGATCGTAAAATAGGAGCGTAAAATTTATATTTAAACCAGCAAGTGTTATTTTTGGCTTGTTCGTAATTAAACAACCCTTCAAAAGCTGCTAGACAAACTCAATAGCATTAGAAAGAAGCTTTTACCTGAGGACAATACTCTTGTAGCAACAGAAATGGTACAGTTTCCAAGGACCTGCCGATTAACGACAGAATGTTATCGTGACTGCCGCATTTGTATATCGCAGCGTCCCGCAAAAATAGCATTTTCTCCTTTTGACTAGAGGTTGCTTCTAATATTCTAACCACTACCGGCGTCCACGATTGTCCTTCGTCGTTTACGTCCTGAGCGGCTCCTTGCACGACCTAAAAGTTATCGAATTTAATACCATTGCTTAGGAGAGAAGAGATCGATTACCTTTCCGAACCATCCCGTGCCCAATTCCTTGATGTACTTCAATTTATTCCTGGGGAAATCCTCTTCGTTTTGACCTAGAATATATCATAGAAATATAAACCCAGCCATCCATAAAGCGGGTTTTCTTAATGATGCAATATCAGATATCACGATTCCGATTATTGATGAAACTTTAACTAAATTAATCACGATTAATCAAAGCAAGGTTGGCAATAAATTAAAGGAAAATTGAACATCGCACGCCCAAAACAAAACGTTGCGGCTAATTGTTTTGTTGATTTTTCACGGATTTGCGATATTACATCAAATCAAAACGGTTGTATAGTGAAGTAATTTACAACTTCATAGAAATTTTTACGATGTGCTATAAAATAATTCTATAAACTGTTCTACTTACCGAACCACGATTTAATATCGTAGGCGCTTTCAGTTGAATTTTCGACCGTCCTAGCCTGTAAAAATCAATTTTATTAACATTTAGTTCCGCCATTTCTGGCTTATTTTACGGGATTTAAAAAAAAACAATAAGGCTGAAGCTGATAGATTTTTGAAAAAATCCCCTTTCGAAACCAAATATATTTTGTTCAAAATTATGGTAAATAAAACAAATTTATGAGAGGAGTTTCTTGCCAATATATCGTGCATATGTCTAAAATAAACAACCTACAAACATACATAATATTTTGTAATTAAATCACAAACTACTGTTAGCTAATCTATGACAAATAACCTACTCTACCGTGGACTAATACTTTTACGAGTAGATTTAAGAATTATGTTACGTTTTTATATAAAAGCTGTTAAATTTGAAAAATTATAAATGCCCTCATCAGCTTCTTGAAATGAATGTGCGTGACAAAATATTGAAACTCACATTTCTTTCATCGTTGGGATGAAAAATGTTGTTGTTAAAAGGCGACGTTGACAAGGGGGAAAATATGGTAAATTCGCCGTTTGCAATGGGATTTACATGCCCATGGTCGACGCTGGAACTAGAATAACCTACAGGACTGTTTTGAAATTTCTGAAAAGAAAAAAAAAACTCTTTCATTTACAATCACTACATTTATGAATTTAATAACCCAGCCGAATACCAAGTGGTCCTTTAAAAATGTGCTATATTCTGTAAAATCGGTACCCGTCTAGTATGCAGTCTACCCAAATTAATTTTATAAAAACGATTTATTACAAAGTATAACAGCAACATTTTGAAAAATGACAATTCATTAAGCAGAATAAAATATTTTACTAGTATCATATTTTGTATGGAATAGCAGATAAGTAATTCAATTTATCGAGAATTACGAGAGTATAAGAATTATACAGGGTGAGTTCTTTTCGATGTTTAGTATATTAACTAGGAGATAAAAAAAATTAAGTGGATAAACATTTGCAATTTTGTGAGACATGTTTACAACAAGTTTCACTTTCGCAAAATATGACACCTGTCAAAGTATTTAAAATACTTAGGCTACGAAATATGTAGGTAGACCCCATACTATACCGACACCCAAAGTGGTGATCTATAAATGGGACACACTGTATCGTTTACCACAGTTAAATTTATCTGGTTATTCAGATTCACTTGAATAAAGGCTAAGAATGTATCCCTCTAATGGATCATACAAGTGAATGAAACTATACAGTGTGTCCCGTAAATAAACCACAATCTTTCAAAAGTGTCATTGCACCTAAAATTGTCTCATAAAGTAAACTAAAACGATGCAAATTAAACATAGAATTCGAATGCACTGTAGCAAGTGGCATCGCAACGACAAACGTTAAGATACGGCACATTGATAAGTCTTAATAAAAAGTAAAAAAAGGAAATGCAACGAGCACGCGTAGGATGATAAAACAAAGGAACTTTATCTTTAAGCGGAATTTATAAACCAACTAAAAAAAATTAAAAATACTGTACGAGAACTCGACGCAAACAAACCCCAGCTATTACAAAATATAACAAACTCGATTCTAATGTAAAACAGGTAATGCATGCGTAATGATCCAAAAAAAATGTATCGATAACAAGACAGTTGTAATTAAAACAATTTTCCATTGATGCAATTTAAAATCGCCATAGCATTAATTAATTAAGAGGCGGCAATCGCCTATGAACATCGTCTCAATCCATAATTCCTTTAAATGCCTACCTACGCGATATGCAGTCCGTGCAACGACTAAACAGAACTCGACTAATAAATTTATCGCTTACCTTCTCTGGATCCTGCACCTGAGCGGCATCGCAAAAATATAAATACAACAATTAAACGGGAGCACGGACATTACGTGTGCAGAAAGCATGAAGTGAAAACGGCCGATTCGCTAATCGCTAATAAATTTTTTGACGCGTAAAATAAACAGTTTGGCGATCGCTAATCCGAATATTATTGGTATTAGAATACGCGAATTTCGATCGCCTTATTCGCCCGATTCCGTTTCGAAAAACACCAAACGAAAAATATATTTTCGATGTCGAATTTTAACCAATGCCCACGCCGTAAATAGTGAGTAATTGGATAAAATTTTGGGCGATTAAAAATATAATAAAAACTTCATAATTTTGTTTAAAATCGTTCAAAAACGGAATCGGACGCTTGAAAACCACTGATTCTTGCGGTTATGTGGTATGCTATCATTTCTGTTCTACTTATCGCTAATATTTTTATTGCAAATAAATATAATAAAATTTATACCTCGAAAGCTTGCTTCCTCCTGCAGAAAAGACATGCTGCTATGAAAACCAAACAGCAGACAGTCAACAGAAGGGAAATAATACCAGTTAAAAATTTGGTTTGATAATCTGGAACAAACAAAAATGCCTATGAATAATAATTATTAATATTTATTACTAAACGTTAACAGTTAATGGAATTTTCCTTAATTATTTGCATCTTAAATCATTCAATTACCATATTACACTTATTACTCATTCTTTAAATATTTGTTATTTAATATCTCATTAACTGTAGGTAATTTGTGCACATAGAATAATTTATTTCCTGATGAGATACGCAAATCTGGATCTTTTCCAATCGTGCAAATACACAGGTTGTCTCAGTAGAGTAATTAGAATAACTTTAAGGTGAAGACAATCAAGTGACTGGGATTTTATCAGTTATGAATAAATTTCCTGAAATTCTCATTAATCCCAATGGGTCTTTACATTGCAAAAAGAATTTGAGGGATTCATTATTTAAAAATGTGCATTTTTTGTACTTTAGCGAATCTAAAATAATATTTATGGTAATAAAATGGTGTAATAATTTAATATAAATGAAAGGTTGTTGTTCTAACAGGATTTATAAAAAATATGAGTAATTATCGTGCAAGATTCTATATTTAAATTATTTGTATTCCACTCTACTTGGTAACGAAAACTGCATTTTGCTGCAAAATAATAGGGAATGAAAATATAAAATAAAATGAAATTAATTAAATAAAACTATAGTTATAAAATTTTAGTAAATATCATAAATCAAATATGCTTAATAGCAACAAAATATGTCTAGTACTAGTTTAATTTCGTTGTAATTAAATAACAAACTATTGCAATAACAATTTCTTTAATAACTAATTGATAACAGATAACTACAACTTTATCTGGTGTGGAGTTTAATGTGTAACAAGCCGTTTGATTCAATGACGATTCTCGCAGACAAAATAATGACTCACCTATTTCTTTGGAGCCAGGTACAGCAGGATTCCCGTTACATAACTGGAAGCACAACAAACAGAAACAAAAACTCGGCCATTTAAATGATATTTCCATAATTCGAATCCTTCTGGACTTGCTAAACATACACAATTTTATTGATCGACTGCGATTTTTTCGGTTAAAGTTTTGTCACATTTTAATTGGCACAGATTGAACACTGTCACTTTAAAACCGCACGGTTAATATTGTGAACCATAAATTAATATAACAATTTTTAAAGACGAGGCGATGTTTCCATAAATTTGCAATTGATTTTTTTGACAGATGGTTAGAAATGAAACCTTGGAAATTGATGTCATAAAAAAACGCTTCCTGACAGTTATGTCAACTTGGGTTTGGGTGCGTTCGGATTTTACGCTTTTTCGGAACGCAACCAAAAATAATTAATTACCAAAAGTAAATAAATTTAGTTAAAATAAATTTTAGCAATAATCAGCTACATATTTCTCAACTTAACACAAATAAATAAGAAACAAAGAAATACAACAACGAAGTTTATTGGTGACACATATCGGCTGTCACTGTCAAGTCAATTGTCATCAGTCAATAAATTTTATAAAAAGCATTGAAAAGAACTGGAAAGAAGGTTATTTTTAATTTTTGATATACAAATTTGGATCTCAAATAAACACATTTTGAAATGGATGATCCAGAATTGGAACAAATTAGAAAGCAAAGATTAGCACAGCTACAATCACAGTCCCAATATGTAAGTACATTTTGAAAAGTCTATACATGTTACATTGTAAATATAGGGGTGATTCAACTATTTTTTCTTTAATAACTTAATCTAAATGATTTATTCAACACAATCGTCTCGTTTTAGGGCGAAGGTGATCGTCAAAAAAAGGAGGAGGAAGTCAAAGCTCAAGAAGACATGAAAAACTCGATATTAGTCCAAATTTTGGACCAGTCTGCTCGTGCTAGATGTAAGTCAACAAAACGACATTTTAAACATAAACATCTTCAAATTTTTAGTAAACACTCTTATGCTAGGAAAACCGGAAAAGGGACGAATGGTCGAAAACATGCTAGTTCAAATGGCTCGATCGGGCCAAATTGGCACGAAAATAAGCGAAAAAGATTTAATCGGACTGTTAGAAAACGTCAGCAATCAAACTAAAAGCAAGACTTCCGTTAAGTTCGACAGAAGGAGAGCCGCCTTAGATTCCGACGATGAGGATTTTTAATACATTTATTTATAACAATTTAAAAAATTAAAAATAATTGATACAACATTGAGTTTAATATTTTGTACACTTATAAATAAAATAAATTAAACACATCTATTACATCAAGTGACTAGAGAGTTTTTTTGTTGAACAATTATTCATTTTTAAGGTGAGAACCTGAAACTTTAAAAAATTAAGTACAATATACAAGAGAATCTTCATATTTAATATTTACTTACCAAGTAAAGTATCTGCATCATCCAAATCTTCATCATCGGCTTCATCCTCATCTGCCCCATTATCCATTACATCACCAAAACACATTAAATAAAACAGAGATGTGATAAACAACATTGGAATGGTAAATATTAGAGAAGTTAGAATGGGATTTTCTTGCCACAAATCCACAACGCTAGTTTTCGCCTCGAAATACGCTCTGTAGATACGTGTCCCAAAACCATTGCCCCCATAAGCCTAAAACAATATTCTATTATTCGAAATCGAACAACATACTTCGATCGTACAATTGCAGATTGGTTGTAAATAGTCTCTAGGAACAGCTCCACATCGTGAGAGGTCATCTTCGAACAATCCTCTACATCCGGAATATGATGGTAATGATTGGTGGAATTTATTACCAACAAATTAGGTAGAGGTACGTAATCCAAAGCGATGTTATTCGCGAAATCCGGTTTGCCAATCCACCCGAAAATGAACCTCTTGCGGTACTTCCTTTTGTTGCCTTTGATGATGTTCTCCACCATGTCTTTGAACTTTGCCATGGAAGGATCCTCGTCCAGTTTCTTCTCATCGACAACAGCCAACACCACGTAGCGATTCAACAGCATCAGATCGTTCAAGTTGCCTCTATTTACTCTCAAGAAAGTGCCGAAACGTTCCTCATTCACCCATTTACTCATAGAGGCGTTCAGAGAAGAATCACCTGGCACTTTTACTTCAGAAGCTACAATGAATATATTCATAAATATATACACAGTGAATCATTTTGAATTGTTTACCTGAAAAGTAACTGGGCTCGTTTTCTTTGAAAACAAACAGAGCAGGCGGCTCGGGCACGTGCAAGACTTTCTTGGCGACATCTTCGTGTAACAAGTAGAAGCTAGCGTACGGTTGAAATCTCTTAGCAACGTCTAGATAAGTCTCCCAGTAGTCGCTGCTTTGGTTACCAACGAATGTGAAGAACACCGACTTGGATTGCTTGATTTTATCGAACTTTTCGGGGGTTGAGATTTCGTTGACAGCCTCTCCGACTACTCGTGAAGCGAATGTTAGAATTTCCGCTGTATTTCTCTCACCGGTGAAAGTGTGCTCGGAATCCGCTTTAATACTACAACAATAATCGATAGAATCGATTCTTTAGAATTAAAGGTTTCTTACAATTTAATTGTGGGATATCCGCGAATGCCGAACTCAGACGCTATTCTAGGGTAGTGATTGCAATCTATCCGACCGACTTTGATGTTTGTGTGAATCAGTGCCTCGCCGACTTCAGCCCAAACTGGTTCGAGTTTTTGACAATGTGCACACCAAGGGGCGTAGAACTTGATTAGCCAGTGTCCGCCGTTTTTCCTCAATTCCGAAAAGTTGTCGCTTAATTCCAGGTATGAGCATTGCGATTTGGCGATTAAACCTGCGAATAAAGCGAAGAAATCGTTTAATCCTGACTAATCCTCTCTCTTACGTGGACTTACCAGCAAGCGAAACTACTAAAATTGATAAAAACATGTTTTATGTTGGATATTTAGCTAAACGCAAAAGGGCATCGATTTTTTAAATCTAATTTGTGTTGTAAACCTAAAAATCTAATATCAACATTTCTGTTGTAAACATAGATTGACAATTCTGCCAAGTGTCATAATACAAAATCAATTTTTGTCGTTGACATTTATTTGACGGAAAGCAGATGACAGAATGACAGATACATATCTTTTATTTTAATATTACAATTACAATTGCATAAAAAATAACAACTATTTAATTCTTGCTTAATTTTTTACCAATTGAAATTTTAAAACAGCAGATAAAACATTTTTTTATTTTTTTATTAGAAGATTATTACTGAACGTACTTCCCCCCTCCTGTCAAATAATCATGCGTATATAAATACAGTGCGAGAAAAATAGGATTGGCAACAGTGTTTATGTTCTGTGTTGTGTTTATTTGTGTTGTTAAATAGTGCGCAATAGATATCGAAAGGTAAAATCGGGGATTTTTCTAATCGTTTTAACACACAAAGACGAAGCCTAACAAGCGAAAATTGGCAGTGGCACTTTAAAACCATCCGAAATGGGGCCTAAAAACAAAGATTTGGAGATCATCTACAGCTTAAAATGGAAAAATAAATCGGGCAATGGTGGTGACAAGGCAAATATTATCGGGATGTATGACATCCCAGCGACGACACTGAAATGGGAAGTATTCAAATCATACTTGGTAATGTTAATGTCACTTTCAAAATTCCCAGTGTCCTGTTAACAAATTCATTTGCAGTTAAAAAACTCCGGCACTGTGGGCGAGGATGTGAAAGTGTCCTATATTACGGACAGCAACAGAGAGTTCCCGATTGAGTCGCAAACCGATTTCGAGATCGCCCTTTACGCGTTCAGACGTAAAGGCAGGATGGGCGACGTGGTCAATCTGAAACTGGACAGGATTTCCGATCCGCAGCAGCGCGTTCCGAGCACCAGGCATTCGAACTCCAACGATGTCGAGACTCAGTTCGATACCGAAGCCGTTTCCATCGTGTCGTCCTGTTGCAATTCGGAAAATCCGCCCGAATGGTTCATTTCCTACATGAATAAGGTAGTAAAAATAGATTGGTTATTGCAGCATTGTTTTCCTAATGGATAAATCGTTAATTCGAAGTCGCCGAAATGTTCCGAGTATTGTTCGTTTTATGGATTATTAAAAAATATGCCATTGAAATTTGATTGATGTTTATGGATATTAAATAATTGCCCTTTTCTATAATCTATAATCAGTATTGATAATAATGGTTCTGAGTATAATGATGAGTAATTCATTAAAATATATAGAAAAAGTTAGTTGTCAATTTATCTTTAATCTATGTTGATTAATAATATTTTATTGTCTAAAGAATAATAAGATGATTCAATTAACATATGTTCAATGATCTTGTAAGTTTTGTTCTTATAATCTTTAAATATTTACTGGGTGACAGTAACATGATTCACTTAAATAAACAATTTACTTTAGAAAAGCTTTCTTATGTATCTTTAATGAATTGTGTAGATACTGAAAGTTCAAAATAACATTTATATTCCAGCCAAACTTAGCTCATTTATTAAATACATTTAGTTGAGTAAAATCGGATGTAGAAATTTTATATTTCTTGTTGTTGCAAGAGTATAGTATAATTCTTATTAGCTGTAGGCAGTATTGTAATGTTATCTTTAATAACAGTTCAAGAAGAACATGACAGAAGAAATCAACACGGCTATATCGAGTGCTCTATCGAACATCAAAACCCACAGTGTTAGCCAGCCATCTTGCTATCATTCAAGGAAAACCAAATCAGAAAATTCAAAACGAAGAAAACTTCAATTGCTTACCGGCGATGGCCCGCACGAGTAAATAAACTTCCTTAACATTCAAACAAATTTTCCACAATTCGTACTGTCCGCAGGTCCACCAAAGACTTGATAAAATCCCTGAAGTTGGAGAACAAGCTCGAGCAGAAGCTGGAGAAGCTCGAAAACAAGTCGAAGAAATGGAAGGAGAAGAAGCTGGCGCTCGTGTCGAAATCCAGCGACAGCGACGTCGCCGTCTGTTCCAACGCGAAGCGTCGCCAGAGCGTCCCCTGCGAGGGCGACGACTACGTCCTGCAAATGAACGCCACACCGGTCAACACCCAAGAGATCGTACCGCACATGTTGGGCGGCGAAATTTACCTGCACCAGTGGAAGGTGATCAATTCGGGAAAATTACAGTGGAACAGCGACGTGAGCAATTTATAATTAGTTCTTTGCGGCTATTATTTTTACTATTTTTTTTTTAGACTAACTTAATGTTCACCTGGGGCTCCAAGGCGCTCAAAGCTTTGGACACGCTCGTGCCCGTGCCCCATTTGAAATCCGGCGAAACCGGAACCATATCCGTTCGTCTACAAATACCACGTAAGCTTCAAACTAATTATACAGTGTGTTAATTAATGCTATGTAGTTATTTAAATGGGCGATTCTTGAGCTAATTTTAAGTCGAACATTTCGTATAAAGGTATGTCCACCGAAGCTCGGTTTTAGCTCAAGAATCACCCGTTAAAATGAGTAAATTGTATTAATTAACACCTTGTGTACAACGAAATTAACTATACCAATTCGTCTTATCAGACTGTCCGGGTCAATACGAATGCTACTTCCACTTCCACCACAAGAACCGCAGGTTCGGCCAGTGGCTCGGTTGCCAGGTCATCGTCGACCCTTTCGACTTGAAGGGCAACAAGTGCGTACTGGACACGTCCTACGGCTCGACCTTCAACGTATCATCGAAGGAAACATCCGCCATCGAGGATTTCAACATTTCCAATCCGGTGACGCGCTACGACGCCATCTGGAAGGGCAACGACGCCGGCGCGCACTCGCCGACCGGCTACTCGTTCAATCTCAACGACGGCGTCGCCAACAAAACCGATCTGTTCGACGAGCAAGCGGGCGGCTTGCCCATGGAGAAGGTGGTGCGCGAATTGAGTTCCAGAGTCGAAGATATGAAGCTGCAGGATCCCACCGACACCAATTGCAGCAGCGATTCCGATAATCAAAGCATCGTGTCGTTGTCTGAGAGTAACTCGTCGAAGGGTACGTTGTTTGATAGTTAAATAGAGGATTTAGGTGATTGTTGGAATTTTTTTTTTTCGTGTAGGTATCCAGGCGGAGTTCGTGGTGGTTCCGGTACCGGATTGCTTCAAATTAGACGAACCGTTGACTCCTAAAAAGGTAGATTTAATTGACAATGGTTCCTGCGAGGCTGCCTCCAAGTCGATTGTGACCGGAGCGTCTGAGGGAAGTTCTGTCAAAAGCCAAGAGGAAAAGCCTGTGGGTACTATCGAGGCTGAAAAAAGCCAGGAAAATTTCGACGACAATAATAACGAGGATACCAAAAATAATTCCGAATTGGAAAAGGACGAGTTTCAGGATGCCATTTCGCAATCGCCTAACAAATCCGATATTGTCATGATAACTCTACCGGAAGCTAATCAAGACAATCAAGGTATACTAACTATAAACATTAAATGATGATTACTATACGTAAAATTGTGGTTGTAGAGTACGCGTGCGTGATGGTCGACGGGCAAAAAGTGATGATTCCCAAGCAAATGATAAAATCCGAGTATTTACCGGCGGCGAAATCGAGCGATGGCGATGAAAAGTCGATGCGATCGGGGAGTTCCAGTCCGTTCGCCGAAGTCAGATACGAAAAGGACGACGGGCAAACCAAAATAATCGAAAATTCCGCGACGACGTCTCGCGAAGCCTCCGAACAGCCGGCTCAATTCGACGAAGTCTACCTGAATTCGCATTGCTCTGCGGCGGGATCGTGCTTCTCCGAGGCGAACGCGGACAAAAACACCAGATTGTTTATATTCCCGCAGGCTTGTCCGGGCTACGAGGTGATACAAGGCACCGACGCCGTCGAATTGGACGCGAACGAATACGATTGGACCAAATCCGGTAAGCTTACTGGTGTCCCGATTAACATCTTACTTTCGATACGATTGTCATTGGAATCGATAATTTACAGACTCGCATTATGCTTATTGTACAGAAACGAAGGACGCCCTGAAATCGACGCTGTCGAATCCCCAATCGTCGGCCAACAACAATCCGTTTACCAACGGTAGCGGCATTCCGCACGTGCCCAATTTCCAGCAAACGCCGCTGGAGGAGCGCCGCGTACCGTCCGCGGAGGAGATTCGTATGGCTTTCGAAGAGAACGCCGCTACACTAGAGAACTCAAAATCGGTAAGAACTAAAATAGGTTTAATTTAACACTAGCAATCTCTAAATTATTACGTTTCTCCTGGGCAGGTGAATTGCAACACGTTCATCGACGGCGAGTCCGCGCCCCAACCGTCTGCGCCCGTTCCGGAGACGCGATCCGAAGGTACCTCCACTGCTCGACCGGTGGTGCACATTTTGCCGGAAGGTTTGGTCAATGGAGCCGTAAGTGTGGCGAGATCTGTGATGAATAGAATTGTGCCTCAAGTGAGTTAGGTGTTTGACAACTAATGAGTATTATCCATTCCATGTGATTGGCCTGGTACATTTAGGAAGTGGTAAATTTATGTAAAATCTCTTTATATTGAATTTTTTGTTGCGTTATGTTTTGTTATTTTATGTGTTGTGAGGAGGAACTGTAATATTCAGGGTGATATACAAGGTTAGAAATTATATTTTTTACCTTCATGGCCAATCATAGCGAAAGGACCTTTTGGTGGATAATTGCTATACATTTTTTGCTCCTTTTAATTTCTTGCTTGTTAATTTTGGTCTGAATTTAATCGCAATTGATACTGATGATTCTGTAAAAGCGTGCATGATGGATAATTGTTGTAAAAAAATTTAAAATGAAATGAAGAGAGTATGATAATGTATACAGGGTTAATTAACTGAGTGGCGATACTTCTGGATGTGAATATTTGGATGATTTTAAGAAGAAAAGTTTATATCAATATATGTCCTCTTAGTTTTCGAGCTACAGGGTGTTACAACTTAAAAAAACTTCTATCATAATGGAATCAAAATAGAAGCCTATCAAATTTCAAGAAAATATCAAATGCAGTCTCAATGAACTTGGGAAAAAATTGTGTTGGTTTTTTTTACGCGAAAATGGTGCGTCGTACGAAAGTAAGTCTTCGGACCGAATTTGCTCCAAAATAAATGAAGATTTTAAAAATAATTTTGGTTTTTAGAAAAAAACAGTAGTGTACCATTTTTTTTCTTTAAGCATATTCAGTTAAAACCTCGCACGGACGTCACTGGTGAAAATTTAAAAAAATCTTATTCCTCAAAAAATGCTTCTTAATAATTAAAAAGTGTGTACAAAATTTTATAAAAATATCAGGAGTAATAAGAAAATTATGATAGAAAAGTTTTTTTTCTAAAATTGAGTGTTTCTAAAAAGTGTTTCTGAGTGTTTCTAAAAACACCCTGTAGCTCGAAAACTAAGAGGTTTGGGAAACTTTTTTTCTTAAAATCATCCAAATATTCACATCCTGAAGTGTCGCCACTCAACTAATTAACAACCAGTATTTTGTAATTACCCCTAACTCAAAACTGTAGGTACTTGTTCTTTTTCATCGTGAGAGAACTGATTTGAGTAATCTTGCAAACAATAATGACTGAAATAACCCACAAATAGCCAAAGAAAAATCTCTTATAGCCTCCCCGTATAAATACCTAATTTATACGCGTTGTATATTTTTAGCAACCCGGTAGATGGGTGAACGGCCATTGGGTGAGCACCGACCCAAGATCGACGCGCGAAGCCAATCTGCAAGCACTGGCCGAAATGGGCTTCTGGAACAGGGATTTAAACGCTACACTTCTAGCCAGATACAGCGACGATTTGTCGAGGGTCGTCGGCGAGCTCGTGCAGTAAACTGACCGATGACGGATACTCGATTTTCTTCAGCACAGGGATTAACATCTAAAAGCACCGTTCGGTTGTATTCGAGCCGGTAGATGTGATAGATCGACTGCCGAACGGTAATTTGTTTCGACTAGAGTTCTGGGACCGTTCTGGATGTTTGTACGGAACGGTTCCGAACGCAATGCTGTATTTTCCTTGCTAATATCACCTCTTAAATAATCGCTATTTTTACCCGCTTACTTTTGTATCATAATTTTTAATAAACGATTGGTTTGAGGAGATATTGTTCGTGTACTATTCAATAGTTAATTGACATTGCTTCGTGCATTTGTCCGTTTAAATTAATAATTTCTTAGGACTTGATAATTCCTTATTACACTTAACTGTTATAACACTTTAATAATTCCATACTACTCTATAGTTTTTTTCCTATTAACGTTATTTAGGTTAATAATGTGTTTTTTCTTCGAGAGGATTGTGCTTAGGCAAGAAAGATAGCAATGTGTATGATTTCGAGTATTTTTAAATCGATAGTAATCATGTGACTTTGTCGAACATTTCCTTGATTAAAAAAAGTTGGGGAAATAAGAGAATTTGCTCGGGATATCCGATGTTGATCTAGAAATAGATTTGTGTATTTAAACTTAAACATTTAAAGGAGCTACTATTTAAATAGTAAAAGAGGTAGTTTTAATGTCTTAAAATACAAATATATTCTGTTTAATTATACTGTATGGAATGAATAACGTAACTCTGCATAAACGAACTAATTAGGGTCTTTTGTTGTGGATGTCATGATATAAAATCAGCGTATTAACTAACTCTACAGTAATTTCTTATCGTGCTCGCAATAGCATTCTCTAAACATTTTTACATTTGTTCCGGTAAAAGTACTGGACAGTTCTGAAGTTTTGAACGGTTCTGTATTTGTTTCGAAACAGTATCCAGCGGACTGAGTTTATGAGACTGAATAAAGCTTTTGATGGAAAATCGTTTGATGTTTTGGAAACAATTTTTTAATAAAAAATTCTACTAAAATTGGAAAAATAACGTTTCTCGGGTAATACAATTCTATTACACTTCTGTGATAAACCGGTAAAGTTAAACAGAATTGCGTGTGAATGTTGTATTAGTGACACAATCTGAATATTCTCGTTTAAGAAATTATTGGAAAGCATTTCGTTCCGCGACAATTTAATTGTAAGTTTAACAAATTCTATTATAACTTGGTTTATATTCGTTTTTACGATTGGATTAGCACTAAAGAATGTACGGTTTGCGTTTATGTAGTTTTGAGATTTTTTTATTTGATATGCATCTAGAGGTGCAATATGGTTTTGGTTTTATTAGTGTTTAGTATGAAAACATGTATATCGTATAATCATGTGATACTGTAGTTAAAATAAAGGATTAATAACTCATTAGGTAGTTTTTACGTTACAAAATTTCCAAATCCACTTCCTAAAATAATAAAACGTGCCGTAAAATTAAGTTTATCTAAAAATTAAAAGGTTTTTAGGAATATATTACACTTTAATGTAAACTAAAATGACTAGCAAAAATAGAAATATTAAACATGCAAATTCGCAATATCATTTTGATTACAGAAAAACATTATGACCAGTTCGGTGGAAATCAACTCATTCGAATCAAACGCGAAATACAGCAATTCTAATTTCGAGAAATCCATCCGTTACACTTTATTCCCCATTCATTAAAACACATTTTATTTATGAACAGTGACTAATTGCAGCTCCGAATTCCGAACAGTTAATAAACCCAATTCTTCGACGATTTCAATATGCAAAATCTCGTTAAATTCGAGATAAATTTACCTCGAATTCGGCATACCCGCTGGAAGGCTCTTTGTTGCAAAATTATCCTCCGAAACGGATGGATGCATTCAAAAAGCATTTTTTATTCCAAAAATTCCAAACAAAAGCAAAAACTCAAATTCATATTTCGCAATATCTGCTAGCGCTCACGCATTTTTGTATTCACGATTTTTTCAATAGGAAATGTGCACAAGAGAAAATCAAAAAAAATGTATGGCAGTGTTAAAATGAACTGCAGCTACAGGGTGGCCCAAAATTAGAAGTACTACTGAGACAAAAAAGTACCCGGAAATTTGGAATAAAACGCAAAATTCCTAATCTTCATTACAATTTCTTCAAGTGTTCTTCAAAATACACCCCTTTTGAAGCTATACTCATACTCAGACGCCTTTTCCATTCATAGAAACATGCCCTTTTTGGTACGCTTTAAGCTCCTGCGAATTTTCTTTTATATCATTTATGTAGTCAAAACGGAATCCTTGAAGTGGTAACTTGAGTATGGGAAACAAAAAAATGTCGCACGAGGCTATATCTGGTGAGTAAGGCGGCTGGTCTACTAAAGTGCTACTTCTCTAATACTATCATGATTTTCGAGCTCAATTATCTTCATTCTCTCGCCGTTATAATCGATTGAAGAGATCGAAGACCGTCCGGAACAACACAAGTCCTTAGCGATCTCCTGGACTGTCTTTAAAAGTTTTGTACCATTCGTAAATAAAGGTTTTCGATAAAAGAGAGACACCTTAAGCATTTGCATCGATTCGGCCCTGTTCATTATTTTTGTCCATTGCAAAATTCGAGAGCACTACTGAGATGAACTGATTCAATCAGCTGCTACAACCAAACTGATTGAGAAATCTCTCTCATTTTTTGCATGCCAATTAAGAACATTGTTATCTACAAACAGGAACTTGAAATAGTTAAAAATATTTAGTGCTGGTAATTTAAATCATAATTTCCAGGTAGGTACTTTGTTGTCAGAAGTTAGTGTAAATTCTTGTCTACACCGAGCCCTTAAATAACGAGCTAATGTAGCACAATAAACACTGCAAGTGGGCTAAACTCCTCCAACGATATTGCTATTAACCAGAACACATTTTCCAACAACTTCAACCCCTCATCGCCGCATCATCAGCGAAATTTTCAGTTAAAATCCACTGCATAATTTCGGCGACCCCAATCATCGGTACACCTACGCTCTCCCCTTTTCCCGCTCTCCGCGCTCCAACCCCCGCGCCCCCCGCGCCCCGTACTTGTTGAGCGCATGCGGTGGTGACCGTCGTCTAGACGCCTTTCAGCGCGCTCGTCCGTCGGAACGCTGGTAGCGGCGTCGTCGTCGGCGATACTTCCTCCTCGTTCTTCAATTTGTGCTCGAGTGCGTGGAGTGCCGGATTCGGGGGACGAGCCATGAGCGCCCGCCATTGATCGACGACACCGCCGGTTATCAGGGTGAGTCGCCCCGCTTTGCGCCCCAAACCGCCTTCGGGAATCGCTTGACGGACCCGTAGGAAGGGTCGAAAGGGTTCATTGGGATCCTTTGTTATCCCTTCGCTGTAGATAAGAGCCCTTTGATTGGGGTAGTTTAAGATTAGTTTTCTTTTTCTTTTGGGTTTATAGGATGGCCCAATTTTGAGTCTACTATTTAGAAATATTCAGACTCATTTAGGGTGTTTTATTAGTCCTCTATACGCACAAAATTATATACATGATTCCCCAATACACCTGCAAAAAATGCGATATGAAAGGATGTATTGGGCCGCCCTGTAGGTTAATTGGAATATGCGATTGCAGGTCGAAATTCCGGGAGTATTGGTCCGAAGGAAATGCGAATAGCTAAAATTTTCCGGTGCATTTCTGCCGCACGTCGTCGAATCGAATTAGGTACAAGGAATTTCCAATTGGAGTTCTGAAGATGCACGTCATTGTATACTTGACGCGTTTGGAAGACGGAGTAATAAACACATTAATCAGCCGAAGTCCACCCGGGGTGTAAACGAGTCGCCGATATCACTCACTCCCCATTGGCCGGCCTAAAAGTTGATACTCTGTGAATGGTTTTGAGTAATTGTAGGCGATGTGCGAAATTTCTATCGATCGAATCGATCATTGTACAGGATTTTGCCGTACAGGGGTAGGGATATTTTGGAACCGCCTGACATTTTTATTACTCCGTCTTCCAAACGCGCCAAGTATAGATTCGAATTTCGCTGTGGAACAATTCGAGAATTAAGCCGACTTCACGCGGCAAATCCGAGCGTTGTTAGATTGCTAAATGATGTCGGATGTGGAATTCCCCGATTTCGTACGTGTGTAATTACAGAGGATAATAATTTGCGTTGCTATTCATGCTTTAATTACGGGGCAACATGAATAGTTTCTATTCTTACGCGTAGACCTTCGGCATGGAATCGTGCAGTTAAAAGTGACCTTACGAAATAATTGCACCCCTATTGAAAATGCAAATTTCAGAAGTTAAGGGTTTATAATTCGCCCTTCACTTCGGTTAAATTTAGATAACGAAAAGGCACACGTTCCGTCCAACAGGGAAGTTCCATTAACACCACTGCTCCTCATTGCAACCACCTCAAACAAAATCAACAGCAAATTAATCTGTTCTATCTTAAATTAGCCTATCGATTGGGCCTCTGACAGCACACAAATTTCCACCATTATCTCCAAATAGATCCCCTTTCTGATACAATACGACCGATGTTTCTAATTCAGTAGGTACGCTAATTAGGAACAACAATGGTCGGATATTCCAATCATAATAAACCCGATTTCCACTCGATTTGGCCTGTCATAAACCCAGGATTTATGGATAACCATTATAATAAGGAATTAGGCGGTTGGTAATCAAACACACACGGTATGTTTCAACAAATAATTTCTTAGATATGCACGATAAAATCGAGCTCAAAGGAATAATGTGTGTGTTTGGAGTGACCGCGAGTCCGCGGGGTAACGAGGAAGCTTTTACGATAATTAACAGCGTTATCCCGGAGGACCTCGGGGGGAAATACGCTCGATTAGGCGTTCCGGTGAATGGAAATCCAATCGGAATGGTAGAATAGTCGTGCTGATGAGTCCAGAAATGTTTCTAGTTCGGTTTTAATGCTCGTTCATTGGGACGGTCAGCGCTCGAATTTTACATAGAATTTATAATTCGCTTCGTTTGTTGCGGTTGTATAATTAGTTAGCGAGTTGTTCAGTTTATTGTGTTCCTGTGCGAATGATAGCTTCAAAGTCTAATTAGTTTTGGTAGTTTGAGAGTAGGTTGGTTTCATTAGAATTGATACAAAAACACGACATGAGCATTTTATCAAATAACAATATGTAGAGGTACAGGGTGTATAGATCCTATAAATATCGCAGTATATCTTGAATCACCCTGTATAAAAATGGCTTAGGCAGTTATAAGTTTTCATAGTTAAAATCAATACATTTTTTCTTACCAGACTTTTAATAATTTAGAAATCCTGGCAAGTACATTGTACTTTGAAAAGACATGAAAATTGGTCAAAAAAACAACATACAGGGTGTACAGATAAATTGTGAACCGTGTAGCCCTGTACAAATCTCAAATATATCCTAAATCACCCTGTATAAAAATGGCCTAGGTAGTTATAATGCTTCATAATAATGGCAAGAACATTGTACTTTGAAGAAAACCCATGAAAATTGATAAAAAAAAACAATCTATACAGGGTGTACAGATAAACTGTGAACCGAGTAGGCATAGCAATATCATTATATCCTGAATCACCCTGTATAAAAATGGCATAAGCAGTAACAACATTTCATACTTCAAATCAATATATTTTTTCTTGCTCGACTTTTTAAACTTTAGAAATACTGACAGGAAAACTGCATTGTCCCGTTAGTAATGAAAATATTATTGGATTTCTCGGAATGCCGGGTCAACGCGGATTTTTTTATTTTCAGTTGCGATACATTCGAGTAGATGGAACAAAAATAATTTAGTCATAAACAATAGAAAACTAAATTTAACGTGTACCAGTTCTATCTGTCAATGCAATTCGACGACTCGCGAGCAAACGCCAAATTCGTTTGCAAAGGAAATTCGAAATATTTGGCTTCGTTTGTAAATGCGTATGATGCTCTATGTAAAAAATCCATCGATTTAAATCGCAAATAAAAATATACAAATTTACTACAATTTATTGAACGGTTGATAAAACATCAAACAAATTTTATGGAATAAGAATTTATCGTATTTTATAAAAAAATATTATCAATATATTTAAAAACCTTGTGTATAAATAAATTATGCTCGTCCGGAGAGGAAGTCAACAATCAACGAAATATTACAAAAACTCTAAAAAATAATCATCACAATTCAAACTTAAGCAAAATAACAAATATAATTAAAAAAAAATCATCTAAACGAACAACAAAAGGCCGTGCATTTCGCCTCCCATATGCATTTCCCGGCGAATCGTAGGCGAAGTTTTATGGCCCATTCGGCCCGGAGACGCTCTTAAATATCTCTGGAGATGATCCAGATGGGAACGATGGCATACGGGCGAATTGTTCAGTCGGGAGACTGCACGTATTATAATAAACAATGCGAATAAAACTTCCGGATAAACGGGAGAACTTGCATATCCAGACGACAAACTAACGTTTTCGGCGATAAAAAGTTGCAAACTTGTTTCGTTTTTAAAAGTATTTTGTGTTATAAAATAGGAGAAATGTGTTAGTTTTCTTTTAAATTGGGGTTTTTATTTTTTTATTTATATAAAATGAAGTAAATTAGGAAATTTATTGCATAAATATTTATGGTACAAGTATAATAGAATTAAATTATAATTAACACTGTAATGATAACAATTCTTTACTTGCGGTTTTTTTTTTCAATTAGGATTAGCTTTCGATTTTTCTGGGAAACTTTTTCGAATGAAAATTTCGAATATCTCCAAAAATTGACTGGACAACGTCAATGCACTCGTATTTTGTCAGAATTTTCATGTTGCATTTATAGTTTAAAATAAATTTCAAAACAGAAGCTGCTTTTGGAATAAAATTGATAAATTGGAATTCGATGCCGTCGAAAATGTTACCTTGAAAACGCTATCATGTTACAAAACTACGTTAAATGTATAACAAATTTTTGAGCATTCAAATCGATTAAAAAATTCATCTGTACATAAATATTTGCCGCAAAGTCTATCGATTTCGCTGGAAATATTCGGAATATCGCACACGCAGTACTTAATATCGAGAAAAATTGCTTGTAAAAATCCCAATTATCCATGAATTGCTACAAATGAGTAGCGCACATTGACAGCCAATTACGAATGTCTAATATCATTTGATTTTTCGAATATTTAAACAGTCATTTCGTTTACTCCGACATTTTAAACCGAAAAAATAACAAATAATCCCGATTTAAAAATGCCCTAACCTCCACTTCTCTTGGTTAATATAAAAAATTTCGCTATTTTCTTTTAATTTTTACTCAATTTAAAAACGCAGATTATTTAATTTAATCACAGTTTACTTCATACCTACTCCTTCGTATACACAATAGGTACTTTAAGAAGGCTAGAATCATTGGAATTAACTAACAAACCCCATTAATTAATGGAATTATAATCGGGCACCCTTTCGTAAACTAAACTATTCCTCCTACGCAAACAATCACAGCCGATAAGAGCGACGGCTCCGAGTATAACAGAACCGCCGCAAACGTTCGTCAAAACGTTCCTATAAAAATAAATATTCTTCTGGTCGTTCTGCAAATACTGTATAACCACCACAGCCAGACCGTTCGCCAATTTATCCGTGAAGCTCATTATTCCGTAGACGAACGCCCCGTTGTTCACGTTCGCCCCGATGAAATCCGTCGTGACCCCCAGGCTGGTCACCAGCACGATGGACCCGCCGGCGCCCAGCAGGAACGCCACCGCGAATATGTAGTAGGTCTCGTACAAGTGCCCGGCGCCGAATTTTATCCACACCGCCGCTACGATGCCGAACACGGCGCCGATCGAGTAGGTCATCTTCCGCTTGAAATGCCGGTTGATGCGCTCGATGAACAGCGACGTGAGAAAGCTGCCGATGAACATCACCAGCGGCACCAAGGCGAGCGCGCTCGCCGGCATGTCCAGCGTACTGTGCAGATACAACGGCACGAACACCTGCGACAGATTCACGAACAACCTGGACGACATGTACACCACGGCGATTCGGTACAACTCGAATTTCCTGAACAGATCCGCTATGCTCGTGCGGATCTGGCCGCCTCTGACGTCGTTGCCCATTCCGTTGTCCTCCTCTTTGGTGCAGAGGTGGAACAGCGCCGAGCAGACTATGCCTACGGACAGAATCGACCACACCACGTGCTGGAACTTCGCCACGTCGCCGGGGCCGATCTTCGAGTCCTGCCCTTGGTCCACGTACAGCACGATCCACGTTATGACGTAGACCAGAACGTTGGAGACGACGGTGAAGGAGTACCGGACGGCGGTGAGCTGGGTGCGATCGTGCTCGTTGGGCGTGATCTCCGGTATCAGCGAGAGGTGGGATATCTGCACGGCGGCCCAGCCGAACTGGAAGATGATCACGAACATGCTGTAGTAGAACATCTCGCGCCAGGTGTGCGCGTCCTGGCAGCCGAAGCACGGCGAGAATATGAAGGGAAAGGTGCCGATGACGCAGACGGTGCCGAGGAGATGCCAGGTTTTCCGCCTGCCGTACCGGCATATCCAGAACCCGTCGGATTGGTCGGAGTGGTAGCCGACGAAGGGCGTGGATAGGCCGTCGGCGATCTGGCCGATGAGCAAAATGATGCCGGTCTGCCGGTGGTCGAATTCGAGGACGAATTGGAAGAAGACCAGCAGGTAGGTGAACCACATGGAGGCGCAGACGTCGTTCAGGACGTGCCCGATACCGTAGAACAGTTGGAGTTTTATGGGCAGACGCCTGTACACCTCCGTGTATTCGTCCACCGCTACAACCGCCGGCGGTTCCTCCATTTTCCTTGCGCGGGTTGCGATTCGTAGAAGTTCTTTCAGTTTGTTTTGATTCAACGTTATCTTCAATGACATTCGGTTAGATCATTGTTTCGCGGAGAATCTGTAAACAGAAAGGAACGAATTAATTAGCAATCGCCTGAGTCATTCTTCTGTCGATTTGTTTTCTAATGTAATAGTATTGGATTATCGCAAGTCGTTATGTCTCATTGAAAATTTATGTAAAATAAACAGAAGGTTGCAAACAACGGTTCACTGATAAGGGTATATACTCGAAAGCCCCAGACATTATGATGCTATTAAAATCGTTTCGATTAATTAATCGTTTAATTATTTAGGGCGCTTTGATTGTGAAATGATGGTTATTAATATCGAATGGAAGACAAAGAGAAAATGAAGTAATATTTTGTAATACACATTAGCTCTTAAGCCATTATGATCCTTCTGTTATTAGACTCTATAAATTGAGCTCTTGAGTTTCTTAAAGAGATCTTAAGGAAGGACTTGAATCTTTAATACTACCAGATTTTCGCATTGGCAACAGAACTAAGTAGAATCACTATTTTTATTATAAATTCAATAATTTATGCAGATAGATACAAAAGATCTAACTCTTGTGAATTATCGTTATTTTTGATTGCAGATAGTAGTTATATCCGAATGAAATTCGATTCTTTGTTCTTTTCGAACGAATCGTGTTACAAACGATAAGAAAACATCGAAGGAAACCGAATGAAATGTATTATTCCGGGCGAGACAAGAGCGGGGTTTGTTGCTCTTTGAAATAAAGAAGAACGGTTTCCTTTATTTATTTCGAATGATGGCATAAAAATCACGCGATCCTCGTCGAATAAACCGGAACGCGGGGAAAACCTTGTTAGGGAATAAATCCTCACGTAGCCGATTTGTCGAACAATATATCCAATTTGTTCGTTATTCAGATGAAATTTACGGATTTATGGTGATTAATTGTGAAACCCGATACGTGCGGTTTCTACTAGTTGGATTTTCTCTTTGATATAATGTAATGTAAAAGTGTGCTAGAAAAAATATACAATTCTGGAGCTTTATTGCATTTTTTTGACAATTTTTTTAAGAAAAATATTTGGTCCGGTCTAGTATGTGGTCTACCATAATATTTACGGTCTACCTACATATTTCGTCGCCAAGTATTATATATTTAAATACTTTGAGAGGTGTTGTATTTTGCAAAACTGCAACTGGTTGTGAACATGTCTCAGAAAACTGCATATATTTATCGATTTAAACTTCTATAAACAATACAACACCAGTACATTTTTTCTTTGGCTTAATGAAAGGTCAATTTTCAAAATCTTGCTGTTATACTTTGCAATAAATACTTTGTATAAAACAAATGTGGGTAGACCGCATTCTAAACCAGATGCAGTAGAGTAGATTGCAGACAGGCACCAAAGTACTTTATTTCATAGAACATTTCTGTTATTAAATGAACGAATTTTGAACATACTTTGAAAATTTGAATACGCTAACTCATTAGTTTATTTTTGTAATATCATTATGATTTTTCTTTCAATGACTCACTTATCACATAAATATTTAAAATAATAGATTAAAACGCAACTAAAAGGCCATGAAAACTGAACATGATAAAAAATCCTGTGCAACACACAAGTTATATTGATAACGCAATGGAAACGGAGCAATATAAAAAATATTGTGGCTTTTCCGGAAAGAATTACTTTACTAAATTTAGATTCTAATTTTCGACAAAATAATCAATTTACTGGATGTTTTAAATAAACGTGTCAACATTGCTAGAACTTATAAAAATTACCCATAACTTTCAACTTTAAATTGCCCTATTTTAAATGTTACTGTATAACCCATTAAGAACATACCATCTTACAGGGTGGTCGTACACCCTACCAGACACAGTACACAACTAAATAAATTTCAAATTATCATACTAAAATTCAACTTTAACGAACCCCATCACCGAATAAATAAAAAAGCAATACTTACTTCGTTACCAGAGTTTCAAAAACACCGAAATACATGTACAGATAATTAAATATAATTAATTCCTTACAGGAGATGCGAACATATTTTTGAATTGCACTAGCGCAATGAAAACGATTGATATTTAATCGGCCTCCGTTGTCATATTTTTAAAACTGGTGCAATATTTAATAGACGAATAAATCAAACGCGAACCACATGCCCTAATAACATTAAACTAACAACAAAACCATTCTGTTTTGCTTTTGGGAAATCGAGCGACCTCGCGGTACGTCAAACATCCTCGGCACAGCTGATTCATTTGTTATCGATAAACTCCCGGCGAGTGTTCCGATTGCTAACACTTGCGTATGGCAGCGGAAGATCCGGCAACGTAGCGCGCTATTTAACATGAAAAGTTGTCAATATTTATGATTTTAATAGTGATACGGAATAAATTGTTGCGTGTAAAGGTTATATTTAATATTAATAAACGATTTAATGATTCGTTTGTAGTGGAATTTGGAATTATATGTCAAAATGATTTGATTTGATTGGATTAGATTAGAGCGGTGTTGTCAAGTCGATTGTATAGTACGAGATCTGTTGACTACAGTTGGGTTGATGTGGGCACTTTTGTCTTCTAAGATACCATTAAACCTCCCTGTATGTTTGTCGATTAAAAAATTTATTTAATCGAAGAGGATAATACAAAAAAATTCACGATGAACATTAGAAGCAATCTCTCCAACACGATTTCTGATGAAAAAACGAATCCATCAGAAATTCGTAGAACATGTGCGGATAAATGGAATTCGTGCATCTTTGCTACATTGTTCAAATAAAAATAGCAGTTAATTTAATCGGATTTATCCCTATCAATTTGTCACAATTATCTAGTCTTGACAGATTTCTTTGCATATTTTTGGTACTGCGCATGCCCGTTACATCTCTAGCTATTCCTGTGGAACGGTAGATTTCTTCTAAGACATTTTACAAGTCAATATAACGATAGTAAATATAAAGGAACTTTTAATTTGAAAGGCGAAAACGCTTTGAAAATTAATCCCAATTTACAGCGGAGAAAAGCTGCGCAAATTTCGAGTTGCCAAGTATGATATTTTGAAACGAATCCATAATTGAGCAGTTGGCAAACTTTCGTTCTATCACGAACTTCGACATCTCATTAAAATCCTACCAGGCATCGAGCTTTCATTTATATTAATATTCGGATCAGACCTGAACTTTTTTATTATACTACCTGCCTACCCCAATATTTAATTTATTTTTGACATTTTAACAATTTTAGAACACTATAAGAACACTACCTTTCGTTATAAGAACCAATCCTTTCGCTATCAGGAGATGGTAATAAAATCAAATTTTGTATGCAAAGGACAGCACGGTAGTTACTAAAGAAATAAATGAAAAAAAAAATCAATAAGTTAAGGATAACAGATATGGTAAAATGATTTTACCACCGACCAATATAGTAATACATAGAAAAATACATAGAAAACACAAGAGAAACTGACTAGAATCGTTTGTAATGCTACAAAACGATTTTATAACCATCTAGAACGATTTAGAACGCTCCAGAATCATTTAGAACTGTCTAGAATCATTCAGAATCCGGACGTTCAATAATATGCGACCCTTTTCCAATCCCAAAATAAAGTGACCTGAACACAGTAGTGCTCTACCAGCTCTACTACTATGATCTCCTGATGGCGAACGGAGTATAATAATACTAATAATAATGAATAAAATATTGTTCCAGGCGTTGCGGGGATGATTGTTTACAACCTAACCGATGTTTCAACCACAGATTCGGTATCACCGGTAACTCTGAACGATCACTGGTCGCGATTGGCGAGGCTGCTACTGCTGGCTTCCCTGTCGACGCTCGGAAGCATCGGCAATGTCTTCATGATCAGCGCTGTTATGATCGAGGATTATCTCAGAAAACGCGGTGAGTAGATATCCGCACCCGCGACGGTGTAGTTGAACTGTACTTTTATGGGCGTCAGTTTATTTTCATGGAAATCGATAAGAATATGGTTATTGTATTATGTTGCGTCTCGTGAAGGCGTATCGATTATTACCTATACAACTCTATACAACTTTATATTTACTCTGATGGATAATTTTTTTTATTTGCGAAGGGGAAATTAGAGAGGCTAGCAATTTTTTTAAGTATATCGATTTTGATGTAAATATCTGCTGAAAGAACAAATTAGGTAGTGGAATGAGAAAAAGGCAGTAAAAATGTATGCTTAGATATAAAAAAGTCTAATTGAAAAATTCCTGGACAAAAGAAACTCTTGCGTGACTAAAACAATTAATTTATTACTTTCGTGAACAAGCAGACTCAGATTGATTCTTTTTATAGTCAAATTGAGAACAAGCGTGCTATTTTTACAAAATCAATCAATCTTAAATAGAAATCGCAGACATTTCTCCATTCGCTCGACCATCAACCCCTTCGCTCAATTTGCATTTTTATAGAATTCAAGTCATTCAAGGTTCATTCACAATAAATATTCCACCACACCGAATCGTTCCTAAATCGTCACGCCATTTCCACATGCTCGATTTCATGTATCATCAAATTCAAGGCAACACCTTCATCGTGAACGTGGCCCTAGCCGACCTCCTGGTGTCCGGGCTGGTGGTTCCCGCCTCGGCCATCGTCATTCTGGCCGGCCTGCGCGACAACCTGGCCGTCTGCAGGTTCCAATGGTTCCTGGCGACGCTCTGCTTCCTGGTGACGGTGCTGTCGCTGGCCGCCGTCGCCACCGAGAACTACTATCGGCTCTGCTTCTCGCCCAATTCCTACGAGAAGCTCACCAGGGGCAAGATCACCGCCATACTGCTCGTCTTCTGGACGGTCTGCGCCTGCATCTCAGGCGTGCAGTTCGTCAGCGACGTGTCCTTCGATTATTGCAGACGGAAGTACCTCGGGCTCATTCCCTACCAAGCTACTGTCAGCGTTGTCATGGTGTTCCTGCCTTTGACTGTTGCTTTGTTAGCTTATATCAGGGCTGGATGCCAAGTCAGAAGGTAAGGGTTGCTCATTTCGAATAAATTCGACTTGTTGTAATGACACTATACAAGATATGAGATAATGTTTGGCACACGAGTTGGCACAGTAGGTTTTTCTATTGTGTTAACTTTTTTTAGTATGGATTAGTTAGTAGTCATTATTTCGTGTTAGGAGTTTAGGTGGACTATCGTAGATCCATCTAGGTCTATTTAAGAACTTTTTAGACCTGTAGATATATTAGCATATGATAGATAGATTGAATTTCTTTCCATTTGTTTAAGTTCAGGATACAGGTGGACCATCTAAGACTCGTCTAAGACCCATGTAAGACTCACCTTTAGACCTATTAACATTAACATAGGTTGTTGTGATTTTCTTGCCATTTATTTATGTTCAGGATAAGGATTTACCATCTAAAAACCATCTAAGACCAATCTTCTAGAACCCTTTTAGACCTACCGATATTAGTATAAGATGTAAAAGTTCATTTTCCTGTTTATTTCCTTAGATTCTGGTTCTAGGTGAACCATCGAATACCCTTTTAGATATTAGTATAGTTCAGGTTTCATTGACTGAATAATTGCATTGATAACCCTACTAATAGTAATTTAATGAGCCAAATCTGAAAAGTATCTCACATGATCTTTTGCTTCGCTTTTCCTGAAGTTTCCCTAACGTATTTTTCAAGATTAAAAGGCAGACCGAGCCAACGGGCGCCGATAATCCTAACGTGGGACTACATGTTGATGCACTCAAACATGTACAGCTTCATCGTCTTCATCGTATTCTGGCTCCCGTTCGGAGTAGTATTAGCAGTGGGCACCGTTCGCAGAGTACCAGACAGCCTCTTCTACAACCTGGCCTGGCTGGCCATCAGCAAATCGTGCGTTAACAGGTAACCAACGAAATAAAATTCCCAATAACGGCTAGGTATTATAATTTGGCGTGACACGCAGCATCCTCTACGGCATATCGAACCAGCACTTCCGCAACGCGTACGTGAACCTGTTCCACTACTGCTGCTGCAAGACGACGGTGTCGTTCTCGAGGAGGCAGCGGCCCGAGGGCGTCCGGCCGTCGGGGGACGTCCGCGTGCACATCATCCCCGGGTACAACATGTACTGCAGCCCGCAGCGGGGCCGGGAGGCGCAGGCCAAGAGGACGTCGTCGCGGGCCAACGGCCGCGAGGTCTACGAGTTATGATGAGGATCGTGCTCTTCGAACCGAGGAGTATGGATTTAGATCTGTACCGCTTGTTCGGGTGTTTTTACGCGGGCTGGATGTATCGTGGTTTTTTGTGTGTCCGATGAGGGACGGAGGTCCGGTTCGAATTCGAAGGTAATTTGGGAGTTCGAATTGTATCTGCGTCTGAAGGAAGTTCCGAAATTTTCAATAGAGCCAGGTTTCAGTTTACGTTATTTTTCATGGAATTATTGTACTAAAAGTACTTGCTACATTATTTCAATTAAATGAAATGAATCGAACTCGAGTAAAATTTGGTGGAATGCACACCAATTTAGGATGAAGATATTGTTAAATAACGAAATTATCATTGAAACCAAAATTAAATAAATTATACGATTATATTTTTAGAAGAAACACAACTAACAATAAAAATATTTACTAAAGGGTAAATGGGTAGTTACAGAGAAAACGCAAAGTGATTACCCAAATAAATACCTATTTTGTAAACATTTAATCATTCCGTCAACAATATGAAAAATATTCCTACAATTACAAACCTATAGTATTAAATCGAAACATTCCTTCCAATAATTAAGATTACATTTCCAATCCGGCGATGAAAGGAACTGGTAACAACCGCAAGGGAAAATCCTAAAGCTCTACTTGTAGATTTTAAAGTTCCTACTTTAATTAACACTTTGAGTCCGCGCGCTTCTGCAGCTTCAAACAGGGTCACTCGCCTTTCCTAAGCTTTAAAGTTCAATTGAAAACGTCTCCGTAACAGCCAAGACTGATTATTGCGAATATGTCCGAATTATTTTTTATATTTGCGCGCTTTTTAGCGATGGATAATTTCGTAACGAGCGTTAAATTTATATAGGAGTAAAACGAGGCATTTTACCAAATTTCGACGATTTTATCGCTTTGAGCCATTTGAAGTAGGTTTGATCCATCAATTTTAGTAGCCCTATACCGATTTATTGCGAATTTTATAACAGTTGTCGTTCGATACGAGCAACACTTGGGATTTTATACGATTATGTTACAAGTTTATCGTTTCGCATTCAGCGAAGGATTTATTTTACGATTGGTTTTCCATCGAATGAGCATCTAGATGGAAATAGCCTTTTCTATACCTATACAATAAAAATCGATTATGTCTACATAAAACAGAAAAGAGTAAAGATGCACTCTATTGGGGAAAAAACAATCATTACCTGTGCTAAATTGACTGTAACTTTGGTCATAAAAGAAGCAATAAAGATATTTTTAGTGAACGATAATCGAGATATACAATATACAGAAAGTATATAGCTAAATTGGGAGAGTAAATGGGTTATTAAACGAGTCTCTTACACGGATAATTGATTTTTTTATTTACATTTTGACTCTTTTAATTATAAATGAAATTTGTAGACTTTTTTCGATAAATAATTGGATCACTGGGGTATTTGAATTGAGTTTTTAAAAAGTATTATGCCAATTGTGCAATTCGCCTATCATTTACTTATTTTTATTTGCTTAAATGCTTTGTTAAATCAGAATAATTGTCCAATTATGCGCTTGCAATCCGTCCGCTGCACTGTGTTTCTTATGCATAATTTAAGATAAAATTACCTACGATAGTGCAAAGTCCACTAAGCTCACAAGTATACTCAAAGTTTTAATTAGAGCAGGTACAGATCGACAGAAATCGCTGAAGACGTCATTCGACAGTTGCACGTGTTGTGTCTCTAGCTATTCCTGTCGCTCTGTAAGTACATTCGAACAAAATTACAAAAACTATTTATAAATTGTTAATTACTTTTTGTAGGATTTGAAGATATTTTAACGTATGCGTTACTCCTTAAATATGACAAATTGTTCCAATTAATGATTAATTATGATTAATTTAAATTTAATGGATTAAAATTATAGTAATTCGAGAATTAATGTTGCCTTCTTCCCAACTGTGATCTTGTTGAACGAAGAATAGTCATCAAACTTTTTGAAAATAATGTGATAAGGGACCACTTGGATATTAAAAAAAAAGAAGATTGATGGTTGATGTGATTGTATCTTAATTGTTTAACAATAACATATATTACTTAGAAGAAAATGTTGCTTTTATGCTAATAATACGATATTAATTAATGCCTGAGATAAATTAAGTGTAAGAAAATAGGTGAAGTAATTTTTCGCAAAATTCACAAGAGTTGGGTTTATTTTTGCTAAAAACTAGAGAATACATCGAAAATATTAATAATTTACTAATTGTAAGATTTAATTATATGTATAATGCAGATAATATTTTTGAGATTTTGTAGATATGTACAGATTGATGGTAATAGTTGAAGTCGGTGCATATTCCTGCTTTTGCTATTCCTTTCGATCTGTAAGCATTTAAAACATTTAAAACATAAAATAAAATATTCAACTATTACTTATTACGGGATCAAATGAATGAAATTAACTTCGCATAATAACATTCTATTTAATAAAATATCATTTAAACGAACAGGGTGAACATAATTACATTATACAGTATACTGGTTACTAAAAAAGCAACATTTTCGTTAAAATAAAAGTACCACCTAACATAGTCTTGTAACTATATCAACTATATCTATTTATGTGTTCAATGTGCATTTTTCGGTTTTTAAAATATTATTTTCGTTTTTATACAATGAGGTGAAATATTATTTATGTAAAGTATAATTATTTTTTCTTTTGATCATCTAATTTACACAAAAATTCAAATATCTACAGAAATACATGGTGTTCTTTTAACAATAAGAAAGAGTAGTTTTTGGGACGCACTGTATACCTTACAATATTTTTATCAAAATATTATTTAGAGTACCTACACTTAATTAAATTTTCCGTATTTATATGAACGATTTAACTATAAATTTTCCATCAAAGTTCACCTCATTGCATCAAAAATAATTCATTGAATTTCTGCTTATATCGCAGAAAAAGCGTTATTCTAAATGGGAAAAATATGTTAATCTTTAGAGCATACACTCACTCGATGGGATCCTAATTAATTATCGATTGTTTCATTAATTATTTCTGTAGTGATAATTGACTACAGGGATACATGCTTTGTTCCCGTGAATTTAACAAACTCCTATCTCTATAATATTTTGAACATCGGTGAGTGATTGAGCTACAATAGAGCTAGATGTATCTATAACTCTATACTCTACTAAAATATATCAATGTTATATCTAGGAATAATATAATTATAGAATATATTAATGTACTTATTTTTGATTTAAGTTTAATATTTATACAGAATGTTCTCACGTTTTTTATTAAGGGAAAATGATTTTATTTTTAATAAACTATTTATTTTTATTATCGACTGAATTTAATAAAATTTTTAGATAATTTTGCAAAAGTAATTCGAGAAAAACACATTTGAATTATCATTAATTGTAAGTATCAATTCGAAGACTAATAAAATAGTTGTAAAATAATTATTTTGAAAATTTATTGATCGTTGTGAGACAACTTTATTTTTCTATGAAATGTTTGCTTTCGACGCACAAGTATCTAATTTTTTATTAACTTATAATAAGTATAAAAATAGTAAATGTCGTATCAGAAACGCTGGCTGTCTTATTATATTCTGATTATTTAATTGAATTTTACTAATTATTTGGAAGAAATGATCTTTTGAAAATTGGAATATAACGGGACATTCCGTATATAAAATATAAATATATGAGCTTTTTATGGATAAAATGTATTGAAATACCTATAAAATATGTGTATAGACTTCAATGTTGTAACGTGACTGGAATTATAGATTTTGTAAGTTTTAATAAAAACGTTCGAAAACCCAAAAAATCTTTCTAGTAAACCCTTCATTTTAGGTACCCTTCCTTATCACTAATTCATCTAATTTTAAACAATAAAGAAGAATAAATCTTCTGTATATTTTCAAGTCACAATACTCTACACAGTTTTACCAATTTTAACATATTTGGCATTTCAATCTAGCACAGGTTCAACTTTCTAATTTCAACAAGGCTTAATGATTGAATTGATTGACATTATAACGTCTATTATGGAGTAAAATGCCTCATTGAAATCATGGAAAAAGAATTTTCCTATCCAACAGCTGTATTTTGCATTATCGCCACAGAATTCTGCGAGAGATTTTCCTTCTGTGGATTGAGGAGTAAGTCGAACAAAACACTCCATTCTTTAACAATTCTTTAACATCATATTCCTGTATTTCAGCCATTTTATCCCTCTATTTGAGGAATATCCTTTTATTTTCCGAAAACGCTGCCACAGTGATTTACCACGTCTTCATAATGGTCTGTTACGTTGTACCCATGGTGGGAGCATTCTGCGCCGATATTTACTTCGGTAGATACAAGTAAAAGCTTCCTACAATACCTTATGTTCCTTCTTAAAGTCCCAGAAATTTTAGGACGATCAGAAACTTTGCTTTTATCTACCTCATTGGGAATATTCTTATGTGCATTGCGGCTGTACCAACCCTAGGATTGCCCCCAACGTAAGTACAGGCTTCAATATTTTTTTAAAAATTGTCTTAGTACTTTAGGACACTAGAACTTTAGGATATTAAGACATTAGAGACATCAGGAAATCGCGATCTTAGGGTATTAGGTCTTTAATACATTAGGGCTAAGACATTAGAACTATAGCACAGAACGTGCCCCAAATTGAAGATGTTTAAACTTCTAGGTCAATTATTAAACAGTTAAAATACAGCAGTTTTCTTCAGTTTATTTTCAGCAATCGGCCTGAGTCTAATAGCAATCGGAACGGGCGGTCTGAAGCCCTGCGTGGCTGCCTTCGGAGCCGAGCAGTTCGCTTTACCCGCCCAGCAGGACATGCTCGTGCATTTCTTCTCGATATTCTACTTCACCATCAACCTGGGCGGCTTCGTAGGCATGACTTTGACGCCTATAATGAAGAAAGCCGTGTCCTGTTTCGGAGAGGACACCTGCTACGCGCTGGGGTTCGGCTTTCCCGCTGCTCTCATGATGCTGTCCATTTGTAAGTTTGCTATAAAAAACCTTCAAAAGTCAAAAGATGCATAGGATGTTAGGTAGACTTGCTAATATTGTACTCTTTATACAATTGCAATCATCCCATTCCCAACGATTTTCCTGCTTTATTCCAGTATTGTTCGTGGTTGGTAAGAGCTTCTACAAGCTGAAACCGCCCAAGACGAACATCCTGCTGGAGTTCTTCAAGTGCGCTTGGGTAGGCGTGGATTTGGCGCAAAACTGGTTCGAATAATAAATTTAGTACGCTCTAGGGATGAAGGTCAAGCGAAGAACGTACTCCGAACATTGGCTGGACAACGCCAAAGGGAAGTTCAACGCCAAATTGATCGAAGACATGAAAATCGTCTGCTCGATTTTGCTGTTGTACACTCCTTTACCCATATTTTGGTCCTTGTTCGACCAGCAGGGATCCAGGTGGACCTTCCAGGTAAACTCATCATCATCTCTGGAGTTCTTTTACAACCCTTTCCAAACCCTTTACATCTGTTGTACAAGTCTTACAAACTTTTTCAAGCTTTCCGCTTCTATCCATCTTCTACCTGCAGCTTCTGTAATTGTTCCAAGGCGTCCCACATGAACGGAAACGTGGCCGGCACGCAAATCACCCCGGACCAAATGCAAGTGGTCAACCCCGTAATGGTGCTGATGATAATACCGGTGTTCGACAGGGTGTTCTACCCCTGCATTTCGAAGTTCAACATTTTGGAGAACTCCCTGCACCGGATGGCCTTGGGCGGGATCATAGCGGGCCTGGCGTTCCTCACGGCCGGGCTGTTGGAGCTCGTGCTCGAGACCACCTATCCCGATTTGCCCGATCGACATCAAGCTTCCGTTAACGTTATCAATACCCTACCGTGCAACCTTAAGGTGAGATGGTTGTGTTGTGAACTATACTGTTTCTACGACTTTTTTGTAGGTTTACAATCCGTTTAATGGCGTTCAAAGAATTAATGCAAGCGAAATATTTCGGTTTAAGAACGTGTTTACGCACAACTACTCTACTTATACATTGAGGGTTGAAGCTCCCTATTATTGCGGGGATGTTTATTTCAGCAAGCATACGTTTGATATAAGTATTATCACCGTAGAAAGACAGGTATATTATCTTACTTTTAAGAAACTCGATGCTAAATTGGATTCCAATTTCAGATCGATTCGATACTAATCGGAACTGATGAATTCAACGCCATCAAGTCGTTCATCACCGATCCGGTGGACTTTGGAAAATCGCTGACGGGGAATCCCAGAGTGAGGTAACTGGGATTGAAGATGGAAAAACGGGAGTTATCGGTAGTTTGGATTTTTAGGATCGCGTATATCAGGAATTCGAATTATTTTCACAACGTCACGATCACGCTGAAGAGCGTCGCTGGATTGGAAGATGTCTATTTCGTTCCGGATTCGGTTCGATCGGATATTGCGGTTTCGGATTATTTGGAAATACCGCAAGGAGTGTAAGGGAATATTAATTAATAACTGATAGATGTGTAGAAAAAAATCAGTATCTCAATATTGTGAATACCATATGCAAAATAAGATAAGTGATTAGACAGAGATTAGATAGATATCAGTTATAAGTGGTGTAGTATATTGTAAGTTTAACATGTGCTTTAGGTATTATTTATCACGTTTCTGGGAATAGATACATTTTCAATTGGGTTATAGATTGGTTCATTAACAAAAATATTTAAGTTAAAGCTGAGAATCTAGCTGGTTTCCTCCATTAAAAAATATCTTTTGGGGAATATAATGATTTTATCTACCTATACCAAAACAGCTTGTTTTATTAATTAAATTTCGAGTCTTACTCATATATTTTAAGATGCATCAAATTAACTTTGTATGAACTATACATTATATTATTTGGTTATTTTTAGTTATGAATGTCTCATAATGAGCGAAGAAATGAAACATTTGTACGAAAAGCAATTCAATTTGGCGGCCGGAGGGGTCTATTCATTGGCGATACGGGAAAATCGAGACGAAATTGCGGTTAAACAGGATATACTTGAGAAGTTTTTTTTTCTCAATTTATTTTTTTTCAGTTCGTGAAATTGTTCACAATGTCCGTTCCCAACACGGTGAACATGCTGTGGCAAATACCCCAATACTTTTTGATATCCGTAGCCGAAATTATGTTCGGAGTCGCCGGTTTGGAATTTTCATTCACTCAAGTAATTTTCCACTAAAACATCAGAAAATTTAATACTTAATTTACGCCATTTCAGGCTCCCAAATCTATGAAAACCGTAACAATCGCAGGGTGGTATCTATCTGTCGCTGTAGGAAATCTACTGGTGATAATAATCACTCAACTCAACATGTTCAAAAGTCAGGTTAACAAACGAAAATTTATTCACACTTACAATTCGGTAGTAATAGCTGAAGACGTAACATGCGCCATTTTCAATTAATACCTCCAATCATAGAGCATATCGAGTCCACACGTCTACAGCTATCTCTTTCAGTCTGTACACAAGCAGAAAGAGTTAATCTACTGATGATAATAAATACTCGACTCAAGATGTTCAAAAGTCGGGCAAACAAACAAAAATTTAGTTACACTTACAGCTCGATAATAATAGCTATAGACGTAACATGCGCGGTATTCAATTGATACCTAGAATTAGTCTTTAGACATGCAAAATAGTTAATTGCTGATAATAATTACTCAACTTAACACGTTTAAAAGTAGGGTAAACGAACGAAACTTTATTCAGACTTACAGCTCGATAGTAATAGCTGTAGACGTAACATAATATCTAGATCTCGCTTGCGCATCGAGTCCTCACGTCTACAGCTATCGTTTTCGGTCTGTACACATGCAGAAAAAGTTGGTTAAGTCAGAAAATGCCTTGTATGTAGGCGAAAATCCACTTTTTTCAGGCGTACGAATTCTTCCTGTTCGCCTTACTGATCGTGGCCGATATGATGCTCTTTATGGAGATGGTATCCAATTATCGGTTCGTGAAAGCGCAGGAATCGTCTACTACAGTCGGAGATGAGACGGCACCTTTCATCGAAGTAATTAATTACGACGAGGATAATTACGAATGAGTTACTTTTGCGATAATCATCGAGCGATATTTGAGGAATTCGATCGCATCGATCAGGCCGATAACGTTAGAACGAAATTCTCGAAACTCTCGAACGTTTATCTATAAAATTGATCGAGTAAAAGTCCAAAAAAAGTTCATTTTCTAAGCAATAAAAGGTGTTGCATTAACGATTATTATTTCAATTTCCTTTAGTAGAACTTTGCAATATTTATATCTACCCACTTCTGAATTAGCAGGTATACGAGTATTATCTTTTTTCCCGCCACGTCTGAACCGCAGTACTTATCTATTTCATCATCCCTCAGAAGTGATTGATAACCATAATAAACATTCCATCAAATAATCTGATAAATCCGACCCGACGCTTGATTACGCTTTCACAATTCATCTTCTGGTTCATTGTTTCGGTACTGATTATTATTGGTATCGTGATAACAAAATTATTGTTGACACAATATCGTAGTGAAGTCGATATCCTATTTTCGCGCGTCTCCATCGAGAAGCTGGTTTGGTCGAGATATATTGATGATTGCATACCATAAACATGAATGGTAAGTACTATGGATAGTTTCAATTTATATAAATTAAGGATAGGGGAAATGAGCGTAAAAAATTATTTAAATACCCAATAAATAGGTCATTTTTTTGTTAGTTTATTAAGGAAGGCAATTAATTTTTCGTGGTAATTTAACGAAATTAATTTTGCAACATATCAGAAAAATAAAGGTTTATGTATAGTACCTACAGGAAAAGTGGACTTAAAAATTGGGAAATTGGCAGTAAAAAAATTCTAAAAAGTTAATCACTAATAAAAATCTCTAATCAATAAATCAATAATTTCAGTAGATACCTTTATTCTACAAGTGTACTGAGCGTTGAGAGAATCGATTGCAATTGAAAATTTTCACGTAACACAAATTTATTAAAAATTGTAAAAAAATCACTTAGCTGGAATAGATAATAAAACACCAGAGATATAGAGAAGCTTCCTTCGAAATTATCTCTAAGGATTATGAACTCTTAAGTAGGTATTTGAGGTATTATTACATGTGCCAAATTTAAATTTTATGGATTTATGATCTCGATAAAATGGTACCTTAAACTCATTTTTTTGCCTAACGTCTACAGGATGTCCAAAATTCGATACATCGAGATTTAGCTTATTTCTTTCATTTTCGAACAATATAAAGAATCAAAAGTGAATCTGGTGAAATTTATTAAGTGTGAAATTATTAAATGGTGTTTTGAGATGTCGATTATTCCAGGTCAATCGAAAGTTATTATCGAGAAAATGGCACAAGGCTGAATTCGTCAATTCGCGAATCGCAAATAATTCATTAAAACCTAATTGCATGCAATTGACAAAACTATAAAAAATATAGCGTCGCATTAAAATCACTAATTTGCAACAATAAATCGGGATTATCGATAATCGAAAAACACACATGTATTTGATCGTTAAAACTGCGAGATTTTTACAATTTATGACGTGTATTAAATAAATTATACTTTTTACCACCAACCCGAAAATTTTGTTCATCAAGTTTTTATCTAGCAATCTAACAAGATATTACACAATCACAAATGAGGTTTTTTGTCATTGTAATTTGTGTAGCAATACCTACATACTTAAAAAATGTCGGTACTATCAGTTCATAGTTCTAGTTTTGTAAAATGCGTTTATTGCGACAGTAAAAATTTTCCAACAGATATCGTTGATTGTATGTAAACACTACTAAAAATTACAAGATAGTGTTAATAGTTTTATCATTACATATCATAACATTTACGGATCATCTTAAATTTTCTCCATATATGGATAAGTGCAAATTTGCTTGGGATATGGTCAGTTATATGAGTTGAAGAATGAGATTATTAAAATAACAGTGGTTAGAGTGAGAAACTTGCAATCCCACAATATCGCTATATCTTTTTTTTGCATATAAATTTGCATTTATGTGTATAGAAAAGTACCTACCAAATTATATATCTCAAAAATATCAACTATTAATATCTATACATTCTAAGGTTGGGAAGACTGACTTACTGGTCGGAAATGTTGGCATTCCTGAAAATATAGTAACTGTAGCAACTAATAGTTAGTCTGAAATTCCCCTAATTGTCTTCAACATTTAAATTTTTTGTAATTAATCGAAATTCAGTTAATAACATTATTAAATGATCTAAAACTATTCCTTGATTATACAATAAATGCTTACCTAAAAATTTACATTTCAGAAGAAAGAATACAAGAAAACCCGAATGAGGATTTGGATAATGAACAGCCCATAAAAGTAAGTAATTCAAATTTATTGAAATATTATAGTAAAATAATTTTAATCAATTCAATAGAATATTATTATTCATTTCGCAACATCTCTCTCAATTAAATACGCGTATTATGTAAAGAAAACTACTTTCTTGCTCATGAATATCGTATCAATAATTATCTAGGAATAACTAAACTAAAGGAAATTACGGTAATTATCTGTATAAGAATTTATTTCGAAATTTACTGTAAGTAGATACGTGTAATATTTTTTTCTATTTTTGTGCGAATTAATTTTATGCAAGCACGTTCGATTTTTTTTAAATGTTTGCGTATTTTACTTGTAATTTACAAAGAAATTAAAAATAAATTATCGCAAAATACGCGCACGTAATTTTAAATTTTAATTATTATTGTAAACCTTTCTTATTGTTTCATTAAATGCCCATTAAAAATCATAACTAGGCAATTTGTTTTATGATTTACAACTTTTACCAACTCAATTTAAATTAAAACCTCGACGTTTATTTTTTCAGTACACAGGTATTTTTTCAAAATTCAATTATTTCTACATAAAATTTCTATGCTTTATTATCTGATAAGATAAATGCGAAATATTTTGCAAAATAAAAATATTTTCGAATTAATTGTAACAATGAACTTGAATACGAATAAGGCAACATAAAAAATGTCTCAAACCTTATCAAGTTTGCAAATAATTGATCGACAGATAATCATTGAAAGGTTATCAAAAAAGGAAAGAAATTAATACTTGAAATAACCGCATTTCTAATAATTTAATAACTGTAAAAATCTTTTACTGAAGAATTAAAAAAAAGAAGAAAACAATGTAACATTAAATTTTCGCCGTGCAATCATTTAATAAAATTTTATCAGCTTTAACACTCAACGTGTCTTCGTACAAATACAGACAACAATAAATTTTCTTAATAATTCCCGTTCCCACCTCTATAAAACATCATTCGTCGAAAAATTAAACTACAATAATTTAAAATTAAACAATTATTTTACAACTTTTTTATTACACGATGATAAACATATAATTACAATTCAAATAAGCCCACAATACAAGCCTCTTACATGCGATAAGACAACCCGTATGATCGAGCAATTTTCCTCAATTTTTGCAATTGCAATCAATAGACAAAAATATTGCGTCTCACGCTATTCCACCAAGAGATAAGCAGCAATTAAACTGTAATTGAATCTTCTTGCACAATAAAATAGATACATGCATGGCGAATTCGCCGCTCTGTGTTATTATTATCAATAACAACAACAAGAACATTTTAGTAAAAGGTTCGACAGTTTGCGTTCGCTCAGTTATTTACGGGAATATGGTGCGTGCAGTCGAATTGAAATTGGAAAGTCGCAATTGGACTTGACATACATTTAACTCTAAAAAATGATGCAATTTTATTAGTTCGCGAGACCGGTGCGAATCGAAAAAACTTATCTGATATCGGTTTTTGATGCGGCGATAGAACGTGATAATGGAAACGAAAGTGTCGAAAACTCCACAGGTATTTTTTTTTATTTTGTTTATTTTTTCGTTTGGATTGTGTATTTAATTTGGATGTCACTGACTTTCGTAAAATGAATTAATGTATATTTGAATTGTAATCTGTAATAAATTTTCGTGGTTTACAGAATTTTTGATTTAAACTGCTCCACAAAAGTTAAGGAAGTTCGCAAATTTTGCGATTATTTTAAAAGTTACAGACTTTTTGATCACCAAATTTTCAAATATGCGAAATTAAATGTTTTCTCTTATATCTGAATGGATTTTTTGTCCCTACCTCTACAACTCATACAAAACCTGGCGATCAAAAAACCTGCAACTTTTAAATTAATCTCAATATTTGTGAACTTCCTTAACTTTTTTGGAGCAGTATAATTTCTCCGTTCTCATTTAAAAAGTTGTAAATTCGTGGAAAATTTAAAAATATTGATAATTTTGAACGTTATAACATAATCGGATGTTATTTTAATTTACTCATAATTGTATTGGTATTTGGCATTGGTAAGTAAATTGGTCAACTGTAATTTTTGTTGTAATTACGTTTAAACAATTTTAAACTTTACATGAAAATTGTTGGTATTATTTATTTTATTATTTTTCTAGACTTTACGCCTTGAAGTTGAAAATTTCACTCATTAACATGTAATTGTAAATGACACTAATTTTTGAATTAAAGAAATTTCTCATTTTTTACTGTTTATTCTCATATTTACTTTACCTAAATGTGCATACAGTTTGCATATTATTTCTTTAACTATTATATCCTCTTAACTATATTTCTACTCTTGCATATAACTATATAACTCTTGCAAAATTATCAACATTTTTTTTGAAAAATCGATCAATATTTTTACTTTTTTAAATTGTTTGATACCAAGTATTGCTTATTTGTACTGCTTATTATGCAAAAACGACCAATTTCATAATACATAAATGCGTAAAAATGTTATTAGTCTATACAGACATTCAGGATTTAAATCTAATCATTAGGGAATAAGTGTATTTAACATTTAATACACACAAATAAACCTTGAATGCAGGATAACTGATGTAGAATTCTATTAAAAATGGTTATGCACTATTCACTTGGAAGGCCACCGAGTGATTCCAACTATGCAAACGGCATATTAAAACAATTTTAAATAAAAATTTGTATATCCTTTAGATCAAAAGTTGATAATAACCGAGTTATTATTGTTTATGTGCAACAAATATTCAGTGCAGTTATTTTTTATAAAAATAATTGTGGTATAAAATTCTCCACTAACCTGTGCACTTTGGAGATTGTGGCGTTTCAACCACACAAAACACACAATATTTACTACAAAAAATGTTTACTACAGAGATATCATAATTTAATCTTATTTTTACCGAGCACAAGTTTCTTCCTGTGGTCCCAAAAAAAAGTCCAAATGATCGAGGTCCGGTGACCTAGAGGGCCACTTACTTTCCATTGAACATTATATCGTGTTTTTTTACCATAAATATATTTAGGAAAACAATAAATATTCAAAAGCCTCAAATTATTGATTTGTATCCAATAAAAACTACATAATGTAGACTTAATAGTGCACAAATAATACAAAATATTAAAATAAACAATATTGAACAAATATATTTTTTTCTTTTCAGAAACTCCCCTACCCCAAATCAGTATTCTTCATAGTGAGCAATGAATTTTGCGAAAGATTTAATTACTATGGAATGCGAAGTAAGTATATCCATATTACACAAAATTCCTAATAGAACCAACAAAGGAACACACATTGTTACATAAAAAATGTTTTATTGATACTCTCATAAAAATAATCTCTATAAAATCACGTTTATCTCGCTACGTCTATGGCCTGATTCAACTAATCATTCTTTAATGCACATTACTACATTAAACACATCATAATAATAACAATGTTTAATAGACATTTAAAAAACACATTCTCATTTTTAAAATCTCCATATAAAAACATTTTTTCTCTCCAGCCGTGCTGGTCATATACCTCACGAACATCCTCCTATATTCCGACGCCGACGCCAAAGTCATCTACCATTCCTTCAACATGTTCTGCTACTTCTTCCCCATCTTCGGCGCCATCGTATCGGACAGCTTCCTGGGCAAATTCAACACCATCTTCTACGTCTCCATGGTATACGCTTGCGGCAGCGTTCTCTTAACCCTCGCCTCCATAGACCCCTTAGGAATACCACAGAAAGTAAGTCCTGGGCAGGGAACCTCCCGCTCATGCGAATTCAAACTAACCAATGATCGCCTTAAAGGAATTCTCGATAATCGCCTTGCTGCTCATGGCGATAGGATCCGGAGGGATAAAGCCCTGCGTGTCGGCCTTCGGCGGCGATCAATTCGTGCTGCCCCAGCAAGATTTGCAACTGGCCGCGTTCTTCTCGCTCTTCTACTTCTCCATCAACGCCGGCAGCTTGATATCCACGTTCGTGACGCCGCTGCTGAGGAACGACGTGCAATGTTTCCACAACGACAGCTGCTTCCCGCTGGCCTTCGCCGTGCCCGGCGTCCTCATGATCATCTCCATAGGTAAATCCCCTGTACAACACACTCTACGCACGTCTACAAGACTGTATTTTCAGTGGTGTTTGCGTTCGGAAAGCCGCTGTACAAGATCAAGAAGCCCCAAGGCAACGTGGTGGTGCAAGTGGCGAAATGCGTTGCGGTAAGATCGCTCCCTCTAGCTCTACCGTACTCGATGATAATTTTCGATTCGATCGACAGTGCGCGATAGGAGGAAAGGTAAAGTCGAAGGAGAAGCGGGCGCATTGGCTGGATTACGCCGAAGGGAAGTTCGGAAGCCAGCTGATCGACGACATCAAGGCGACGCTGCACGTGCTGGTGCTCTACCTGCCGTTGCCGATCTTCTGGGCGCTCTACGACCAGCAGGGCTCCGGCTGGACGCTGCAGGCCGTGCGGATGAACGGCGACATCGGGTTCTACACGATACTGCCGGACCAAATGCAAGTGGTCAACCCGCTGTTGATCCTCTCGTTCATTCCCTTGTTCACCTACTGGGTGTACCCTCTCTTGGCTAAAGTCAACTTGCTGAAGACGTCGCTGCAGAGGATGGTAAATTGGTCATATAGAACTAGTTTCAGATTGTATGTTTCGGGATGTTGTAGGTTTGCGGCGGGTTTTTAGCGGCTGTGGCTTTTGCCGTGTCTGCTGTGGTTTCGATGAGCATAGAAAATGGGGACCCCGTGCTGCCGACGAGCGGTAATATGCAGCTTCGATTGTACAATCCCAGCCATTGCGCGTACAAGATGATGGCGTTGGAGCCTTTAAACTTGACGTTTGATATCGGTAGTTACGATTACAAAGAGTTTAAGGGAATAGATTTCGATGAGGCAAGGGACGTAAAATTCGATTTCGTAGCGACTTCGGAAATTGCTGGATGTCCAAGCTTCCATCCAAGCTTCCATTTGAAACCGGCCGAAGCGCATGGTATAGTTATCTTGAAGAATGGACCTGCTTACTATAAAGATAACGTGACTAAAAGTGAAACGGGTTATCCATTCGTGAGGTAAATATTGTAAATACTGCACTAATGTAGAGAATTTATATTTGGTTATTTCCAGAACGTTGGATTTTACTTCGAACAATGTGATAACGTACAAAAAGGGATCACGTTCTGTGAGTTCGCGAGACTACAACATCCAGTACGAAGTCTCAGCACCAGGGAAATATTCCATAGAACTAAACGGTGCCAGTACAGGCGAATCTGTAGAGTTTAAATTAGGAGGAACGTACGTCATGATGGTAAACTCGGTAAGTACTACTCCATCCATCGCCAGTCTAAATAGCCCTAGGGACGATTTTTTGGGCGATTTTGTTGTGTTACCTACTCCACCATGCCTTACTAAATTTGAAACTTTGCACACTTGTCCAGGAAACAAAGAAATTCGTAAGCACCGTGCTGACGGAGCCCAACAGCGTCCACATTCTCTGGCTGCTGCCCCAGTACTTCATCATCACAGCGGCCGAGATAATGTTCTCCATCACCGGCCTGGAGTTCTCCTACTCGCAAGCGCCGGTGACGATGAAATCGCTCCTGCAGGCCTGCTTCCTGCTGACGACGGCCTTCGGGAATTTGATCATCGTCATCATCGAATCCGCCAAGATATTCGATAAGCAGGTGAGCGACTGGGAGTGGCGGGAATGCGAAGGAATTGATGATGATTTTGGTTGTTTCAGAGTAACGATTTCTTCTTGTATACGGGATTGATGGTGGTGGATATGCTGATCTTCACGTTTTTGGCTAGTAGGTATAAGTACGTGCGGAATGAAGATAGCAATGTTTCCGAGGGAGTTTCGGAGGAAACGTTACCGGAAATCGAAGAGAAGTTAGGAAGGAACGGCATCGACAATCCTACGTTCGTGAAAAATTGATAACCGTATGAAAGTACTTAAATTTACGAGAAATTGCAAGAAAAAGCGTTCGATAATCGAATGTAGTTTGTTGATTTTTTTACAAATTAATTTAAGGTCTATAAACGCGGCTGTTTATTCGTAAACTACAAGGTGAGAGTGGCAGAAAAGCAAATTTTTCGATATAAACTATCTAATTTTTCACCCTGTAAGTTCCTACTGAAATTATGCAATAACGAATTTACTTACCTAGTACTGTACATGCATTGTAAATATATTTTGTAATTAAATTATTTCTAAGAAACGCATTAATCACTTCCAATATCGGGTAACTAGTAGTCAATTCAATGAAACAGCGAATATCTTAACTAATTATATTAACCAAAACAAAATGTTAACAAAACTTGGCTCAACTAAAATATTGTTCTCGTAAAATTCCTTATCATATAGGAATGCCTATTTTTCGACTTTTTAATCTTAACTGAAATGAACCGTTTCAATTAGCGAGAAAAAAGCTCCGTTACGCACGGACTAGGCCAAGTTTCCGCGCGTCCGTCCGCCAAACTCGATCAAATAAAAAAATAAAGGCACAACAATGCTGACGATTCCGTTCCGATTAGCAATTCGAAATGAAACGAGGCGTTAGAAACGGGAAGAAATTCTCAGCTAAATTAACTGTTTCGGAAAATACAATATGTACAAAGCAGCCTAACTCCTTCTGCTGAATAAGGCTGATTAGTCCTCATTTGTAGGAAAGTTGGGACGTTTTTTTCGAGTGGTTAAACTCTTCAGATATTGTACGTAAAATTTACACAATATGCGATGAAATATAAAAATATACGGGTAAAATTTTCGTTCATTTATAAGTGAGAAATAATCACATAAAAAAAACAGTGTTGCTGAACTAATTAGATGTTAAAATAGGTAAGTTAATTAGTGGATCAGGCTCCATTAGATCGATAAATTAGCGAAATTAACCAGTTAGTAGTCAGTCTTTATTATGCAAAAAAACGTACGTATTTTATGTTCACTGAATATTCACAAATATGCATTAAGTAAAATAGTAATTAAATAAATTTAAAAAAAGTACAAATGATTCAACGCTATGTTTGTTTAACCACTCTTAAAAAACGCATTGGAACAATTATTATTGTATTACGTTAAAAATACTAAATAAAACTATTATTCGTTTAAAAAATAATCGTTAATTTTATGACAGAGATTCGAAACTTTCGCTGCCGATGCTCAAAAAATTATATTTTTTGTACTATTAACAATCCGTAAACAGCCAGTATAAAAATTCACTTGTGAAGTATCAGTTACCTCGTTCTTAAAAAAATCATTCTTTTTCTTTCATATTTATTGTAAGGAGTGAGTCTACTTATCCACACGGACACGGACAAAACGATGAAAATATTCCACCTATTTTAGGTATCATAACTAAAAAAATTCAATATCAACGCCGTTGCTATTACAAGTAAAATTTGATGAGTTGAAAACATGAAATTTTATCATCAGTCTATTGGTAAATGTTTCATCATCAGTTAACCGTTTTGCCCATGCTCTGCACTAAGATTAACCATGTACATTACTTATTACTAGATAATGTAGGTATGGGGCCTGACCCATGAGAATATCACAGAAAAAGCCTTTAACGTGTCAGTATTACAACGCTAATGTTCAATTCAAATCATTCATCAAATGTTTTCGCTAATTCCGCCATTCAATCATCGGGGAATAATATCGAAGAAAATTCTACATTCTATGGATCAGACCATTAAAATGCTTACACTAAGATTTACAGCATAGGAGTATCGTGGGTCGTACGTTTTAATGTACTACGCACATACGTGTTGGATATATTTTTCAATATTCGCAAATAAGATAGTTACGAGAAATCAATGTCCAGTTAACTTTTAAGCATAGTTTATTGTATCCATTCAATAATAGGCAGAAACTAAAAACAATTTTTCGCTAAATCCGGAACATTATAATAAGAGAAATCTCAATCGCTAATATTGAAAACATAATTTAATTAAAAAAAAAACACCCTATATTATCAAACGCATCTGTGAACATCAACTCAACTGTGTCAGTCCTTTATCATCATAAATTCTTCATAATTTCAACATTATATTACAGGAATTCAAAAAAAGCGGACTCGCCAGTTCACTGCGATTTTCACAGATCGCCCGAAATATTACAATACCTAGTTAACATTTATCGGTCTGAAAACAATTTTCCCCTCTTTTTTACACGTTCCACACTATAATTAAAATACACAATAAGTTACGATAACGTCGGACCGTCACAACTTTTCAATCAACCAATCAATCAATCAATTATCTAACTTCACATTTAGCCTACATCATCATTACATAGTACTCCACGGGCTCGTTTATTCCATAAAACAATATCGAAAAGTCCCAACGGTCCCACTGATTATTACACTCACTTTTTCTCTTAGCAAATATTCTCAGTTCCATCAGTATATTTACACCGCGACAAAACTATCGCTGTTGAGTTTTCCGCGTCGCCTTTCGCATCTTCCTGGGCGCCAGCAGGCCCCCGTTCACGGGCGAAGCCCTAAAACAAAAAATAACATCGATCGCGTTAAATCTCGTTTGCGAAGAAAAGATGAAGGATCGTCTAAAATACTCACGAAAAGGCCACGGGTTTGTCCGAGAAATTGTAGGAAGGTTTTGCGTTCGCATCGAAAGCTGCCGTAAACGTGAAGCCTCCCAATGGCTGAAAAGAAACGTAAAAGATTTAGAAATTAGAGCTAAGACGAGCGCGCAACTTCTACTGCATGCAAAGGATCGAGAAGTCCATTGCTTTAATGTTAAACTGTTATACAGGCTCTCTCATAAGTTGATACTGTTTTATATTCTGGAAGATACGAGAGCATGTTTTTTTTTCAATTTTTAATTATTAAAAAGTTAGTTAATACGGGTCTGTTCATTAAAAGTTAAAGGAACTGCTCAAAATTGTCGCCATTTTGATTGATTTTCATTAATTATTATTTTTATGACACCTGTATGGTAATGGCAGGTACGTATTGGAAAATATTCGAAAAAAATACTTGAAAAAGTTGCTTAGAATTAAAAGATCTATACGCAGTTAAAAAAAGTATCAACTTATAAGACACCCTGTATTCCAGAATGTTGTCGATCTCATCGAGAGCACCTGGCGGTGATAACTAATAATTTATCATCTAATACACTATTTTCAGGCATCCACTTACTTGTGTCGAAGCTGCCGGTTGGCTACCGCCGGCGCCGAAATTGAACGAAGGCGCCGGCGCGGCGCTGAAATTAAACCCGGCCTTCGGCGCCGAATTCGGAGGCGCGGCGGGCGTCGTCGTCGCGGCGGCCGCGCCGAACGTGAATATCCCGTTCTTGTTGGCGGCGCTGTTGAAACCGCCGCCGGCCGGCGCTTTGGCGATCGATCCGAAATTGAAGCCCGACGAAGGGGCGGCGGGCGAGCCCGAAGCGGACGAGCCGAAATTGAACGCCGGCTTGGCGGCGGCCGCGGGCCCCTCGTCTTTGGAGAATTTCCCGAACGAGAAGGGCTTCACTTCGCCCGGCTTGGCCGAGCCGAAGGAACTCCCCGGGAGCGTACCGAACGTGGGAGCCGCTTTGGCTTCGGACGCGCTCTTGTTCAGAGTAATGGATTTGTTTTGACCGAAGGAATTATTCGCGCCGAACGAGAAGGCCGGCGATTGAACGGGTTTCGGCGGTTCGGGTTCTTTCGATAACGCGTTCTTCGGCGGTTCGAAGGAAACCGTCGATTTCGCTTCGGTGTCCTTCTTTTCGAACGACGATCCGAAATTGAACGATGGCTTCGGCAGCGCCTCGACGTTGTTCGATTTAATCGGCGATTTAACGTTACTAGATTCGCCGGTGGTGGCGCTCGCGACGGGCATCGTAGTAGCGGGAGTGAATTTAAACGATTTTTCTGGCACGATTACATCGGGTTTTACCGCCGCGACCGGTTCGGGCAGAGCGGTTTTGCTATCGAGCTTCTTCTTATCGGGTTCGTCAGTCTTTTCCTTCTCCTGCGCTTTGGGAGTCACGCCGAAGGAGAAAGTCGCCGGCGCCGCCGGTACCGTCGCCGGCGCTTTGGGCGCTGCCCCAAGCGCCCCAGGTACTGTCCCGAGTGCTGCAGGTACAGTCCCCAGCGCCGGTGGTACCGTCCCAAGCGCTGCTACAGCTGGTGCAGTTCCAAGAGTCCCAGGTGCCTTAGCTGAAGGTGGTATTCCGAAGCTGAAGGAAGCCGCGGATTTCTGATCGATGCCGAAGTTAAATTTCGTCGTCGGCCTCTTTTCGCAATCCTTCACCACCACATTAGTGCTAGTTCCCGGCTTGGAGGCCTCGCAACATTGGCACTTGCCTCGATCGGACTTGTTCATAATCAAACACACCTAGAAAAATCACAACAATTTCATTATTTATCTACAATAAAACGCTTTATAATAATGCTCGATTGCTCACCTCGCATCTCCATTCGTCGTCTTTAGTCTTGAAAGCGTTGGTCAGCGGCTCGGAAGCGCTCGACTTGGCGATTCTGGGCGTCTCGCAGGCGACGCACTTGCCCAGGTTCTCGTCGTTCCTGATCATGCACGTGGAGCATTCCCAGGTGTTGGAGCGCGGCAGGAACTTGCTCAGCGAATTCGACGACGAGACGGGCGCCGACGTTTCGGGATTGGGCGTTTCGCAGGCGGCGCACTCCGAGCGATCGTTGCCGTTCCTTATCAGACACGCGGGGCACACCCAGACGTCGTCCTGTTTCGCGAATTTGTCGCCGAACGACGGCTTCGCTGTCGCTTTGGAGGCGGACGCTCCGCAGGCGGCGCATTTGCCCTTGTCGGGCTGGTTTCGCACCAAGCAGCTGGGACACTCCCACGTGCCGGCGGCCGGTTTGAATTTGTCGAAGAGGCTCGAATTGGACGCGGCGTCTTTGACGGTGGTTTGGCCGTTGTTTTTGCCTTTCGTCGGCGGCGCCGCGCTGTTCGGTTTGGCGCATTTCGACAGAGGCTCGCTGAATTTGAAGTTGTTCACGGCCACGATGCTCTTGAGGTTCTCGGCTATGACGAGGGGATTCGAGAACTTGTAAGGCGACGTGTCTTTCGGCGCGGTCGCAGAACAATCTCGCGGTTCGTTGGGTCGCGGCTGCTTCGAAGCGGGGGTTTCCGCGAAGGGTTTGTCGGTGACGTCTTCTCTGATCGGCGAAGCCGGCTGGATAACGAACTGCGGTAAGTTTGACGATGGAAGACTGGCGGTCGATTGAGGTTTATTAGTTTGCGCCGGAGTAATACTTTTTGATTTCTTAGCTTCGTTGGGTTTCTCAACGGCCTTCGTACTTTGGACATCTTCCTTTTCTTTTAATCGCGGCGATTTGCTCGCGTTAGAGACGTGTAAACTAGGTTTAGGCGAGGAATTCGCGTCGGTTTCCGAACGTTTGTTCGAATCAGACGGAGCAGATATGGCGATTTGCCTGACCGTTTCCGTGCTGGTTTGCAGCTTAACCTTCTGCTTCATTTTCAACAAATCCGACACCGTGGGCACTTGGAGTTCGGTGGTTAGAGCGGATCGTTTCTGTTTCAAGTACGGATTGACTCCGATATGCGAACCCAACAGGCTATCGTCGGGTCGAAATCGTTTCGAAGCAACAGGTATCTTCTTCGCATCGTTAACGGGAGTATTGTATTGTTCTAAAGTCTCTAAAATTTTCCTCGCCGTTTTGCCCAAAACAAAACCGCCGCCTTGCCTGGTCTTGTTGATCGGTTTGATGTGCACCGATCGCTTGATCGACGCCCTGGAATCCTTCGCGCCTTTACCGAACCGTTTCCCGTAGGCCGAAGCGCCCCCGTACATGGTCGTTCCATTGTAGAACGGGGAATTGATGATTTTCTCCGTTGATATTGTTCTATCGAGGAAGTTCGGCGAGCCGAACGTCGACGCGCTGAAGCACGGCCTTCTGGAACTCAACGATGTGTTTAATTTGGGGCTCCCAGTTCTTTCGGCAAATAGAGAACGATTTGCGCTGGCAGCTAAAACAATATTTAAGAGATTAATTAATAAATAGGGTATCGATGAAATGTTGTATCCACGACCGCAATTTCAATTATTTTCACAAACAATACCCGGTAAAATTATACTGAATCTCTAGCATCGAATAAAATCTCGTAGAGTAACCATTACGCTTACCAGATAGTAAAACTGTTAATATCTTTAATGACTTAACACACTATTACATTACAGCTTATCATTTATAAACAACAAACACCTAGAATGCGGTGGATGTTTTTATAGTATATTGAACTCACCTGGACTCTGAAATAAGGACCTGATGTTTGGTGAATTCGTTTGTAAAGGTGACGGTTGCTTGGAACTTCCCTCGCTATGGGACGCTTGTTCCTTATTTCCTATCCTAGCTACAGAAGAGTAACCACTTGTGGATTCCTCACTATCTGAGTCTTTGTTTCCGTTTAACAAGTCATTGTTGAATAAATTCTTAGCACTATGCGTATTAGTCGTAACACTGTTAAGCACCTTGTGGGTTTTTAAACCGGATGGCCCAGCGACGGGTTCGGAAAAGTAATTATGCGTTTTGTTTATAAACGTATCACTGTACGCATTATTATCCAACACGGAGCCGGAGAACAAATTGATGAAGCCCGATCCGGCCGAGTCCGGTAACCGAGCTCGTTTCGAAGGAGGCTGCATTTCATTGGATTCTTCATCGTCCTCCCGTCTTCTTATTGTTGATTTACTGTTGTTTTGTCTTCGGAACCATTTGGACAAAGGTGTGTTGCTGATAATTGATTTGAATTTCCCAACAAGTGACTAAAACAAATTTGAAGCATGAGATGCGTTGAAGGCGACAAGCAATGTTGTTGAAAATGTACATTCGATACGGTGCGATTGCAGTTTAGAAAACAGAGAAGATTCTACTTAGTAGTTCTAGAAATCTATTTATAGTGATGAGAACGCGCGAACTTGTTAGGCGCAAGAAACTTATTTAGTATTATTACCTTTTCGGCGTCGTCTTCGTTAATATTTGGTGAATTTTGTTCAGTACTGCTATTAAGTTCGTTCGCCATAATTGCACTAAAATTCTTAATAATGTATAAACATAAATACAACAAGAATACTTTACATTTTTTTAATTTTATGACAACTTTCACCACACGAGGAATAAATATGGCGTAATTTAGCTGTGGTTCGAAATTAACCTTCAGAGGGAAGGTTATTCGTTGACAGGTCAAACGAACGCAGCTGTAGTGCGTTCTTTGTTACAAAAAAAATTTTAATTACACTGGAATATTTTTAATACGCAGTTTTATTTAGTACGAGCAATTGTAAAGTAATTTTTAGTAAATCATTTACGTTTTCTTTGCTTTTTGCAATAAATAATACAATTACAACAAATTTATAATATAGTTCTCTTTGTTCAATCGGAACGTATCTAAAAGGTGCAATTCTACTTGTCATTTTTCGCTACTCCTAGCGGTGATTCGATGAAGTTTCTATAATCCAGATTTTTCGGAAAACAAATCTCAAAAAGTATAATGATTTTCGTTTTCAAATTTTCACAATACATTACCATTATCCTCAACTAGTCATTAAAAGCTTTTGATATTCGTCCGTTAGAAAAAAATCTTGTATTTCCTAAAATCATGTTTATTTTCATTGCTGCCAACCGAATTTGGGTTACCAAAAATCAACGCCCGCCTTGCTCCCATCTGTCAATCCTGTCACTGTCGCAAATGTCAAACTAACTGTCAAGTCAATGCATAATTTTCTGTTTACTTTTTATTGATTAACATTAATAATTAAACACTAGCAAATACAGTGTTACAGAAACAGGAAAAGTTTAAACAACAACAACAAAATGGCTGAGACACCAGCATCGCAGCGTCTCACCAACGATGATTTCCGAAAACTCCTGATGACCCCTCGATCGACTCCCCATACTCCTGCTCCTCCAGGTTCGGTCAAGGAGGCTATGAACAACCCGAATTCAATGCCTCCACCCAAAATCGAAGACAAATCAGAGGCTAGACGCAAGAAGAAAAGCTTCTACGCCAAGCTCAAAAAGCAGGAGGACAACAAAATGGCAGAGCTAGCGGAGAAGTACCGTGACCGAGCCAGCGAGAGACGTTCGGGCGTCAATCCCGACTATCAAGCGGACGATCCCATCGCGACCGCGCAGGCCTATCGAGCAGTCGCCCCGGACCTGAAGTCGGGCTTCGATGCGGCTGAACGGAGAAGGCAAATGATCCAGGAATCCAAGTTCTTGGGAGGAGACATGCAGCACACGCATTTGGTGAAAGGTCTGGATTACGCTCTGCTGCAGAAGGTGCGAAGCGAAATTCAGCAAATCGAAATGGAGCAAGAGATAGAAATGGAGAAACTCGCCACGAAAACCATGGAAGAAAAGGAGAAGGAAAAGAAGGACGCTCAGAAGAAGGAGGAAGAGGAGATGAAGTTTAAAACTAAGATAGGCCGATCGATTTATTACACTATAAACGTTTTAAAGTCCAGGCATATTGAGAAGTCTGAACTCTTCATTCCCGGAAGGATGGCTTACGTCATCGATTTAGGTAGTTCCAGTGCAACCAAAATACACTTTTTTTCTAATACTATTTATTTGTAGATGATGAAGCTGAAAGCGATATTCCCACTACATTGATCAGATCCGTTGTAGAAGTACCATCATTTGAATTAACTACTACAGTCACAACTAACGATATCGTAATTAACAAACTTACTCAAATATTAAGTTATCTTAGACAGGGTGAGATCTATTTCCACAAATCACATTACTCTAATAGACAAGACAGATGTATAATTATAAAAGAAACACTTTTTTGTAGGCAATCGTAAAAACAAGAAAAGCAAGAAAGGCCTTCCGGAAAGCTCTAAAGATTACACAGACACCCAAGACAATAGCGAGAGCAAAAAGTCACAGAAACGATCTTATCAAGATGATTCAATTTACGGAGACATCGGAGACTACGTGCCTTCGTCGAAGAGCAGTAGACACCGAGAACATCGCGACAGAAAATCCCAGAATTACTTTGACAAACACGATAATGAGCCTGTGGATAATGCAGGCCCGGCTTTCAGGGTGAACAAGTCTGCTGAAATTCTCAATAAGCTTCAACAGGAGCCAGAAGGTTACGCAGAATGCTATCCAGGTAAATTTAAAAAGTTTGTACGTGTAACTTTGATTAAAAATACCTGTTATTTTAGGCTTGGAAGAAATGAACGATGCTATAGATGATAGCGATGACGAAGTTGACTACTCGAAGATGGATTTGGGTAATAAAAAGGGACCAATTGGAAGGTGGGATTTCGATACTGCGGAGGAATATTCAGATTACATGAACCAGAAAGAGGCGTTACCGAAAGCGGCTTTCCAATATGGGCTCAAAATGGCAGACGGGAGGAGATCGAGGAAACACAAAGATAAAAACGAGAAGGCGCATTTGGATAGGGAATGGCAGAAGATTCAAAATATTATACAAAAGAAAAGATAATTTCGCTATAAGTAATATACTTTTAAAATGTATTAATGTTTGTAAGAGATTGTTATTCAATTTCTTCCTCGTCGCTAAAATATTCACTTTTTTTAATTTTTTTTCTAGCAGGAGCGTCCGATGTTTCTGGTTCTTTGTTACTGTAATTTCCAGTAGCTACTCTGTATCTATACTCTTCTAATTCTTGTTTTTCTTGCTGTAAATAAATAAAATGTTATTAGTATGTCAGAACAAGTTGTGCTTTACAAACCTCCAAAGCTATGGCTGCACTTAATGTTTCACAATCCTTGACATCATCGCTTTCTTTATCATTTTCTTCATCCTCGACAACGTTCTCCCCTTCTTCATCATCCTGAAGTAAAATTAAATTTACAAGTGAACAAATACAAATTAAATGAGCTTGCCTGTATTGAACCGTCCTGACGACTCTTCTTCTTCCTCACACGAGACTTTTTAGGAGGCGGTTCTCTTGCACCTAGTAAGTTTTTGCTACAATTGTAACTTACATGTCCGTATTGTCCACATTCGTAGCATCTTGATTTATCTACGTAAGTCTAAAAAAGTATTTTATTTAGTTTTGTTAATTGTTACAATGCCTAGAATCTAGAACATACCTTTTTCCTTATGAATTCTTTCGTCCTGCCATTATCTTTTGCTATACTGGATTTTATTACCCTTCCAAACAACTGTAATAAAGCGCATTTATAACGAAATGTATAACCTTATGTATAAGTTATTGAGAGTTTAATGTTTAATATTAAAAATCACCTCTTTAGAATTGGTTTCTTCCACACATTTTAGAGCATCATCTTGAGATAAAAATTGTATAAATGCAACACCTTTGCTTTTCCTCGTTGCTTGGTCTTTTAATACAGTAACCCTTTAAACACGTTCTTAATAATGTAAATAAACAAACAAAATCTTCATGTACTTACTTTACAATTTTACCATGTTTCTCGAATATTTTATGCAAATCATTATTGCTTAAATCAAACGGTAAGTTTGAAACGTACACTGTACTTTTGCTAGGAGCCAGTCCACCACTCATAATAATTATTATTTTTTCTTATACTTTGTTTATAAACAATTATAACCTTAAATATATACGTTTATAAAAAAAGAAGATATTTAACTGTCAACTATGTCAAAAATGGCATGTCAAATGTCAAATTTCTCAAACAACAATAAAAGAGATTTAGTTTGGTTAGATTTTAGATTTTCATGGTAATTTAGTGTTTGGTTTGCTTCAAGTGAAGAGAATTAATCAAAACGCAGTAATGTACGAAGAAAGAAACATTACCAATAGGAATTAGAATTCCCACACATGAAGGATAGATTTGAAACTACCAAACGTTTAGTAGCCGTTGCACTATTTTTGCTTTTCATTTGGACATGCCAGCAACTCTTTGGAGAATAAAGAAATAAATAGCTTATCAATCATGTCCAAGCACAAAGTATCGTATTTCTTCAATCCGGATGTAGGCAATTTTCATTATGGCACTGGTCACCCGATGAAGCCGCATAGACTCTCCGTTATCCACAGTCTCATCATGAATTATGGGCTGCATAAAAAGATGCAAATATACAGACCTTACAAAGCCAGCGCACACGACATGTGCCGATTCCATTCCGATGAGTACATAGGTATTTAGTAACATTAAAATGCAAATAAAATTGCATCGATTACAATCAAATATTCCAGATTTCCTACAAAAAGTCACACCGCAAAATATCCAAGCTTACACGAAACATCTCAGCCATTACAACGTTGGAGACGATTGTCCGGTTTTCTACGGCCTCTTTGATTTCTGCTCGATGTACACCGGCGCTTCGCTCGAAGGAGCCATGAAACTGAACAACAATGATTGTGATATCGCTATAAACTGGTCAGGTAATTTATCTCGAGGCTTATTTCGCGTTAGAAACGCTTCAAAACCTCTCATTTTAGGCGGACTGCATCACGCTAAAAAATTCGAAGCGTCCGGTTTCTGCTACGTCAACGACATAGTAATAGCGATATTGGAACTACTCAAGCACCACCCCAGAGTTTTGTACATAGATATCGACGTTCACCACGGCGACGGGGTGCAAGAAGCCTTCTACTTAACCGATAGGGTGATGACGGTCAGTTTCCACAAATACGGAAACTATTTTTTCCCAGGCACCGGGGATATGTACGAAATAGGCGCGGAAAGCGGCCGGTATTACTCAGTTAATGTTCCTTTGAAAGAAGGCATCGACGACGCCAGTTACTGGCAAGTTTTCAAGCCCGTCATATCCGCAGTTATGGAATTTTACCAGCCCACTGCTATCGTGCTGCAGTGTGGAGCCGACTCCTTAGCTATGGATAGGTAATGAACTTGTTTGGCATACAAAGGTAAAGTGAGAAGTTCTCGACCTAACAATGAAAGAGCGATTTTCAGCTGTAAATTTGCATATTTCTTCTTATTAAGTCAAAATCTTTGGTCCAAGACGGTTCTAAACGATTCAGAATCGTTCTAGATTGTTCTAGACAGTCCTAAATGATTCTGGAGCGTTATAAATGCTTCTGAAGTGTTCTAAATGGTTCTAGACAATTCCAAACGATTCTGCAGCGTTCTAAATGGTTCTAGATAGTTCTAAATGATTCTGGAGCGTTCTAAATAATTCTAGAGCGTTCTACATGACTACGGAGCGTTATATATGCTTCATTTAGATAATTTTAAATGATTCTAGACAGTTCTAGAATTCATTACAAATGTGCCAAAAAGGAAACAAGAATTTTTGCCGATTGTAGCGCCCTCAGTGAATCAGGCCGAGAACTTTTCACCGTTCACTCTATATTAGAGTACCATACATCATTCATCAATCGCAAACTTCTTCATGGATGCTCGATTAATTTTTAGGCTGGGCTGTTTCTCCTTGAGTACAAAAGGCCACGGCGAATGCGTGAAATTCGTAAAAAGTTTAAACGTGCCCACGCTAGTAGTAGGCGGCGGTGGATATACCTTGAGGAATGTAGCGAGATGTTGGACCTACGAGACCTCTTTGTTGGTAGACGAGCAAATATCGAACGAACTACCGTTCACCGAATACTTGGAGTTTTTCGCCCCCGACTTCACTTTGCATCCCGAAGTTGTGACGAGACAGGAAAACGCCAACAGCAAGCACTATTTAGAAGCTATCACGAAGTACGTTGGAACTTCGCTATAATTCGAAAAGCCTTTGGTTACTATATGTTTTTTAGGTTTACTTTTGATAATTTGAAAATGTGCCAGCATTCGCCTAGCGTGCAAATGCACGACGTGCCCGGTCCGGCCCTGACGGAAGACGAGAAAATGAAGGAAGAGGACGATCCGGACGTTCGTATTAGCCAGGATCTGGAAGACAAGATGGTCGAAGCGAAAAACGAGTTTTACGATGGAGATAAAGACAACGATAAGGAAGACGTAAAGACGTGAAAGCGTGAAAATTATTTCAAAACTTACATTTAATTTAAAAAATAAACGTATATACAGCTTTCTATTCAACTATATCCGATTTCGAAATGTCCGTTACAATTACTATCACAACAATTTGGTCCTAGCGCGCAGCGTTCAGCAGTACACCTTTCGCGATTTGGTTTTTTCGTACAGTTTATTTTTTAAATCGCGCTTCACGTCCGCGATGGTGTAGTTCATTTGCTTGGCGTACGAGGAGGAATAACTGTGATCGTAGAACGAAGGGTTGCTCGTTTTCACCGCTTTCTGTTTACCGGGATCCAAGTATTTCTTAACGAACGACTGCGCTGTGAAGCTGATCGTCTCCTCGCTGGTTTTCTTCTTAACTTGCATCTGTTCTTCATACGTGTGGTTCTTAACGTGCTTCCGAAGACTGCTCGGGTCCGTGTACTTTTTGGTGCATCCGTATACTTGGCAAGCGTAAGGTTTCTGAAAAATTGTTAAGAATTATTGAGTTGTTTAAATGTAGTTTAAAACAAATACGGTACTTACAGTATCGAAGTGGGTCCTTTGATGCTTGGCCCGATCCGAGCTGTTGGAGAAGCTCTTGGTGCAGCTGGAAAACTGGCACAAATAAGGCCGCTCGCCCGTGTGGCTTCTCTGATGGATCTTCAGGTTCTCCAATCGGGAAAAGGCCTTGTTGCAGCCGCCGAACTACAACGAAATATCGCCAAATTAAACGAATTATCTCCGGCAACACGAGCAGGTGGTTCTTTTGGGCCAGACGAAATACAGTCTTCTGGGCTGCAACATGTGTTACCTACTTTCCTCCAGCGTTAGATAAAATAAACGGCGTTTTTTACGGCCCGAATTCGATACGGCAGGTTACGGGCGATTTATTCGCGATGCGAAAAAAATTGCGGAAACGTTTTTTTTTGCAGGCGACACATTTGGTGAATGGAGACGGAACGAACAGCGTCCCATTCACGTTCGAACGATAAGGAATATAGCGTGGATACAAATGGTGCATGTGGAGCGAAATTAGATAGACTTTGAAATTGAATATGCGTTGAAAAAAAATATATAAAAGGACACTGACCTTTCGACGAGAGGAATAGGACGGAGGTGCACTTGTAGAACTGGAGGAAGAGAATTTAGGGAGAGATCTAGGAATTATGTTAAAGGGTTTTGAAGGGTTGTTTGCAATGTTTTTTTTAATTTTAGCGCAGGTTTCTGTGATTTTATGAAGGGAATTTCTAGATTTTTTGAGGGTTTTTTGTTCTTTCATCAATTTAAAGGTTTTTTTTTTCAATATTTTGGAAACAGTTTTTTTTTAATAGAAATTATTTTGGATTATGGAGCTCAAGAAATTAAAAACTAAAATGAATTATGAAATATTTCAATTGCTAGCTCACTCTGTATAATTGTATCTAATTTTTATTCGTCGCTAGAGTTCAGGGAACTAAGAACTAGAATGAATTGTGAAATGCAATAAAAATGAATGAAAATAAATTTCATTCGTCCCTGTAGCTAAGGAATCAAAAACTAGAACGAATTATGAAAAATTTCAATTTCAACAGTTCACCCTGTATTATTATATCTTATATCTAAAAGTCATTGGTCCCTGCAGCTCAGGCAATGAAGAACGGCAATGATGAATTATGAAAAATTTCAATTTACTAGTTCACCCTGTAGATATTAATTATTTAAGAGTCTATTTTTTTTTCAAACTTACCGGACATTTGTTGGGCTTTTCTCCGCTGTGCACTCTCATATGAATCAGAAGCTTGTACCTGGCATTGAAAGGCTTCGTTTTCCTGGGACATTCCGACCAAAAACAAGTAAATTCCTCACCTAAAACAATTATCGATATACATAGTGTTCCATCGAAAGCAGAAATTAATAATTGCAATACCTCTTTTCAATTCCACGTGGCATTTTTCAATGTGCTTCACCAAAGACGCCTGCGATTCGTAAAATCTATAGCAATTCTCCCATTTGCACTGGAGATTTACGGAATTATCAAAGTCCTCGCAGTCATTTTCTCCAGCGTTTTCCGCGAATTTCGGCGTTAAGTTGCACAAAAACGGATCGTCATTGAGCAGGGCATCGTTCTGCGTTAGAATCATCTGATTGTCCAATACATTCGCGTATTGCTGGTGGTTCAAATGCTGGTTTTCCGGGCATTTTACGTTGAGAAGGTGCCCGAAATCGCCGGTGTTCTGAGATATATTCTGAAAGAAACACATGTTAAAAGTGTTATAGAGAGTACTCGATTGGTAACTTACTCTATTAGAGCACTCCAAATCGTTCGAAGGAGCGGTCCTCAAAAAATTGTTGAAGCTAACGTTGTTTTTGATGGTTCCGATAGGCGGTAAAAAATCACCAGGAAACTCCGATTTTACGCCATCGAAAATGCTGCTAAACCCTCCAATATCCTCGAAATCCTCCACGTTCTGCTTCTCCTCCCACGGGCAAGACGCGAAGAAATTGCAAATGGAACTAGCCGCGGTATCAGTGCAAGAATTCTCCGTGGTGAACGTCTCCGTATCGAAACTCTCCACTCCATTGAACGTGAAATTCTGATCGAAGTCGATTTCGAAGTCTTCAAAATCGAATTTAATGTCCACATCGCTGCCGGGCGTGCTCACCAGCGAGTCCTCCCCGTTGGAGATCAAATAGTCGATGAGGTAGTCGTCGGCGACGTCGTCCAGGTCCACCGCGTCCGAGGAGTTTTCGTTGAACGTCGACAGCACGTCGCTCTTGGACAGGCTCTGGCCCTCGTAGAAGGCCAGGTTGAACTTCTCCATCAGCTCGGACTGCGTCAGGTGGTTGATGGGGTCGCAGAGCTGGTCGGACATTTCGTAGGATTTCAGCATCTGGAATGTGGTTTTTAGGTGAGGCTTTTTGCGGACGAACGGGGCGTTTGGTGGACGAGGCGTCCAAAATATGAGGGATGAAGTAGTGCTAGCATATAGTAGTAGGTGTAGTAATAGTAGTAGTAGAAGAAAGAATAATATCTAAGCGTACAAAATAAATGGGATAGTAGTAGTGTGAGGAATAATAAATTTTTGTAGTAAAATGGAATATTTAGAGAATTTTCATAGAACCTATTATAGGATCGAAAAATGTAAGTTCTTCGTAATTATCGAATAGAATTATTCATTTTCTTATACACACTTCAATTCAAAAAATGTTATTGATATTGCCAAAAATTCACTTTATACAAGGTGTTAAATAATTGAGTACCGATACTACAGGATGTTACAATTTTAGAAAAAAAATAACTTTTCTATCATAATTTTCTTATTACTACAGATATTTTTATGAAATTTCGGACGTGGACGTCACTGGCAATAGTAGAAAATTAATTTTTATTCCCAAAAAAACGTTTCCATGTATGTTGGGCACCTACCAAATTTTAACAAAATATCAAAAGCAGTCTCAAAGCAGTCTTCAGACCGAATTTGCTCCAAAATAAATGAAGATTTTAAAAATATTTTTAGTTTTTTAGAAAACTCAGGCGTACCATTTTTTCTTCAAACATATTCATTTCAAACTTCATTAGAACGTGACTGGTAAAAGTTTTAAAAAGCCTCAAAAAATGTTCTATAATAATTAAAAAGCATGCATGTACAAAATTTCATAAAAATATCTGGAGTAATAAGAAAATTTTGATAAAAAACTTTTCTTCTTAAAATCATCCAAATATTCAGATCCTGAAGTATCGGCACTCAAATAATTAAAACCCTGTATATTTAATTTTTTAATGCATAATTTTATTGTTTTACAAATGTTCTCTTATCAGAATTTATCGTGTTAAATTAAACAACTTCTATATTTACATAATCTTTCACCCTAATTTATCAATCTAATTTCTAATTAATAATTAACACTAAAACCCCTTTTTAATAATTTCAAAAAAATTCCCCACAAACAAATCTCTAAGGCGCAATTCTAATTATAATTACCTTATCAAAACTTATCGGCAACTTATTCAACAATTCATCACAAAAAAAAATCACTTTCACCGGTAAATAGGTACTAGTAAAAACAAGTCGATTAATAAATTCAAATGGCGCTCAATTAGTACGCGGTCGAAGCGATCCCATCAAAACATCACGAACAAATTAAGATGACATCCCGAAGTGCTATAATTTTAAACCCCGTGAGATTCCGATGGTACGGAAAAAACGGTTCGTGTACCGTCGAAGGCGCTCGTTCGATTTCAGCTTTACTGAGTCGTGTGTGTGCTCAGTAGATTAGTAGACGAGCACTAATCGCATTGGGCCGTTTTACACACGCACACATGTTAAATGCCGATTGTAAAATGTGCGTGTTTATGTTTGGGGGTGTTCACCCCTTTATCTAGCTACTTGTTTTTCAAACAATTATCCGTTTTTTAAAGGCGATCTATGACCCCCTTGACCCCCAATAGGAATTGTACATTTTGGATTATTTTGCCGCAATTTTTTCATTTATTTTTATACCCTACAGTGCTCTTATTTGATAATACTATTTCTAGTATTTTTTCTATTTATTTCCTCTTGTTCCTCTATTAATTTCCTATATTTATTTATTTTTCTATTTTTTTCCTTCAATTTATCTAGAGATGATTTCCTTCACTTTTTTCTGTTTTTAAATCCCTTCTCCCTGCTATTAAAATCAATAAATTCTTATATTCAAAAATTTCTACTAATTTTAAACGTTTGTGCAATTTTCACACTTTTTTGTACTTACCTTTATTTATTAATATTATTTTTAAGTATTTCTTTATTAATTTTTCCTTCAATTCTAATGAACCCAAAGATGATTTCGTCGAATTTTTTCTGTTTTTAATTCCTTTTTACCCTGCTGTGAAAATGAACAAACTCTTGTGTACACAAACATTTATTAAATTTAAACATTTTCATAACTTTCACACCTTTTTGTACCATACACTACCCTTATTTATTAATAATATTTTCTTCTATTTATTCTTGCTTCAACTCCAATTTAACTAGAGATGATTTCCTCCAATTTTGTTTGATTTTAATTCCCTTTTAGCCTGCTGTGAAAATGAACAAACTCTTATGTTCACAATCGTCTACTAAATTTAAACTTTAAACTTTTTTAACTTTTTCATAATTTATTTGGTTTATTCTATGCAATTTTTAACTTTATTTTTTCTATATTGTTTATTTCTCCTTCAACTCCAATCTACTCGAAGATGATTTCCTCCACTTTTTTATGATTTCAATTTTCTTCTCCCTGCTATCAAAATGAACAAACTTTTTTATTCACAAATTTCTACTATAAATTTTAACCTTTTCAAAACTCATTTTGAATTTTTTGTGCAATTTTCGCACATTTTTCTACCCTAATTTCTTGTTATTTTGTAGTATTTTATCTATTTCTCCTTCAACCCCAATATACTCAGAAGTGATTTCCTCCACTTATTTCTGTTTTTAATATTCTTTTACCCCGCTGTAAAAATTAACAAACTCTTGTCTTCACAAATTTCTACCAAATTTTAACTTTTTCATAACTTATTTTTGAATTACTTTGTGCAATTTTCACATATTTTTATTTAATTTACCAAATTTAAACATTTTCAAAAATAGTTTTGATTATCTTATGCAATTTTCACATGCATTTTTCTACCATACTGTACCCTTATTTATTAATATTATTTTATAGTATTTTCTCTATTTATTCTTGCTTCAGTTTCAATCTACCTAGAGATGATTTCCTGCACTTTTTTATGTTTTCAATTCCCTTCTCACTGTCATGAAAATGAACAACCTCTTGTGTTCACAAATTTCTAATAAACTTAAACTTTTTCATAATTAATTTTGGATTTTTTTTGCAATTTTTACACATTTATCTACTACAAATTACCCTTATTTATTAATAGTATTTTCTCTATTTTAGCTTGATTTATTCAGTTCCCACGAATTGCTAGCGGTCTAGACATTTCAACCCTTAAATTTGGAAATCCAGTTCATGTGTTTCCATAAATCGTGGGGACAGTTCGAAACGTATCCCATATTTATTATTTATTAGCTTGTGACAGAAGGTGTTCCTCCTTCTTCTGGTGCTCTACGCATCGAACATGTGGCTCGGTTTATGAAATTTATCGAAAAAAAATCCGGGGTATCTTATTACGTTGCTGGTGCGTCAGGTTTATTAGGGAAACTTTTAATTCGATTAGATCCAAACAGATTTTCTTCTGATCTTTTTGTACCTTTCGAGAGTTTGAAGGATGGTGTAAAAAATTCTAATGGTTTAATAAAACCGTTTGGTTTTTCCACTATCCCGACGGAGTTTCTGTATTTTTTGTACAAACACAAGCGTTCTGTCATAAACATCACATGCACTCGTTTTTAGATCCTGCACATGACAAAAAAAAGCTAGAATTGATATATAACTCGTAGTTGAGCTAGAACTCCGATATCGCGTTACACTCATCGTTAATGTCGTTTTTCTGTAAATCGGCGAGTATTAACCCCCGTCTAAACGAGGAAAAAAAAAAACGATCGCCACATGTGCGTGAAAGACCGAGCCTCGAAAATCTAGCAAGTGAAAGTATTATTTGTAGCGGCAGAAAGGGCGCTTTCGTTATCGCTTTGTACTATTCTTGTTAGAAGCTTCAGAAGCCGGATTATTAATGACTCTAGGCGACTGTAAAAGGGATGAGTTCAAGCGGGCTAATTGCTCGTAAAAAATAGAAAAACTGATGGAAATTGATTTTTTTAAGCTAATGTTTGCGCTAGTAGTTGGAGTTGATTTTTATACTCTAATCAAGAGCACTTCATTAGCACCCCATAAATGATAAAATAGCTCCCTGTGTTGATAACATAATCTTTCAAGAGATACTAAAATTACGTGTAAATTAGCAAATTAAAAACCTATAAATTACAAAAATATTTCAACAAACTTAAGGATAGCGCCGAATAAACTGCTATTATCATGAATGACTCTTTTTTATGAAAATTTGTATACAAAATAACTGCTCCACAAAACTTAAGGAAGTTCGCAAATTTTGCGATTATTTTAAAAGTCACAGATTTTTTGATCGCCAAATTTTCAAATATGCGAAATTAAATGTTTTTTCTCATATCTGAGTGGATTTTTTGTCCCTACCTCTTCAACTCATACTAAATTTGGCGATCAAAAAACTTGCAACTTTTAAATTAATCTCAATATTTGTGAACTTCCTTAACTTTTTTGGAGCAGTATATTTGTAGGTACTGTTTGGTGAAATTTGTGTAAAAACAATTAAATGAATGATTCGTGCCAGATTTAAGGGGTGCTCAACCCTCTTCAAACCTTTATATATTCTTCAAAAACTATTTAATTATGATTAGCGAATCGAAACATTTTTATTTAATGAAAAAAAAAATATAAAATTATGTGAAATTAATAATGTAAATAAATTCTAAAGCATACATTATGCAGCCCTTTTCTGTTAAATAATTCCTTAATTAATATCTACGAAATAAGAATTAAAATAATAAATATTTGAATGGACGTGTGTATAAAATCTTAAAAAAAACCCCTCCTGTGTGCACTTTAACCTCGTGAATAAATTAAATTTAGACTCGGGCAGCTCTCCTGCTTTATGTTACGCGTAGATATCGAGTAATTATGGGGCCTTTTTAGTTGTCTTATGCACGTCTTTTTGTGGTGCACGGCGTGCCTCGAACACGTGTTGGCATCGTCGACCGAATACAGAAAAAAAAGAGAAAGAAATTGTACGGCAAAAAACTGGGAGAAGAGTGAAAAAACGTAAACTATACTTTATTCACATTAGGCCGTCTCGTATTTACATGAATTATTTCGAAAAGGCAGCTGTACCGTCGCTTCATTGTTTTTTCTCGGGCTCGCGACCGTTTTTAGAAGTACTCTCCGGGGGTACGGAGATAGTGAATTTCGAAAAAGTATTCTGTTTATTTTTAAATCGGTAATTATAAATCTCGGCGCTTTTGGTATTCGAATATTACGATGATATGACGGGATTTTATGATATATTTTTTTATACAGCATGTCCCCTTCACCATAAAAAATTACCTACAATCTAAACACCTAAAACACTCTTATTTTCTCAATTTTAATAAACTCGTAAAATTAGTAAAATAACTACATATTTTATTAAAGCAAATTTAATCTAATTACAGCCCCTTATTTTCGATTCACCCTGTATAGCACGGTTAAAGGGCATGCGAACTTGTTTTTCTTACCGCTCCAGGACCTGTTAAGAGTGTTGACGTTAAAGCCTTGTGTATATATTTTTTATATGAAGCGTATAAATAATTTGGAGGAAGAAAAATTACGACAAACAAACTATTTTTTGTGCGAGAAGAGGCGAATTAATTACTAATTTTTACCCCGTTAGGGATGAGCATCTGTTCACTGATTTATATAGTACCTTTCAACCCTTTCAGACACCTCTGTTTTGATACAAACCTGATGTTTGAAAATAAATAAACACTACTTTCAGGAGCTTTAATTTATTAAATTAATATTTATTAAAGTCAATACGATTCTGTAATTTTTTTTGTCGTAATCAAGAAGACAAATTCGTTAAAAGGAGTGTAGTCGATTAGATTTTTTACAGAAGGCTCGCTTTTTAACACCAAACAGATGTTTCGAATTTTAAATCGAGCACAATTCTATTATTTCTACGAAGGGTTCTTTTCTAAAAATACAAAGGATGTTACCAAATGTCCTTGTCCTAATTATTAACGCCTTATTCAGTTTTATGCAAATTTCCCCCGCCAAACTTTATCTCAACCAATAAAAAAAACAAGTAAATATTATTTAATTATTTTATTTACGATAAATGCATAAATACATTTCTATACAAATTTCAATACCATGATGTAAAAAACGTAACGTTTACCTAAATATACGGAAGTTAATATTGTAGTCTTTATTGGTAACTTAATAATAAAGTTCCACTCTCTCTTCAAGCTTTCACGCCTCCTTTTTTCTAAAACAACAATCGCAAATAAGCCAAACACAGTCAACATTTTCGATAAATTTATCTTACCGGGCTGCTCTTCTCCTTCGAATAAGTCTCCCAGCAAACGTTGCTCGCGGTAAACGGACTGACCTGCTTGCATTCGCAGTCCAGCCCCTGCTCGAGGCTCACGATTTCCTCGATGGTGTTGTGAGAGGCCACGTGGATGAACTGCTTCTTCACCTCATCGTTCCCGGCCAAGAAGTTGTTGCTCACGAACACGTTTCCGCGGCTCTAAAAAGGCGTTCGATTAACTCGAAAATTTGGTGAGAAATTCGGCTCACCTTCAGAGTGAAATCGATGCAGTAGTCGTTGTAGAAGAGCTCCTTGTAGAGCTCGGCGCTGCTCTCGGCCTTCTTAGTCTTGCCGTGTGAGGCGGTGTAGACTTGCTCGTCGTTGAAGCCGATGATTTCCTTGGTTTTGGCGGGGTCTTTCACGCCGAAATTCTCCACGGGCGTCACCAGCGTCAGCGAGATCAGGTTGTTTTTGAACAGCAACGTCCTCAGTTTCTGCAACTAAACCGATTCCCCCGATAAACACCGGCGGATTCTTCGCGATTCGTCGAACTTACCGGGTACAATTTTCCCACTTCGCACGGTTTGCTCGTCAGCACGATGAACGTTCTGGTGGCGTGCGCCCTGAACGGGTACTCGTAGGCTTCGGTGTAGGTTTTCGACTGCAAATCTTGCCCGAAAGCCAGCTCGAGGTCTCTCACGGCGCTGTCGAACAGATGCCAGCCCATATTTTTCTCGTCGCGCTTCGGTTTGTCGGCGAATTTGATCTCGGGGATCTTGTTTCCTTTGAACGTGAACTTTCCTCCTACTGTTACGTGACCGGGCCATTTGCTGTCTCCGCCGTAGGTGATCAGATGGTATTCCACATCGCTGTAATGATAGAGGGTTTGAGATTTTTATGCGAAAGCACATTACGACTGGATAGAATCCATAAGCATGATGATGGAGCTAATGAAATTCAATAACATGATGGAAAATTGGGATAGCAATATGCATATAATACGTACTGGATTCCTTTTGCACCTAGACCTTTAGTAACCTCCTGGACCAAAGGCTTGATCAAATCGTGGTAGAGAGGCTCGTTGACTTTGGCTGTATCGATGATAAGAACAATATCAGCGGCTTTCGCGGGTAGTTTAACCGAGAATTGGCTGCCGATCTTGCGTTCCTCTTGTCCGTTCGTGCATTTCACTAACAAAAAAAAATCCCATGAGCACGAACCAAACATCAAACATCACCCATCTTACTCAAGTGCGCAGGCAGGCTGACCGGAATGTTGTGGTTCCAGCAGCTCAAAGCGTAAGCAGCGGCCGTGAGGTACTCGGTGTCCGCCTCCTTGGCGGCCAATCCTTGGGCGCAAGCCGTCTTGTAGTTCTCAACGTCCACGAACGGATAGCACAGCTTCAAGCTGGACTCCCAGCCGAAGACCTTGTCGCATTCGGCGCTCTTGCCGGCCGGCTTCGGCGCCGCCACGGGCTGGCAGTTGCCGATCTTGTACGAGTTGCCGAAGTCGCTCTCCGACGTGACGATCTTGCCGTTGGGCACGGTGAAGTCGTCGTAGGGCTCGTTGTTGCCCAGACCGAGCAGACCCTTCGCTTGGGCGTGGTAGAAGCCGGAGACGAAGAACGTGCAGCCGATGAGGTTGATGTCGCAAACGACTTCCAATCCGGCGGCCGATTTGAACGTTACGGAATCGTATTCCCTGAAGAGCTGCAGGTCGGATTTGTGGATCGGCAGGTCGGCGTGGGCTGGAAGATGATTAATATTTAGTTACAACGAACCAGTTCCTTCATTTTTCCTTAAAACGGGCTGAACATAAAGAGGAACTCACCGTTGTTCAAGGTAGCTTTCGCGTTGGAGTTGTAAGTGATGGAATCGTGGGCATCAGCAACAGTAATAGCGGTTAGACGGCCGTTGGCCCAAGTACCAACGATAGTGAAGTTACCGTTAACGGCGTCCCTGGCGAGAAGGTATTTGCAATTGGCGGGGAAGTTGATGTATTTTCCGTCGAAGGTGAAAATGTGAGAATTACCAGCACTAGCGAATACTACAAAACCATGTAATTAGTAATTATTGCGCGAAGCATAATCGTCTTGATGACTCACGTGGGAATGGCGGAACCCATTGCCTGGGGTTGTTCAACAGCGACAAGCCGAATTTAACGACGTCTCTGGTGGGATCTTCCTTCAGCAGGTAGTCGATGGGGGAGAATTTGATGGCAACGAGCTTGGGCAGTTTCCTGAGGAAGTCGAGGGAGATTGGTATCTGCGGTTGCTGCATGTCGGCCGTTGTAGAGGTGACTATGGCGAGGATCTTTCTGCCCAAATTGGCGTAGATGCTGATATATTTGTCGAGCACGGCGATGTCGTCGACCGGCTGACCCTTGATTTTTTTCTCCAAATAATCCACGGTCAAGTCGATGAGTTGAGATATCTCTTCCTGTATGGGAATTTCCATAGGAATCAGGTCTTTTATTGTGGCAGCGATTTCTTTAAGACCTCCAAGTAAACCTTCGGCGTTCGGAAGACCGTCCTTTACGAGCTACAATAAATAAATCATTCAAACTCTAAATTTACGAAATCTACAAAATATACTCACATCGTCCCATTGCGCTTTAAGTTCCTCGAACACAGGAATTCCCTTGAGCTCGTCGCCGATCTTCTTGTACAAGTTGGAGACGATCTTCCTCACTTGCTCGTAGGCCTTCTGGATGAACCTGCCGATGTCGTGGCTGAATTCCCCGAACGTCGCGACCAGTTGCTTGATCTCCGGCTGGTATTTCTCGAAAACGTGGCTGATGGTACCCAAAATCGTGGCGAGAATGTCCACCGTCGTGTTGATTATGTCTCCGACAATATTAGCGAATCTGTCGGCGACTTCCCTGAAAGCGGGAATCAAGTGCTTCTCCAGCGACTCGATGACGCCCAACGCGACCTTCTGCACTGCAACAGCCACCGCTTGCAGGACATTGGCGGCTTGGACTACGATGGTGCTACCGAGATCGGCTAGAGAAAAGATGATAGTCTTGACCAATTCGCCTAATTCCTGGAGCGACTTGTCCTGGAGGATTTCATCCTTGATTTTCTGTATCTCCGATACGTAGTATTTCTTGAGAGGCTCCAAGTTCGGCGCGGCCTTCTTCGTAATCTCCGTCAACTGGCTGGCCTCCCTGCGGATGTCGCTGTTGATGTCCTTGCCGACGGATTCGAGTCCCTTCAGCAGCTTCTGCACCTGCGCTCGCGATTTGTCCAGCACCACTTCGATTTCCTTGGAGTTGATGTTGTAGTCCGGTTGAAGGAAATGAGAGTCGTCCAGTTTGAGCGACGCTTGGAAGAGATTGATTTTTCCGGATCCCGTCACGTGATCGGCGCGGACGTCGGCCACTTGGCCGGGGATAAGCCCAGCATGGACAACGACTTTCTCTTTAGGAGTGTCTGGAATTGAGGAAACATCGGGCGTTAGCGTTACTAAAGATAGAAAAAGTTTAGATAGTACCTTTGAATGAGACGGAGTAGGTGATTGTGTTGAATTTCTTGACTTCCCAGTGGTGAACGACGGGTTTGTTGTCGAAAGTGGATACTTCGGATTCGACGGTTTGTTCGTCTTTGCTGATGTGGTATTTGCTGTCGATCTTGAGCAAATTGATGTTCATCAGTTTAACCAGCAAATGCGAGCCCTTTTTGCCGCCTCTCACGACCAGTTGGTTGTCGTATTTCGATTTGCCCACGTCGTATTTCACTCTGCCGTTGTACTCGCCCGAGTACGAGCCTTTGTCGATGGTGAGATCCTGCGATGCGCGGAAATCGATTCCTAGACCGCTGCTTTTTACATCCAAGACGGCTTCTATGCTGTAATGGCCGTTGTCCTGGTTAGCCTTCGGCAATACCTTGTACTCGGCCACGATCTTCTGGTTGGGTTGGGCGAAAATGTCGATTGTCAAGGAGATGGAGCCGTGTTTGTTCGGGAAATCTCCGGATTCCGTGGAATGGAGAGACACAGATAAAGGCTGTAATAACAACAAATACATAAATGTTAGTACTGAAGATCCGTGTATTGCGCCAAGGTAGTTTGAAAGTGTTGGAAGATTTAGTACTTACTCTTTGAAGTCCAGGGTGAGTGAATTTAACTTCACCGTTAAGAAGTCCTTTGGATTGATGAGGATCGGCGGATATCCAAGCGCTGACGCCAGCTTTCTGGTTGGGGTTGTTCTTCTTGTCCAGATAGAAGGCCAATTCGGCGGATACTTTACCGCCTGCTTGTTTAACGTTCCTCGGTCCTTTAACGTGCCCTTCGAGAGCTACGACCCTCTTGGGAGTCGTTAAAGACACGCCGGCTTCGTCGGGATGAAGGTACACGCTGTACTGGTATTTGCTGTTCTCGGGGCTTTGGAAATGAACATCGACGGTGTGGTCCAAAACGTAGTTTTCTCTGTTGGTTACCGATTTGAGTCCGAACTCGTTCGGTATTCCCAGTTTGCGAAGGTCCACTGTTATCTCCAACACGTGGTTGTATTTGTCCAGTTCTAAATTAGAGGCGAAAGTAAAATCGGCGAATTGGTTGAGACTCGAAACACTTACCGTTGTGGTTGACTTTCGAGTCGTACTCGAAGTGCGCGCACTCCTTCGTCTTCTCGCAGAACGATTCCGAAATTCTGAACTGCTTGTTGGTGACTTTGAGCTCGGCGTCGATGGCGTCGTCGCCGACGCCGGCGTCGAAGATCACCTCGAAGCCCTGCTCGCCGTTCTTCTCTTGCGTCAGCTGCTGCGAGGTGTACTTGAAATTGGCCGCCTTGGTCTCGTCTTTGATCTTCAGCGAGCCGGATCCCTCGATGGTGTACTTGCCGTGCTCCTCGTGCGTGCTGTAGCTGGTGCTGCCGGTGACGAGGTTCTTGCCGTTGGACTTGACGTGAATCTGGATCCTCTTGCCCGCTTTGGCCGGCTTGTTGTTGGCTTCGAAGGTGATCTTGTCGAGTTTGAGTTTCGGCGAGTTGACGTCGCCTTTAATGTGGAAACTGTCGGCGTCGGCCAGGTTGGCGTCCAGGCTTCCTTCCAGCAGGAAGTCGTTCTTCTCGCAGAGGAGTTTGTAGTTGAAGGCGAATTCTTTGTCGCTGACTCGGTTGCCGTCCAAATGGAATTCGAAGGCCTTGGTTTGGGGACACTTGAATTTGATGTCGATCAGAGGAGCGATCTCGGATAATTTGAGCTCGGAGTCCAGGGTGGCTAGGTGTCCGTCGTGGGTGAGGGCCACCTTGCTGGTGACGTGCTTGCCGTCTTCGGATCTCTTGGTGGTCACTTTAAGGTTGTTTTTCTTGAAGTTGTCCAGCGGGGTTTCGATTTCCGCGTCCAATTTGTACTCGTTCTCGTTGGGTCTGATCAAAGTACTGTCGATTTTTATGTTCTTGTCTTTGCCGTATTTCAAGCCGAGGTTCGCGTTGTACTGCTTCTTCGGGCCTTCTTCTTTGCGACTGTAGCCTGCTGCGACCGACACCGGACCAAGTTTCGTTGATTTAAGACTACCCTAAAATATTCGCAATACCAAAAAATTAATACAGCTGCTGGAATTGTTAGATTTGTACTTACTTTGAGTTCACCGTCTTTATCGCTGGCTCTAACATGGCCGTCCGAGCTGAAGTCGACTAAAGTATCGGACTAGAAAAGATTAATCAAGCGTAAGTACGCATTAAAAATTAATTTATAGAATGTAAAATACCCCATTCTCGGCGTAAACAGTTGCAGCTCCGGTAATTTTAAGGTGCTCGTTGGCCTCCCTGGGAAGCAACACCGAACCGCTCACTTTGCTTTTGAGAGTCTTCAGCGTTTGGCTGGGCAATTTCAGGTCGATCTCCCATTCTCCAAGGATCGGGTGTTCTCCTCCGCGTACGTCGTACTTTCCTCCAATGTTGCTCACAGCCTTCTGACCGTACGAGTAAGTGACCTTGTAGTCGCCGGATCCTTTCAAGTACGAGAAGTGCAAACCGGACTCGATGGGCTCTTTCAGTACTGATCCGTAGATTTTGTTCTGCAACACCAAATAATAAATTAGTAGAGTTAGTTAATGAGCGAATGTAGTAGCTTACTGATATAGCAATGTCGCGTTTATCGCCCGGTTTTTGGACCTTAAAGGTCAAATCGGAGTTGATGTTGTTGCCGTTGGCGTCGTCGGCGGAAAGGGTGTAAGACACATCGTACAATCCCGCCTCGGGTTTCACGTTCTTGTATTTGGTCGTCAGGCTGAGCTTGCGACCGGCGTTGTTCTTGTTCTTCCTGTACTCCAAGCTGGCGAAGTCGTTGCCGTCGTAGGCGCCGTCGCCGGTGCGGGCGTAATCTCCGTGCGCCTTGCCGAGCAGGTACTGGTCGGTGGGCAGGATCACCTCGATCTCGCCGCCGTGCTTTCCGTTCTGGTCGTTGTGGTTCTTGTTGCCCTTCAGGTTCACCTGCAGCACCTTGCCGAGCAGGTCGAGGCTGTTCTTCGAGTCCAGGCTGCCGGCGCCGAGCTTGGTGTTGGTGGTCACCACCAGCTTCTGGTTCTTGTCCTCGCCGTAGTTCGGGTACAACGTGAGAGAGACGTGGTAGACGCTGGCGGGTTGGATGTCGAACGTGCTCTCCAGCCTTAGTTGTTTCTTGATGGTGAGAGCGTCGACTTGAAGGTGGCCGGAGCCGTGGCCTTTGACGGCTTTCAGTTGACCGGTGACCTCCAGGATGTTCTTGACGTGGATCTTGGCGCTGCCGTTGGCGTTGCCGTTCTTGTTGGCCTTGAGGAAGACGTCGATGACCACTTGATTGCCGCTGGTCACTTTGTGCGATACGTCCAATTCGTTGATGTTGTACCGCAGGAAGCTGTCCACTTTGAAAGGTGTGGGGTGCGTGGGCAAGATGACGGTTAAATCAGCTCCCACGTCGACATTCGAGGGTTTAATGTTGTGCGTGATTAAACCTTTCACGGCCAATTTCAAGCCGTTGAGGATGAGCTCGTTGTTGATTTTGCTCTTTTCGTTGCCCTGCACTTCCCTGCTGGCTTTGAATTCGACTTTGTTCTCCAAACCGCTGATTTGGAATTCCACGTCGAAGTCGCCGTGGGTCTTCTGGTTGATGAACGCTTCCAATTCGGAGCTGAATTTGATGTCGTTGTACTGCAAGTTCAAGTCGTAGTCCACGCTATTGGGCGTTTGCTCGTAGTCTCCTTGCAGGTGCACGCCCAACGCAGGGTAGGTGAGCTTGTTTTTGGTGGCGAACGTAAAATCGTTGGGGTTCTTGAATTTTCTGGTGAAGCTGTTCGTGAGCGTTAGAATGTTCGTCTTGGAGGACAAGTCTTGGCCGTGGATCACTTGCCAGTTGCTGTCGAAATGCGTCAAATCTTCTGATCGCTTCGTTTCTCCTTTCAGGTGAATATTGAATGTCGGATTCAAGGTGTTCTTTACTTCGGTATTTATTTTCAGAGAGTTTTTATCCAAGTGGTATTTACCTAATAACGAAAAATATAATATAAATAACAAATTTGATTAAAAATGAATATGAATCGGCTTACCGTTGATGCTTCCGGAGTTTTTCCCTTCAGAGATGGTTAAATCAGTGAATAAATCGAAAGGTGATTCTTCTCCCACTTTTCCGTTTACTCCGATGACTTTATCGTTTGGTAAATGAACTTTCAAGTTGTCGAAGACAATCGTACGGGTGTCCCCGCGTTTTTCCAGAATTATTTTACCGTCGACGTGCACCGGCAATTGCTGGTTGCCGCTGGGAGTTTTGTATTCCAGAATAGGCGAGTATTCTTGCTTATTGGCCGAACCGGCGATTCCAACTCCAAGTTTGATGTAAGATTGCGCGTTGTCCTCGCCAGCTTTCAGCAACAGAGATTTCTCGTGATCGGTGTTGGTCAATCTACCTTCTACGAACACGTTTTTAATAGGCGACGTTAGAGCAGCCTTGATGAATTTCTGCGGGTGGACTTCCCCTTGCAATTCCAAGCTCAGCTTCTTCTTGCCGTTTTTCCCGATCGTTTCCACCACCAAATCGACAGACGAGAAGTCTTTGTTAACAGCTTTTACGTGGTATTCCTTGAGGTCTTCGTTCTCGATGCTGACGGAGATCTTGGAGTCCCCGGCCAGCGGGAACGGCAACACTGGAACCTGCTTCCCGGCCAGGTTGGGCCCGTTGAGCACGGCGCAGAAGGCCAGCCCGACGAACGGCACGAGGTTGTCCAAGCACACGGAGAAGTCCTTCACCTGGGCGAATTTGAGCGGCGTCACCGCGGCCACGCCGGCCGCCTCGCGCGTCTCGAACACGATCTCGTGATTGGCCGATATCAGCTTCTGCACCTGCACGGGCAGGCCGAATTTCACGTCTACTCCTTTCAGCTCGTTCTGGAGGTTGATCTTCAGGTCGCCGCCGGTCGCCGTGTACAGCGTGGAGACTACTTTGAGACCGTTTTCCACCACCAAGGCGTCCAGGGTCAGTCTGCCGGTCACTTCGATGCTGGCGCTGGGGATCAGCTTGATGTTGATGTTGGTGTCTTTGTTGTGCAGCAAAGCGCGTACGTCAAGGCCGCCTTCCGCTTTCACTTGGGTGTTCGAGGTTCCTTCGACGGCTAGACGAAGGGGGAAACCAAGGGAGGTCGGGTAATCCAGCTCGGCGTCGAGGAAGAGGATGTTCGTTCGGAAGACTTCCTGAAAACGCAATAGAATTATGTAGGTGTTTGATATCAAAGAAAATTAAGATAATTTCATGCGATTGTATACTTACTTGGAACTTTTTAAGTTTATCTAACCCTTCGTTGAATTTCTTGACAATATTATCAATGACAGATTCTGCGGTAAGACCGCGTTGGAAGATGTTCAAATTCTTGTACAGAACTTCCGAACCGAATGCTTTAACGCTGATGTCGAGATCCAAATCTGTGTTCAACACGTTTTCCTTGATGTGAACCGCTTTTCCTATGGTGTCGATTTCGTGCCTGGAGACGTCGCGACGCGCCCTCAAGCTGGCGCTCAGCTTCGAGTTCAGTTGCTCCCACAGCTTGGCGGGCACCTGGTCGTTGTTCTTCAGCAGCTCCCTCAAGGAGGCGCTCCTCAGTACGCCCTTGGGTCCGAAGTAGTGCTCGACGAGCTTGTCCAGGTTCTCCTGTCTGGTGTTCAGCTCCAGGAAGTTGAACGAGTGCCCGAAGACCTCGGCGCTCACGTTCAGGCTGGTGGACCTGGGCAGGAAGGATTCCTGCGAGTAGATGATGTTGGCTTCGGTGGAGGCGGCGAGTCCTAAGGTGTCTACGGCGTACGAGACTTCTCCGTTGTACGACCATTTCCTGAAGTCCACCGGGAACTTCTTGGGGACGTTGAAGTTGAGGAATTGCTTGGCCAGGTGCTTGTCCGGGTTAGCGGAAGCTTTCACGTTGCGAATGTGAGACGTGATGAATCCACCCACTACAAAAATACAAAAAGTTATTACGAGCTATTACAATCGATAAAATAGCAGCTTACCTTGAAAACTCGGTTCTTTCTCCAGCATAGCTTTGACGGCGTTACCAATTTTAGCGTTGGGGCATTTAGCTAACGCCAGGTAAGCCTTGATTCTGATTTCTGAGTCTTGTTGGATGTCTTGCAAGATGGCCAAAGCGCTGTTTCTGAGCTTGTCCTTGCACGGATCGGAAAGGTAAGTCTCCAAAGCGACGGCTCTCAATCTGTCGGAGACCTGCTTGTTTTTGGCGATGTCGATGATTTTCTGCACGATGTTGTCGTTGATATGGCCGAAATTGCCCAGCGTTTTCAGGATCAAGATGATCTCGTTTTCCACTTTCTTGTCAGTAGTTTTGGAATTGCTTAGTTTAGCGGCCAGTTTCGTTGTAATTTGGTTCACGGCGTCGACGTTGTCGCAGGAATGCTGTCTGCAGTACCTGCCCACTAAATTACCGATTCCCAAGTAGGCCTCTTCGGGGAGGTCGTGAAGGCTCAGCAATTGCTACAAATTAGAAATTAATATAAAATTCATCAAATCTAGCTCAAGTTTATACTTACAGCAGCGCTGTTGATGGCTCCTTTGCTAGTATGCCTGATCAACGATAAGCTGATGTAAACCAATTTTTTCTCGTCATCGTTAAACTGGTGCGTTTTCAGAAGAGTTAAAGCCACCTCGACTGCATCGCCTTCACCGGCTTGCAGCAGAGCGTCCAAGAACACCTTCTTGCCTACTTCTTTATCGCTGATACCGATGCCTGATCTCACTTGATTGTAAACGGAGAGAAGATCGTCTTTCTTCGACGCCCTGACGGTTTTGATCAACGTTATGAATTCCCTGGCGGTGTGCTCGCCAACGACAACATCGATGGTCTTCACCACGTTGTTTACCGCGTTCATAATACCGTGTACATTGCTGGTTTGGGCCACAACCGGGTGAGGGTTGTCGAATATGATGGATTTCGGGGCGGATACGGCGGCTTTGTGGTTGTCCTTCGAGCTGCTCACGTAGTGCAGCTTCGAAACGATTTCAGCCCTGGCTCCGTTCTTGCCCACAGAGAAAGGCACGTAGAGGTAGGTCTCGACGACTTGGGCTTGATTGAGGATGCCGTTTTTGATTCTGAGCTTGGCGTTGTAGTCCCCGTTCAGGATCGGACTGGACTTGATCTCGCTGTTCACGTTGAACGTGGTGGCGAAGAAGTCCTGGCGCAGGTGCTCCCTGTAGGCGCACTTGTTCAAGTCGCGGCTCTTCTGGACGACGAGGTCGGAGCCTTCGTGGTGCTGGACCACCTCGGTGGGGCAGACGCCGAAGATGTCGGTCTCGTGGCCGCCCTTCAGGTCGGCCTGGAAGAGCGAGGCGATGGCGCGCTTGATGTTGAGCGAGTTCTGGGTGTCGGCCGGATCGGCGCAGATGCTGTCCTCCAGGCGGCCGTCTTGGAAGTTGAGCTGGACGGGCTTCTCCACGTCGGGAATGTGGCCGAGCTTCTTGCCATTGCTGGTGGTTACGTGGACGTTCTGGAGCCGGAGCAGTTGATTGCAGTCCGTTTGCTGGGTGAGCAGAACGGTGGCTTTCACGTCGGTAGAGGACAGTTGTCCTTCGGCGGAGGATAGCGATATATCGATTTTTCCTTCGTAATTGTATTTGTACGTCGTTCCGGGGGCATATTTAAATGTGTGAGAACCTGGAATTGCGAAGAGTTGTAGAGAATATAAAAGTGTATATACACTGTGCTTCATTCCAGATCGCTACATGGTTATAAAGGCTATAGGTGCGATAAAGACAATTTCCATTAGGCATTTATAAAGGAAAAAGATGGAGTGACTTTTGTGTCATTGCAACTTTTCACTCTGACAACTGTTATTTTATTAATCTTTCTTTGTTCCACTCATAGAAACGACCATGTTGCGGTCTGAATTGAAGCAATCGGTATAAAAGAGAATTGAATGTTGGAACTTTACTTACTTCCTTTGCATCCGGTTTTGCACTTATGATCTGAAAAATATTATTGAAATTAAATTAATAAATATCCACAAATTAAACACATTTATTGATATTATACATTATTTTCTTTTAATAATTGTTTATAATTTTTAATTAATTCCAGTTATTATTAACCCCTTATCTACAAAACATTTTTATTGATCGTACTAAATTTTATAATAAATTAACATTTGCAAAGTTGCGATATAACTTATTTTGCAAAATAATTATTTTTCGCTTGCGATACCGCCAGGTCAAATGTCTTTTATTTTATCTCGACAAGACAATTTATTATGCATTAAGCATGTGTCTCTGATATTAGTGATACCAAATTCTTATGAAATGTATCGTTAGTAAGAAACAAAAAAACGAAAACGTTCGTAACATCAAGTACTTTATATTTGCGTTAATATTCATTAAAGCATCCCGTTCTCGGAATTTTCAACGACATATACAGTAGAAGAGCATCACACAATGGTTCTTTCTTTCCTTTATCTGCATTTTAAATGTTGCCATTGTCTTGTATATAACAAATAACCGCTGGTTAACAGCTTACCGGCTATTATCCACTTGATCTAATTGACGTAATAAAGATATACCCCAACTGGGACTAATTTAATCAACAATATAGGATAGGTATAGGCGATTTATGGAGGACATACACTGCTGTAGAAATCCTGATTAATTTAAAGCCTCATCTAATTGCAGTTGGAAAATTCCACGGAATGAATTGTAGAGAAAATTTTCCGATTCGAGTTAAAAATCTTCCTTATTGACAATAAATATGTGCATAATAATTTTTATCAAGTTCAGAGTCAAGGGTTCAGAAAGTCCATCGCGATACCGGCTATTTATTCATTGACTTATTGTAATTATCTGTTTATTTTTACGCGTTCTTATCGACGATTAATGAAAATACTAGATCGTATTGAACTTTTCGCTAGATAAACTATGGCATTCGCGAAATTTATATTTCCACATTCATTGTTTTGCAATTAATCGGTCGCTTCGATAAACTACAGTTCATTGTACTTGCTAGTTGGAGCTTTTCGGCAATTAAAAAAATTCGGGAAAAGCTATAGGTGAATGAAAATTGAAAATTTTTCACGAAATTGATTAGGTAGGGTTGAAAATGTTCAGAAAATTTGTTAAATATATCTGGGGAAAATAGCTCTACAATTGAAGTAAAAATTTGCTGATGTTTGAAATTTAAAGTTACTTCATTAAAATTTTAAAATGCTTAATTAAAAATGATAAGTAATTCGCGGGTTTAAAATTAATTAGGAAAACAGAGTTTGGTAGAAACTGATAAAAAAGTAAAAGGGATTAGAAATAAAAAGTTGAAGAGAGCAGAAAAATTGTGATTAAAGGATTCAAGAGTGGGTAAAAATATCGGAAAAAAATGTATAGAATAAAAAGGTGGATGAATGAAAATATTGAATATTTTTTTCCAAAATAGCCCTCTCTATATAGAAAAATATTTATTAAAAAAAAACCTTGAATAGGCTCATTCAATGTTTGAATTTATAGCAGTATATTCCCCTATAAAGTTCCTGCGATTATTTACAGGAGAGAATCTTATGAATAATCCAAAATTTATAAGAAAATATAAAAACACAATTTAAAAATCTCTAAAAAATATTTTGGCATATAAAAAAATCAATTAATCTCTGAATTTCCTGTAATTATCCTCTTGAAATTGCACCCCTAGTTCAGATATAAAAAATTCAATAAAATCAATTCTATTATCTTACCGGCTAACGTTCGTTGAGACACTAAAACTAATGCAAAAAGGGCTAGGCCCCATCGAATCGGACCTCTTCGACCCATCCTCGCACATCAACTGAGCACCAATTATCTCCAGAATCTCTTTTATAACTTTTATACCAACTTTTGGTGACCTTTGACTCGGAATTGATAAATAATGAAATTATATTTTCTTTTGCTTCGCTCGATTCCCGACCATCATTTTTCGAAATTTGTTGAATTAAGGGAAATTGGTTAGGAAGGTCTAATACAAATACTTCATATCTATGTATATGTTAATTAAAATTAATTATTTTTTTAAGCTTCTTAGATAGAGATCTCTAAGCACAAATTTTTGAATACTATTTTTGTTTTTTTTTATATTGAAGATGGCTTTTTTGGAAAATGTGAAACTCCGTGAGACAGTAGGAGCGTATTTGTTATATAAAATTATTTATTTTTTAAGCTTCTTAGATAGAGACCACTAAGCACAAATTTTTGAATACTATTTTTGCTTTTTTTTGATATTGAAGATGGTTTTTTGGAAAATGTGAAACTCCGTGAGACATTCAGTAGGATAGTTGGGAACTCGAAGACATTACTTATAATTAGCCCAATTTTAATTGCAATGATGTAAGACTACATTTGAGGAATAATTTTGATTATTCGGCATAACCTACACAACAGTGGAGTCAAAAGGTTGTAATGATAATGCAAATAATGATGTAACTAGCCAATTTTCAATTAATTAAAAACCACTCGATTAGATATTTTCTATTTTTTGAATAGGCTCTTTTTTAATTTTTAGATTAATCATAAGCTGATTTGTAAACACCATAAATTTATGTGGCTAACAAAAAATGTTCGATTTCGATCGAAAAACCATTAAGTCTTCTATGATATTTTATCAAGGAAAATATTTGCTTTACTATTCATTATTTTGTAATGAATATTTCTATCTGAAATGAAAATTGTTAACAGTTTGAAGGTTAATTTGTTGTTAATCAAATAAAGTAATTGGTTTACTCTCGTTGATTGTGAGATTACTGTCCATAAAAATTATGCGCTTGGAATGAAAAAACTTCAAAAGTGCAGCAAAATATATTTTGTAGGCTTTATTAGTCACAATAAAACGTAAATATTTAGGTAGATATAATTGAAAACAAATAATATTTGGTTAAACTTACCGAACAAACTAATGTTTTGTACTTTTTGATATTATTACATTTCCAAAATTCCAAAAATGATTACTCAATTGATATATTTACAAGAATTTCTTCACTAATTTGTCAACAATTTTAGGAACTCGGCGATAATTTTATTGGGAATCCTTTTCAAACAAAGTAATTCATTAAAATAAAACGCGGATAATATTTGGTTCTAATTTAATTGTTATTAAAAACACAAACTTTCTAAATTGTATGAAAAAAGTCGAGGTCATCATCTTCCCAACAAAATTCCCCCTTAATGCGATACCATTAAAAAAAATACAAAACACAAAGCGAACAGAAATAAAAATCATGTATTGATGAAATGATTTTAACGACCTCTTCAACTTTTGCACTATCTAATTACACACATGCTAATACATAATTGCTATGAACCCGAGAAAGATCAGGCTCCCGAAGACCTCCTTTTCGAATTTCGAGAAACACCAGGAGCAACATTTCTAGGAACCTCTCTTCATCTCGTCCTCTTGTTTTTGTTTAGAAACCAATTCTTTTTCCGATAAAACTTCTGAGAAATAATTTGGCAACATCTGCAGTGCAAATATGCAATAACGAGGTCAAGATTTCATGTAACAAAATTTTATGTAACAACAAAGCAAACGATAGAAAAATTGAAGAAAATTATTCCGTGCAATAAACCTTAAGCTCGATATTTCGATATAAATTTATTTATTGTAGCGCAAACATGCGGGATAACTAATATTGGTAAATCGAAGAATAATAAGATAATTTATTTAAAGACGCCATTATCTTGAGTCACAGTGATTATTCAAGTTCAATAACTGGTATCAACAATACAAGCCACATTGACCAGATCTCGAAAATTCCAGCTGATCAAATTAAGGGTAGCTCGAATTTCGGATACAATAAGAAACTTTATTCTGAAAAGAAATCTATGTAGACACAATTATTTAAAAAAATACATTTATTTTTAATCACACTACTACATTGTGTATAAAATTTGATTCAACAGCTCATCTTAAAACATGGATTAAAGCTACAATGAATACTAAAGCTCCAACCTCGCACTCTCTTTTAATCGATCCATTTTTAACAATCAAAGAGCTATCTCTGCCGTAATCCCTTCCGAATATCCCGAAGGACAACAAACGCTGCTGAGGCGAGAACAGAATGTGCCTCCTCGTTACCAGAAGCTCCTCTTCGACGGTTCCCCAATGGGTGTAGCTCGGATGAACCGGCCTCAAGGAGCTGGTCAAGGAATTGGGGTACTGCGTCCTGTTTTCGTCCTTGATAAAATCAGCTTCTACCTTGATGCTTTCGAACGTAATCGGCCAGTATATCTCCGAGTAGTTGGAAAATCTGGCAACGAATAGCTGTAGATGTAGATAACCCAATTTGAAGTGTGTTCAATTATTACCTTCTGGCGCAAGATGATAAGGAATCATTCAGGCAAGCGACGACTCCGCAAGCTTCTATGCCTGCGTATCTGACTCCGGAAAAGGATCTAATTCCATTGAACGTGGCCAAATGGTATTTGTATCTGTATTTTCCAGTCATGGACTCGTTAAAGGCGATTGAAATGTCGAAGTTACAGCAGAGTGTGTTATCGCAAACTGTGTCTTGTATTATAGATGAATTTTCGTTCATTAGAATTGATGAGTGGTCTATAAAATATACGATTTAATTATGTCTTAATTTGTATATTCGCTTACCGTCCATTGATAAATCTCTTAGCAGGAAAAAATCGTCCAAATCTTTAGCTATACTATCAGTTTCATCGTTTAACGGAGGGAGTGACTCCACATTTAAGGCGTTATCGGGAGAAATTGTTTCTACTATCACCTCATTTCCACCGTTTCCTCCGATAAATGTGCTATTGATTGGCCCCATTTCGCCTAAATAAATACTTAAAGGGTACATTTAATGGCAGAAATTTAGTCAGTGTAATGTTTTACCATTGTAAATGCCTGATCCGCTTGCACCTGTTTTGGGATTATTCCCACCAGCTGCCAGCAACACTACGTTATTCTCCTGCGCCCACATTTGTTGTGCTTGCAATGCTGCAAAATAATTTATATAACACATGAGTTTGTTTAAGATGCTACGTACAGGTTAAATAGGGGAGTTCGGAGATCCAGTTATTCGGGAATATTATGTTTCTCACGCCGAGATCCCTGGTTAAATTCATGCTTGGCACGCTGAAAATGATGTCGAAACATATAAAAAGGCCGAATGTTATGTTGTTTTTAGTCGTGATTGTAATAATGTCCGGTGTATCGGAGGTTGACAGTTGATATTCGCCGAATAAATTCCATTTTCTGTACCTGCAAGATAAAAAAGGGAGTTTAAAAGTTCTCGGAAATAAATGGAGAATTTTACCTTCCTGATACGAGACCGTGTTCATCGAAAACCACTAAAGAATTGTAGTACTTTTTATCTGTGTTTGTGCCACAATCGGTATTCGTTGAACAGTGTTCTTCTTCGATTACATTTATGGCGATTGAGGTGTTGTATTTGATGGCGGCGCAGGAGAATAGTTTTAAGTATAATTTATAATTATTGTCTGAGGAATTGCATATTACATCCGTGAATTTTTCGGGTATTTTTGTGGCTATTAACGATGGAGGAACGTCGGTGTTTAGAACGTGTTCTGGGTACACTATTATTTCTAATATCTAAAAAATACACAATACTCCAGTATAAATAAAATTATACTTAAATACACTTACTGTGGTAATTGTTTTCAATAAATCTATTAATTTCGTAGCTCTATCGGTTAATTTTTCATCTTCAGTGCCGTTTGTGAAACCAGAAGTAGGATATTCCACGACAGCAGCATTATATGTATTTGCCTAAAACAAGCATTTAATATTTAACAATACCCGTAATTAATTACAAAATTAAATGGAAAATTCAATGTAAATGTCTGTAGAATATAAGAAACTTTCAATGCATTTTAATAACTTAGATTTTATAATGAAATTTTAATATAAATTTACTTACCTCTTGGGCATATGAAATTATGATCATACAATTGATTAGATGGAGTTTCAATAACAATCCGAGCATTTTGGTAATATTTGGCTATTTTTCGAAGAACTGTTACTAGAAGGAGTCAAATTATTAATGAATCTAAAATATTTTTTGAGTAATTGTAATTTTTATTATTATATAATTACCTTGCGTTTGTTTTTGCAATGATAAATTAGGGGGAATATAATAAAACAATTACATTTTATCCCATACTGGGATTATTGCAATAAAATCTAATTATTTGAACGGGTATAACACTTCTACGTTGCTATTTTTAATGTACGTGTTCAAATAATGTGATTCAATTGTGTACTAATAATATGTGTATTTCACTCGTCTTCGAATAATTTAATTTGTATATTTGATTGATGAGATAATATAATTAAAATTAGAGAATTTTAATCCAATCAGATTAAACTCTAGAAGGTCTGGAGTCTAGATTTACCAACAATTTTATCAAAATTACGTTTAAGCATCACAAATTAATTAATTCAGATATTATTAAACGCTATACAGTGACAAATTATAAATTTGTAATGGCTATATCTCACAAACGAAAGATGATATCAAAAAAATGTTTAAAACCGTTTTGAGGATAGAAAGGGGGAACTTAAGTGACATAAAAGAGAATTCACCCCCATTAAACCCCTATGCCCCACCTACCCCAACTAAAAATAAATATATAAATAGTATACATAATAATTGTATAGGGTGTATTAAAAATTATCAAGTTAATATCAAATGATTTTAAAAACAAATACTTTTAATATAATTTTAAAAAGTTCTACAAGTCAATAAAAAACCTGATTTTCAATGATAAGTGTACGTAGGTATTTTTTTTGTTAAATATAAATATCATCTTTCGTTTGTGAGATTGTAATTTTTAATTGTAAGTCCATTGTAAGTTTTTAAATAATCATACTGTATAATGTGCATAATCTTCACATTGATAAATTGTACCAAAAAATAGATAGTAAATATACCTAAATACTTACTTTCAAATATTCTTCACTTAGATAATAGTGATATTTTTGTACCTGCATTAGAGGCAATATTACCTGGTGAACGACAGACAGGAATGCTTAAAATTGCTTATCTAACAAAGCAGACCTAATGGACCTTGAACTCGATTACGAAACGAAAAGGCCATATTTAATTTGCAGGAAATAAATAACATCAATTTGATTATAAAATAAAGAGCAATTTTGAACGTCGCTCTTTTCTCGTCAATAGTGCGAAAATGCTGAAGCCAAATTACAAATGAAAATTAATGCTTACTTACCTGGTAAAATGTAGGTTACTTCCATTTTAATGGCGTTGGAATTATTCCTTTATATCGCAACGTAAACATAATAACAAATAGACCTAATGATTATTGGACACTATTTAAACATAATTCTAGGTAGAAATTCCTTGTCTAATCTTCCGGAATGTAGAGAGGAGTAAAATAAAACCAGCATAATTAACCTTTACAAAAGGCACGATAAACATTTATTAACTTTGGTAACAATTCAAATTTGTAATGCGCTCTAAAACTTAGCCATCTTACAAATCGTATAGATTTCTTACTACTATTTAGTCTATTCAAATACAAAAAAAAAACTTCGAAAAAAGAACCGATATTCAACGCGAAAATTGTTCCATAGAATTTCAAAGTATAACTGTCAAGTCAACGATGGAATGATTTTATTAACTATCACAGTGTAATATGAATACTATTAATTTAATTTCGCTTTAATCAGCGAACGTTTTAATAAATAACCGATTACAATAAAACATTAAACTAACCCTTTCTGATAAGCGCCCTAAACGGCACCGCGATACATGCGATATAAACTGTATACATACTGTAATTAAATACTCGGTGAAAATTTCATAAAAGATTATTTAAATTACTCGGTGTACTAGCAAGCCGATTTTTATACTAGATAGATCAGAGAGTTTATGAATTTTTATTGAACTACGAGTGGTTGGTACATAAATTTAACTTTTAGGGTAATTGTTTTGTAATAATGTAGCAGTTAAGTAAATACGAGGGGTGTTTCCAAAGTTCTGGGAAGCGTGCTCTAATTAAAGTAGGCAGAACTTGGTATTGGTGACAGACATATCTTGATATATTTAAGCAAGTCTCCAGTGCAATATTGTTCAGTCTGACTCAGGCGTTCGACTGGTATAGACTCGTTTTCATAGCACTGTTTTTGTAACCAGGGAACAGTACTTTGGGACTCTGCAGACTCATCAAATACTGCTGAATAATTTCTGATGTTATCACAATTTTTTACCACAAAAAGAAAATTAATACTCTTCGTAATTTTGCTGTTTCTTCCATGTTTACAAGAACAATGCTATGAAAACGAATCTTTATCAATTGAAAACCACTGGATAGTTGCACAAACAAGTCACGACTTGCCTGTCACTACTAACATTGCCTATAAGTTCTAGGTAATTTAATTAGAGCACAATTTCCAGAACATTCATCGTATATTATACTTAGGACCTACATTATTACATCAGAGCATCGATATTACCACGCTAATTACAAAACAATAACTATACTCCCTTTGCTATCAGAAGTCAGTAACAAAACCTTCCCAATGCATACATTATAAGAATCTCCTGATAGTAAACGAGCTATAACAGAACCAAATCACAACACACCCCATCAAAATTCTCCTCTCGCACACCGCCCAATTGAAAATCAAACTACATCAAATACTGCTATCAGAATCTCCTACAACTTCGTCTGTTCGCCGTCGTCAGTCTTCTCCTCCGCGATCGTCGCCTCCTTGGCGAACGGCTCGATCTCGTCGGGCACGTTATCGTACTTGCTGATCCTGTCCTTCTCCTTCTGCAGGTTCCTCAGATCGTTCAGCAGCACGTTCGACATGCCCTTGGGCATCGTCGACACGTCGCTCTTGGTGTCGTCGAACACGTCGACGACGATGCGCAGGAATGTCTGCATCTTCTCGTCCGAATCGACGACGCGCCGCTGATCGTTCAGGATGCCCGACCAGATGCGCAGCATCTCCTTCTTCGGCACGTTGTGGAACGATTCGTATTTGATGAGTTTTATGAGGTGGCGCACGAAGAACAGGAGGGTGTCCTTTTTGGGACAGTCCGAGACGGCGACGATGATTTTCTGTCTGGTGTTGTGCTCCAACCATTGAGTATTATCTGGAAATGCGAGGAGAATGTTTACAAAGAATCTGAGAAGATGAGGAAAGGGTCCTAAAAGGGGCTGGATTGGAGGTGAACTGGAGGCTCAGGAAGCTCGTGAGACGCTATCAGGTACGAAACGCCAGGGGAATTTTTATAAAGAATTGGTAAAAGAAGGAGAAAATGACAAAAGGGTCCTAAAAGGGGCTAGTTTGGATGTAAACTGGAGGCTCAAGCACATAGTGAGACCTCTATATGCTCCATTCGATATCAGGTGAGGCTTTTAAAGAGTTTCAGGAGATTTTTAAGGTATAATTTAGTGTCAAGTTACCCAACAGCTAGAGGCTAGTTTGAAGGTAAACTGGACGCTCAGGATGCTCGTGAGACGCTATCAGGAAAGAAACGCCAGGAGAATTTTTATAGAGAATTGGTAAAAGAAGGAGAAGATAAGAAAAGGGTCTTAAAAGAGGCTAGTTTGGAGGTAAGCTGGAGGTTCGGGGAGATAGTGAGACCTCTCTAATCTGCGTTGAGTATCAGGTGAGGCTTTTAAAGAATTTCAGGAGATTTTTGAAGTATAATTTAGTGTCAAGTTACCCAACAGCTAGAGGCTGGTTTGGAGGCAAACTGGAGGCTCAGGAAGTTCGTGAGACCTCTCTATGTTCCGTCGCTATCAGGTGAATATTTATAAAGAATCGGTAGAAGAGGGAGAAGATAAGAAAAGGGTCTTAAATGAGGCTAGTTTGAAGATAAGCAGGAGGCTCAGGGAAATGGCGAAGTCACCATATTATACTTCAGGAATTACCATCACTTACCACATATTTTGTTCACTTGCTCTACCACATCTTTGGTGACCAAAGACTCACAACCTTCCCTAAGATACCTCTTCAACGAGTCGGTTAATTCGTACACGTCGTTTTTGTACTTCTCCAAATCGGACAGTTTCCTTTTCAGCATTTTCTTGACGATTTTGTTGGTCTTCTCGTGGGACCCGGCCTTCCTGTAGATGCCGTCGCACTCCAAGTGGTTTTCGATCAGATCCACCGACTTTTTCAGGACCTCGTCGATGCCAACAAGGCTCGGTAGGTTATTGGTACCTGCGAAAAAGTAACCGTTTACTAATTCACCCAATTATTTCTAATAGAACTAACTCACTCCTGTTTCTATTCGACGAATTACTGCTGTCCGAGCTGTGGATGCTATCCTTGGAGTCCTGCCGATGGATCATGTTCCTGTTGGTGTCGAAGTGATCCGGCCTCCTTTTCCTGAAGTCCAATTCCTCCGGATTGTTGATGTAGAAATTTAAGAGGGCGTCGAAGAGCTTGGTGGCCTCGGCGCTCTGCGTCACCAGGTCCTTGGTGCTGAGATTATCGGTGGCGAATATTATGGTGGGGCCCCAACAAACGGCCAGATTGTACGTGTCCATTTTGTTCTGGTCCTTGTACTTGACCACCTCGATCAGGTGTTTGATTAGAGCCAAGAGAGTTTCCGCGTTCGCCTCCGGTATGTGGCTCAATATCGTCCGGATGTTGTCCCTGTCCTTTTTGCAGTAGTTTTTGTCCGCTTCTGCAACGCGCAATTACTTAATAATTGTATCAATTGAGCAAGTTATTACTTACTAGTAAACTCCAGTAGATTTTCGGAGGTTGTACAAGACAACAAAGGCTCCTTCAATTCCCTAAAAAACAACTTCAAACTACCGGTGAGCACGTCCGGATCCTTCGCGTATATATCCAGTATATCCAGATTCCCCTTGTCGACCTCGAGCCGGATTTTTTGTATGGTAGCCAAGTTCCCCGACGTCCTGTACAAACCTAAACTGGTGATGTTGTCGGGGCGTTCGATCAAGACCATGGTCTTCATGATGAAGCGGGGCACGGCGTTCTCGGCGCTGTAGATGTTCTTCAACGTGTTGCCGAATATCGGCTCGTTCTGGTAGATCCCCTTCTTCTCGAGCACCTCCCTGCTGCTGCGCTTGCCGAGCAACCGCAGCAGGGTCTTGGTGATGGTGGACTTTTCGCTGTCGACGAACGAGCCCAGCTTGTCCTGGTCCATGAATTGCTTGGCATCTTTGGAGGAGTCGAAGACGAGGGTGTAGGATTGGTTGCAGACGTCCTTCAGTTCCACTTCTCGTTTGGTCACTAGCTTGACGGTTTTCAGGATTATTCCGTATTTCAAAATCTGCAAATTGGATTGATTGGAGGCGTTTTATGGAATTAGTTTTGCGGGAATTGTACCTCTTTGTTCAATTCGTCGGTTGTTTTGATGATTGAATTGTTTTGGTACTGAAGGTGATCGTTTTTCTTCAGTTTCACTGTTTTGTCGGGTAGGACCAATTTCGTGCAGCCTTTTATCTCGAATTCATGGTTTCTAAAGGTAATATTTCATATTAATGTTTAGTTTTTTTTAGTATCGTTTGCATACGTTTAACACTTAAAGTACTGATTTGACCCAAATTTTATTGAGCACATTTATAAATTAATCTTTGTTTCCCCTACTTGTTGCAAAATGGTTAAATTTGCATATGTAACTGTAAATACAACATGCATATTTTAAAGTAAGTAGGCACCTAAATATAAAAGTAGGTTGTCTTCCAATTTGGATATGTGCAATAAAAATGTATAATGAATGAACCAAGAAATGCTATGCCAAAAACCATTTTGCGAATGAATGATATTATTATATTCACCTGAAATACCTTCTAGGATCTCCATCTATCGTCTTCGATTGCTTCAATTTACTGTCGTATCTGTGAGGTCTGATTTGGACATCTTCGTTGATGAAATGATCGTCTATCTTGGGAAAAGGCCCCACAGTCTTCGTAAGAGGTTCATCCTTGTTGGCTTGAAGAGTTCTAAGGACTTCCTGCAACAACAATAGCACTGTCAAATGTCTGTGATTTTAAAGGTAAAATATTATATTCTTTAAATCGTCATCGGTACAAAGAATAATTTATTCTAAATTCCTGAGTAAGTAGTTTTTGATGTTTCACTTATCTGACTCGATAAAATGGTATTGTTTGAATAGGAAATTAAATATAGGGTGATCTAGTGGTTTCATAAAAATGTAACACTAGTTTTTTTTTGGAAATAAAGGTCAAGAGGTCGATTTAATTTTTTTTATTTTTAACCGCAAAATATCCTCTATTTGATATTTTCATGTAGTTTGATTTGATTTATTACGACTGTTGTGGAGTTTGTTTTTACTCAACGTAACAAAACCTTATCAGAGGAGATAGTGAAGCGTCAATTACGAAATAACGCCCTTGGCATGTTTAACACAATTGTAACAGTAAAAATCGAATCATAATTGAACCAGCGCAGTAAGTACGCTATTAATAATTTGTAAAAATTAACAGAGATGTATAAATCGAGTAAAAAACATTTTGCTAAAGTTAAATCACCTCCTATTCAAGATAAGACACATTTATCATCATAATCTAAATTGCAACGACAGAAACAGGTTGATTATACCGATTTAATATGAATTTATGGTAAATTCTTCCAGGCTTGGTAAAAGATAATTTCTAAACCAATTTCTTTCGAGTAACTGTAACGAATAATGTGGCAATAAAAGTGTACTACTATACAAATATTTAAATTGTGTTTAATTTATGGAATTAAAGTTAAGCTAAACAATAACCAGGTACGTTTAGAGGCGTATAGTAAATTTAGAATTTATTTGTTGGTAAAACAGAATTATGTTTCACGATAAGATGCAGCATACGAGATAGAATATAAATTATTTCGCGCCTTCCCATGTAAATGATACTTTATAAAAATGGTAAATTTAACATTGCACGTCGTTTTACCGGTTCCTGAACCAATGAAATACGTGTATTTTAAAACCGTGCGGTTTCGATTACGAAAAATATCGCACGATTCGCGATTTTCAAGTCGACGTTAACGATTCAACAGAAATAGTCGAAGGTTATTGTCGCTTAATGGCTCAAAAAAAGCTAAATGTATCAACAAAACGTTCATTTCACGCATTGTTATCGTTCGAGAAAGCTCCCGAAATAATTCCAATAGCCACAAAATTAATCAAAATCTTCGAAACTTGTCCCATTTATGACATTCCCATACATAACAATTAACCTTTCGCAATTAACTCGACTGGATATCGCGCCATTTCATATTTGTAAATATCGTACTTTGTTTATAGCAGATTAAAATTAGCTGCAATTAAATGGTGCAATTAAAAGAAACGGTTATTATTTAGCGATCGATCGTTGTTTTTCCGTTTCAGTAGGTTACCGTTGTTTTCGAAAACAGCGCGTTTCGTGCGCAATTGGTTTTACAATTAAAAACGGCCCGATTTCCAAAGAGTTCCGATGCGTACGGAGCCATAAAATTAATACCGTAGAAAGTTACGCGTTGCAAGAGCGGAATACGAATTAAAAATCGCGCCGCAATTAAGGCATAAATAAAATAGAAAACGCGATTTTTATCTATTAAATTCTAAACTGCCCGGTAATTAATTAAAGCGATTTATCGAGGCGAAAATGTTAAACGAATTGAAAAATGGATGCAAAAGGGGCGTACACAATTTGTGTAGCATTTTCACGATAAGGGAAACGTTTCCAGGAAAAAAAGAGCGGAAGATCTGATGCAAACAATACGATTACGAGCAAGGCGATAACTGCAATTAAATTTCAAATCGGAAGAGGATGCTTCTGAGAATCGATGGAAACCAATTCGATAATTGATAAAGCCGCATAAACACGACGAATTATGCAGGATTGCAATTAATGCACAGAGGAGGTTCGCATGATTCGCTCGTGCACCAGATATATCGCAGGAAAATAAATTAAACGAATACAAAAATACAGCAGAGCAGAGCAGAGCAGAGCAGAGCAGAGCAGAGCAGAGCAGAGCAGAGCAGAGCAGAGCAGAGCAGAGCAGAGCAGAGCAGAGCAGAGCAGAGCAGAGCAGAGCAGAGCAGAGCAGAACAGAGCAGAGCAGAGCAGAGCAGAGCAGAGCAGAGCAGAACAGAGCAGAGCAGAGCAGAGCAGAGCAGAGCAGAGCAGAGCAGAGCAGAGCAGAGCAGAGCAGAGCAGAGCAGAGCAGAGCAGAGCAGAGCAGAGCAGAGCAGAGCAGAGCAGAGCAGAGCAGAGCAGAGCAGAGCAGAACAGAGCAGAGCAGAGCAGAGCAGAGCAGAGCAGAGCAGAGCAGAGCAGAGCAGAGCAGAGCAGAGCAGAGCAGAGCAGAGCAGAGCAGAGCAGAGCAGAGCAGAGCAGAGCAGAGCAGAGCAGAGCAGAGCAGAGCAGAGCAGAGCAGAGCAGAGCAGAGCAGAGCAGAGCAGAGCAGAGCAGAGCAGAGCAGAGCAGAGCAGAGCAGAGCAGAGCAGAGCTAAAATTCATCCATCAATCGACGATTTAAATTTAAACGCTACAACCATATGAAAGTTTTAATTTAATCAGCAAATTTAATGTCGATAAACATCAACAATTACATGTAGCACGTACATCATTTTCAAAAGTAATTAACTAATTTCACTGGAAAGTAATAAAAAAAACTCCGATGCGTTTAATGATAGTCGGTTATTGCTCTAACGAATCGAATACGTCATAAATAACCGCGAATGGCGTGTGGAATACCGGAATGTCGATATTGATCGGCCGTAAATTGGAATTATTAAATGCATGTGTTCGTTTTATTGTACGTTGACGGCCAATTAAAGTCGATTAAAAGATTCATCTTTATCATATGCAAGTTGGCGATATGAGTTTCGCTTAAATTGTTACTAAATTAAGTTAATTTTCATGTGTATAAAACTAGTTTGGAACTTCCAACAGGCGTGGTTCGGATAATAAAATTATTCCGTAAAAGAACTGAAACCATTACGAGCCCGACTTCTTTTAAGAAGAGCTTAAGAGATTAGGAACTTGGAAATATTTCACGTCTTAATGCCTTTACCGAATGAGAATATAGTGGTTTTTTAAAGGAATTCTAATAAACATGTTACAGTCTTCTTCTGCCATATTCGAGCCTGTAGGCGAGAATTGTTAATTAACCAACGCAGTTGCTTATTAAGGCAATTAACGAGTCTTTACTTAATAATCTTTTCGTGATAATTCGCATAAGGAAATGCCAGGAAACTTGAGATTAAACAATCTCTTTATAAACGCCATTTTTACCTTATATAGAGATCTCGCCTACGCGCCTAAAATTACATTTTTGTAACAAGCTCATTTCGTCATAACAAAAAGTTCTTACTCTACATTTTTACTCGACCGTTGTGCAGCAAACATTTCTTTCTTCCGTAAATCTAATAGAAATTTCTATTACCCACATACCATTGAAAAATCCATTTACATCTGGGCATATTTTATGCATTTTCGACGTTTACTTCTTCCTTACATGACCGGTGAAAATGAATATTATCTCTTAAAAGGATATTGGCAATTCGCATCCCATTATACCGGTACTTTCCATTTCCGAATGGGCACGCGTAAACGCGAAATTTTTCTCCGCGTCGCATTTAAATAGCTAAATAAATCTTTTAACGGTACAGCGAATTAGAATACGGACTTAATTGGTTCATAAACCGATTAATGCGAATAATAAATAATGGCGATCGGGAATTGCGAGATGTTGGCCCGAATTATGTATTTATTTAACTATTTTATTCGCAATATGAACGGTCTGGAAATAGCCCAACAAATCCTAATGCACGTCATCCTTTCATATTTAAATGATTGAATTTATAACAGCGATGTTTTTATTGCTATACCGTTCAATTCAATCCGACTTCCTCTAATTTAAACAAACATTTGGGGTACTGTTAATGTCATGTTTTGATATCTATTTAATGCTTAATGGCGGGCGAAAGTATTAGAAATTAGAACAGTAAAATGTATATAGGAAATGTTTTGTTCTTTACGGCTATTGGTGGAATTTTGCGAAAATTTATGGGGCGCACTATTTTTAATAAACCCCGGTGAGTTCCTGTGCGGAATTTTACGATGTAAATTGGCATCTTCACAAACGCGCGACCTTTGAAACTCTCGTTTAATCTGGAACAATTATTTCACTCGAGACGAAAATAAGTCGAATATTGAACTATAAAAATTTTTAAATAAATTTCGTAAACAAGCAAGATAGCATTGAATTTATTGGGTTGTACACGAAAATAATTATTCGTAGAGCAATACATGTGGAGCATTTCAATGAAGCAATATTTCAATGAGGAAATATTTCATTAAAAATACAATAGATACCTAAATCTGATTAAGAAACGAATATAATTATTGTTAGTTGAACCAATAAAGCAATATTTTTATCAAGAGAAATTTTTTTAAGAAATTGAAATTAAATTTAGGACAAACTGTATACAAGAATCTCGCGTACGTCGAAAAACTTTTCTCTCAATTGGGCGATAAAAATTAAAATTCCTTTTCACCTTGCGTGAAAATAAATTTACCTCCTATAATGTGTGTGGCGTAATCCGAGATTTTTTTTCACTGCAATCGCCATTGTCATTACAAGAATGACGGGAATTATAATTTAAAAGAAATTGTATATCTAATTTATTGAACTGGGAACCGAATATTACGTGTATACACGGAATCAGTAGCGTAACAGAAACCTCTAAAAATGAAATATGCATCAAGAGCCAAATTACTAACGAAAAAAATATACGACCAAACCGCTGGATTTTATTATCAAATTTGCATTTTACCGTAATTCCGCGTTCTCTTTTCCATGTTATTACGAAACGTCGAACTTGCTCAAATAAAAGTTGTTAATTACCCGAGCGCACGAGGTGATATTTTAACGAATAGAATTTGTAAAGTACATTGAACGGGACTTTGTTGTCGCAACCTATCGAGCGTGAAAAATATTATGTTTTATTACTCGAAA